AATGCAAAACAAGTAGGTGTTTTGACAGGAAGAATAGCAAAAAAAAAAAAAAACTTCGCTGAATTTAAATAATGTTCTTAATAGGTAACCAAAAAAGGCAAACAATAGGTGCGCGTTTCACTTCGTCATAATTGGAACCTGTTTTGACACTGTTTTAATTTTTACCCCCTAAAAACTATTCATCGTTTCTATAACATTAAGGTAATCTCTATGCGATCAAACGCTCCTCTATTTAGGAGCTTATGAAAACGGGCCGTAGAATAAGAAGGATGCAGAATTTGAAAAGGCAAATTCAGTCGATGGTTTCAAGTGTATGAGTTCTCTTCAGTGGAGGATGATCATTGTGAGTTTGGAGGGCAAAGACCTTCTGCTATTTGCGAGTGGGAATTCATTATGATTATTATGATTATCTACGGTTGAAAGGCATAGTCTAAATTTGGAGGCGACCACCTTTATACGTATTTGGTGAGAAATGACCAATTAAAAGAGTGGGTGAATCCTCTTTGTGTACTTATCTCATGGCTTATTAACACCTATTTTGTAAGTAGGGGCATTTAAATTTGCGTCATAAAGAAACACAGACGAAAATTTAAAAGGATGGTTTTAAAAACTCTAGTTTTCTGGCTCCATGAAGATTCCAGCCGTCCGTTTTAAAAAGGAACTCATTAGATCCTTTCTAGATCTCCTGTGAAAATAAACATAGTTTACCTGAATACTTTTTCGGTGTGAAGTGAACACTGAAAGCCATTACAGGACTTATAGTGCAACAACATGACCGGGGACCTGACCTAACTTCAATCGTTCAATTACAAGTCACGTTTACAACAAAGGAGCCTGACTTTGACAGTTTGTTAACCGTTCAGGACACGAAAGATAGAGGAATAACTTCCAATAAGAGCCAAGAAGTGTCGGTGGATGTTGAATTCGTTGCACTGTAACTATAAAATAGCAGGTTATGTTTACGGGTCTTAATATGATTTGTTAAACGTATTTATATTGGAATTTCTGACTTAGGACAGTTTTAAGTGAAACTTGACAGATCTAGCTATCGCAGGGTTTTCTTTACATGTGAAAAGTTTTAAAAGCAGCATGACGTCGCGCCAAGAAGTCACGATGACCTGTTCTTGGTTGTTTATTTTTATGGTTACATGACCATCCGGCCAATTTTGTCAATTTTACGAAAGAGAAGGCGATGCAGGATACGAAACATTTCCCCAGAAAAGACTTCATTTACCTTTACTGGTTGGCATAATTTCTTATCTGTTTTCTTTTAGGACAGCCCACATCTACATGAGTTTCTCAAGCAATCGATATCAATGAATCAATTTATTGACCATCAGATAATATAGGCTTAATATAAGTCACGGAAATTAAATATTGCGATATTAGTCAGCGATTTCACTAACCTACGGAAACGGCGGATGCGGTCGTCAAGTATCTCAACGCAATTTGTATTTGTGCAGTTGAGTAATATTTTTAAATATTGCTTGTTCACTCCGTAACTTGGAAAGAATGTGATTATTTCCTAGTTTTCAGTAATCGGAAAAGTTATCTACCGAGTAATGTATCTCATTTACAGAAACTACTGGTACTGCTTGCTCAAGAGATGGTTAACTTTAGCCCAAGGTTAAGCCAATTTTAAAACAAAATCAGTCTCTCGTCTAGAAATATATAGTTGGAGCTTATCACAGAGCTGTTGAGCTCTCTAATCAGAGTCGTTTTAAACAAAATGACTCAGTTATTAAGTCAAAATGACAGTCCACTGAAAACAATTCGCCACATCGGTATCAAAATTTTAACGCTTTCCCTTATAAAATGCTCTTCAAGTAACGTCTAGGTCGGCTGGGTTGAAGACCAGCTACGGTTTCATGACTTTTGACGTACTTTTTATTTATAGATACTTTGAAATTGTTCTTTTTTGTTCTCCTTGCGAATGCGGCCCAGTATTTCGAATCGTTCTAAATGCAATCCGCCATATACTCGTCAGGATACTACATAGTTATCGCCAGCGGGCAGCGTCAAAGAAAAACGTGGAACGTGACAGAGGGCTTCAAACTGACGACCTTATTGGCATCAACAACTTTTTATTAATAGATACTGTGAAACTGTTCTATTTTGTTCTCCTTTCGAATGCGGCCCAGTATTTCGAATCGTTCTAAATGCAGTCCGCGGTACACTCAATCCGGATACTACATACTGATCGCCAGCGGGCAGGGTCATAGAAAACCGTGGAACGTGACAGGGGGCTGCAAATTGACGACCTTATTGGCACTAACCATAATTTGTTCGGACGAAAAACACAGCAATGTTTTGTTACGCTCTCCTAACAGGAAAAGACCAAGCAGAACTCTCGATGAAGGCATGTGCAGTGGCCCTCTTCATGGGACCATACGAGTAAAATTAATGGACACATGCGAAAGGAACTAAAGCAAAAAGGAAACGATTTCATCTTCACCGGAACGTATTGTACCAGTCATAACCTACTAATGTTAAGTTACTCGTTAAAACGACAGTAACGTTCGCACACAAACGTAGTATAAAGTTCGTCTTGTATCGTACCGCAGTGGTTATATTTTTATTTTGCAGTCATTCCCGATACGATCCAACACCAGTCCGTTAACCTAAGATATCCGAACAGATAAATCAGTCGTTAAAGGTGCCCCCTCTGTATCAATAAAGGACATCATTTCACGAATTCGTACAAGGGATTGTCGTTCAACAAACAATGTGCAAATCTGATCGTTTGAACAAACAATAAGCCTAGTTCTGTAAAGTAACAGCAGCATTTAAAAGTTTTCACTACAGTGTAAGATCGGCTTCATCGTATTTGTAGTGGTGGTTAATAATTTTTTTTTGAACTCCTACGCCAAACATTAAGGTATTCAGTATATCATCTCCACTCGTTAACTTACTTAATTCAAGTTTTACTGAGGCAAAACGTGTATTTTCTCAATATCACCTTGACGGTAGTATACATTTATTAGTCACTGATGAAAATATTGGTACCCAATATAGCATCGTAGCTACTTCCTGATAAAAGTTCGTGAGACCAGGCTTGCGAAAGAGCGCGGAGGCAATCAAGAAGCACATGGATACAGCCGGTATCTGTTGGGGCAAATTATTATAAATTCTTTCTTTCTTTTCTGTATTAAATATCATTTGGCTAAAATTCTTAAGTAGAACAAAATTTCGAGAAGAGAGCAGTCACTCCCGTGTGTCAATATCATGAGCCTCCTTTACAAATTTAATTGTGTCTGATACTACGCTTCGCACTTATGATTTTTTCTCGACAACACACGACCACAGGTCACGTAGCAAAGAGATCATACGCCGGTGCAATACTGAAAGCAAATTTTCAGACATGATGAAATTACCGTGGCGAGTTATAAACGACGTTGGCAAATGCAAAAAAAAGGGATGTGGGCGAAACTTGGGAGGGCCCAAAAAATATCAGCAGAGTACAAGAAAACACTGACACGTTTTGAATCATATTCAGGAGCTGAATGGCGGGGGAACACATTACCACTTATGGCTCCTTTTAAATTGAAAGCGGAGGACCGGAGGTTAATTGGGGCGGATTCAATGCTACCACGATGTCTATGATGGTATTCCGAGGTAAATTGGTTGGAATGTATGTCGTTTTGCTTATTTGGTTTGGCCAGTACTTACAGTCTAAAATATTTGGTTTTTCTATTTCCCCTGTAATATAGGCTAGGCTTGGTGAGGCCCGTTTTCCGGCCGGTACATGCACTGGAAGTTTAAAGCATTGATTCATGGAGGTGTGGGCTCTGAGGTCTCCCTGCATTCAACATAACGATTGGGCATCTTAAACAACAAGTAAAAATCAAACGCGTACACTAGAAACTCCCAAATTACTTTTGAAATTTTTACATTTCTGATCTGTCGCAGGTCATATTTTAAGAGATCCTGCAATGATTCCTCAAACACAAGTAGAAATCTTTATCAGTAAATGGACGGAAATTAGCAGAGGGCTGACATTACTTAGTTTCCCTTCGTCCTGGGGTGATTACCGAGGCCGGATATACTCAAATATAGGTACTACCGGCCTCCCTATTTTGTGCACGGTTTTTGCCTCAGTATATAGATGATTTCCTTTCAGCTGGTGTGATACTATCTTTTGTACAACCACTATTAACATATGAACAGCATTTCAAGTGCATTTTTTGATAAGAGTCTTGAAACGTTTACTGAACTACTTGAATGGGTCAATACCTTCTTCGATCTTCTTCCGTTTTTTGCTCTTCTTCTAGATTGCATGAAAGAATGGAATTCTTTTTGCTGTTCTGAATTTACTTTTATTTTCCCCGTCTGAGGCAATGACAGTTGCAATGCCACTGCGGTAGTATGCGTCGTCTCGGTAACTTTATATCACTGAAATAAAGAATTTTGTGTCTTTCAATTTCATCTGAAAGAATCACACAGACAGTTGTACTCGCATTACCAAACAAAACCGGAAGACCTAATGATCTATTAGAATTCATACCCCTTATGATAAATTGAACTTTTCCTTCTGCGGTTATACCAGATTTTGATGTTATGTCCTGGAGAACAATCTCACGTCCGCTACACTTCACTGAGCTACGAAGAGAATGTTTTATATCTGTTTTGTGAATCAATATTCTAATTTGAAACCTTCTAAGAGAACAAATATTCTTAATACGAAATCAAGTTTTCGGATTTTAGCGCGTAAAGTACCGTATATTCCATTGCGTTGACAATTCACTAATAGAAGGAGAGCTTTCTCTTGGTGCTATCCCATTGGTCCTTTCAGATAAACAATTTAATTTCTGTAACTGAAGATCAGATGAAATCAGCTAGAAATAAAAGATTGTGCTACGGGAACCAAGAGTGATGTAGAAATCACAGGTTGTTTGGTCAGGCAACTGAAGAATGCTACTCTTGAGCTCGCGCGCCAGTCTGCCATACATGAACGCGGAGCTAATTTTCCTAGAAGATAATTTGCAGTATTGGGCTCCCAGTTAGCTCCTTACGGCTTGTGCATACCATTTGTCGTGCCACTTAGTAATATACCCAAACCTGTCATCAATTTTTCTGTACCCTGGAACTATTTCTTTTGTAGATTGCTTTGATAGCTTTATCAGTTTCTTCTTAGCCCGAACCTCAGGCTTACTTTGAATTGAGCCTTCCGCATGCGCTTCTTTTCTCTTACTCGGCTGTAATTTATTTTCTGGCACCAAGCAAGGAAGTTTATTCGACTTCTCAAGCTCGTCTCGCTTCCAATACGAAAAACTGTCGTAACCGAAGAGAGGACGATCAGGAATCCGATCGGACACATCGAATGCGTCTTTACGTTCTTCGGGCTCTAAATGCGTCATGTAATCAGGTCGTTCGTACGTTTTGGATTTTTCGAGAGTTTTGTAACTTCGCTTTCCATAAGTTACTTTATATTTCTTGCGCTTTTCTTCTTCGCTTAGCACCTTTTCCTCCTCTCCTTTTCCATCACCGTGATGATACCATTCTGGGACATGATAAGCTTTGGGTCCAGTATTTTTGGGTTCGTTTTCCAGATAGCATAAAAGGTTTTTTCTCCCTCCTGTTTTGGCCAACTTCACGTATTTTGAGTCCGTTTCCAGGACACGTCCAACGTTAATGTTTTTCTGCAAAGCACTGTCTTCCTTCACAGTCTCATTCGTTAAATCTGGTACTTGAGAAATAGGAACTTTAGGCAGAGTTTTTGAATCTTGCTTTTCGCGATTGGGTATGGAATAGCAATACCAAATCTCCTCTCTTTCTGGTCTGTCTAAGGGCTTGTAAAATGGCTTCACCATTTTTCCCCAAATATGACTCCTTTTACCTCAGCAATTATCCCGAAAACCTAAAGGAGTCGATCCGTTAGCAGCATGAAATCTGTTAATCTCTTTGCACTAAACTGACCGACCTCATTAATAAGTTCAGTCTGTTGTACAATTAGACCATTTTCGAAAGAAAAGAAGTATTTTTTGGTGTATTTACGTAGGTGTCAGTGAATTATTAATGTCGATAATTATGGCCAACCATGAGTTAATTCTTGAAACAGCAGGGAACAACTGTAAAAACTAAAGGAAAAATATCCCTGATTCACGCTACTTAATATGTTGTTTAGTTGCTGGACCTCGGGAGTAGAAATTTGACTCGATAAAATCTCGAACTGCTCATTAGCACTCAAGTTTACTGTAGTCATTAATAAATAAACTACAGAACTACGACTGAAATATTCTTGATCCATAATATCTAGCCTTAACTGCTAATAAGATCACGTAAAACAAAACAAACAAAACTAGAAGAAAACATTCAATAAAACCTCTTCGACTGTCCAAAAAAAAAATCTTAGACATCTTTTTCTAAGCCAAATCAACTTTTATCTACGTTAGGTATAGTAAGTGTATTTGAATAAGCTCACTTACCTTATAATAAAAACGATTTTCAAGAGTGGCTTCTTACTGGTTGCTCCATCATAAAGATTAATTTTTTCAGACCCAAGCCAAAGCAATATCAAAGTGTTTTCATAGTAATTATAGTTTTCACGCGTAATACATCTAAATTAGCCAGCCGCGCGAGCTAATTTAGCTGTTTCTTTATATAATGAATTATGACGCATCGTGAGCAATCTGCTATCACAAATATGACGTATTTGAAAACAATTTGAATTAATTTGTGGATTTTTTATCACTAATAGTCACTGGTGGCTAGATAACTCCAAAGTTGTGTTGCTTGTAAACGAATTGGTGCAAAGAGTTCGAATACTTATAAGTCGAGAGTGTGAAAATGCATTTCCTTGTGTTAACAGGGGATTTGAAAAAACTAAGTGTGTAGCGTGAGTGCATGGTTTAGTCATTTCTCCCTTTGAAAACTACAGATCAGGCAAATGAAAGCTCGAACTATTTTTAAACAGCGAACGTTTTCATAATTAAAAAAGACCATTAATGAGGTAAAGTTTATTTTTCTTATTACAAGTTGTTGAAATCTTATGCAACTAAAAAACGAAGCTAGTTTTCTCCGTTCCAACTCCTCAGTTTTATTTCCCTTGAGCACTCCATTGTTTAACTGCTTTAAAGAGCATAACCTTTCTAATATGGACTGCAGACTCCAGCTTTCATAGTTCCATCCTTTGCACTTTTTGCAAACACACCACTGTCTCAGCTCTAGGCTGCATTTTACTGATGAAGCGCGGAAACACAAGAAAAGAAAAGAAAGTGCAAGGTTGCGTCAGAAGGCCTCGAGCGCAAAGCTGAGTTGCTAAATAATATATTGAACATTTTTTTTTATCGTGTAAGCACTGAACATGCTATATAAAAGGCGTTTAGGAATAGCAGTTAGGCGAGGGGGAATGCAACTCAAACGACAATTAACTAACTCCCAACGAGTCATTTACAATAGGATGAGAAAAGCCCTCGACGTAGGCATTTGACTCGCAGTGGTAACCTTTACCCAAAGAGGAGGAATTATGCAGTTATTTACACTTTGGCTGCGCTCTTGCTTTTCTCATTATTTTTAAACACGCTTGTATTTTCGGGCGCAGAATAAAACAAAAGAAAGCAAAAGGCATTTAATTCATTCTTTTGGTTCCCTGCTCATCTATCGACTTGGTCGACCAGCTTCTGTCTTGAGGCTAGTCTTGCGACGGATCGATTGCCTGCGAATTGGACTACGGAGGAGTGCCAGGAGAAATGACCAATGGGTAACAGTTTTTAGGTGTGTTAAATCGACGTCATAACTGAAGAAGCAAAACAGTGGTAAAACTACGTTTAATGTGTCAGGAGTGGGTAAAATGACCCACTGCCTCAGCCAGGGCTACAGGAATAGGAAGACCAATGCAGTAAAATTGCATAGAATTTATGACTACATTTTATTTCCATATTTTGCCGCACAAGGAATACGGTATTTACTCGGTTATTTACATGGTTGTTTAATAACACAATAGGATAGATATATTTAGCGAAGACGACCAGACGACAGGTACAGTGACGACAGCGCGCGCAGGACTAAATACCGAATTGGCCAATGGCTGAGCGGCGTTAATAGCCCGCGTAGCAAGCGTTTCCGTGCTTGTTTGTTGAGAAAGGTGCAGGTGAAGCGCTCCCTCCTCTATTTCCCTTATCTTGATCATAGTTTCAATTTCTTAACGAATCCAGGCGGAAACCATATGCTACGAGAACTACGACGTAAATGCACGCAGCCGGTAAAAAGGGCGGGAAACTATCCTGCGAGTAGTTCTCATGCAACCGGTATTTATAGGAGGGAGCTTATAAAGCAACCACGACAACGACGATAGTGGAAAACCTCACTATTAAAAAAATGAGATTGCAATCTTTTTCACTTTCTCACGTTTATTTAGCCTCACTCAGTTTGTCAAATGTAGGGAAATTTTACTGATTCTTCATTCAAGTTTAAAAAGAAAAAAGGAAAAATCGTCTTCGTGTGTTCACGTTCTCTATATAACGTCGCGTAAGAAAGTTTCACGTCTAGTAGATGTCAGAGAGATGAGCCAAAAAGTATGATGCACGTCCTGAGCTGTTATTTTGCTTATAAAACCAATCGTTTTTGACGTTCTTGTTGCCTCCGTCGTCGTGGTTGCTTAAGCTACCTCAATTGATTTCTTTTGCCCAGCCAGAGACTGCAAAAGCGACGCCCAGAAGAAATCTGCCCAACTGACACTAGAATGTAATTTGGAAGACCTCTAAGATCAATTTTGACAGTGGATTAATAAAGAGAGGTTCTCGAGTCACCTTAAAAAGTAGTTTCTATAATATGTATCCATTTCCTTCCATTCACCGAAAATTGGTGTTGCTGCAGCCTTTTCTATATGAGAAGAGATCCTGGTTAACAAAAACAGCAAAAAGATGGGAAGATATGGAATTCAGATGACAGTGCCTCATTGACACATGAGGCGGACTAACCACAGATGAAAATAAAAATATGTCAAGAAAACCCCAGGCGATGGGTTCACTTCTGTAGACAGGCCTAAGGGAGTCCCTAAGGGATACAATCATATGACTGAGTAAAAGTTCCCTCCCAGTGACTAAATGAGCCTGTCTTCCTGTTTTCAGTGTTTTTATGATTAAAACCCCGGATACGTGTGCATGAACGAGTATTTTTGTACTAAAGTGGCGCCTCATTCGCCCCTCTGTATACACGCAAGTAGGCAAGGCAAAGAAATGTATATACACATTGTTCAAGTTCACCTCGTCTTTTGACAGATTAATACATAGAACTGACTATTTAAGCGCAAATCATACATTTTACAGTCCCTCAGTAGATTAGTAACCTTTTGATATGGTACTGTTTTTGCAATAACTTACAAATCTACCTCCATATTAGCCTCTGATCGCCATGGCGTTGTTGTCTCTGACGAGTAAAGTCTGACCAATGTGACGGACGCCATCTTGGATCAGACTCTGACGTGAACCCGGGGAGGTAACGCGAGGAATGAGCTTTCGCCGGGTTTCCATCTTTATTGTACTCGCGCGCCATCTCTGGCGTACTTATGAAACTCAACAAGTTTCTTTGACCTCCAGCTTTTGCACGCTTTACATAATCAGAATCACTGTCCCGGATTCTAGTTTTTATGGGCTTTTCCAAGATATTTTTCTCATGTACGTATCCTCCGAGGCAACTGACTTGTGAAATGGGGGGAAGTTTTAAACTTTCACCAGGACCTTTATCGTCGGGGAGTTGTCTTCCCCCCATGGATATTTGAGAAATAGGTGGTAAATTTCCTGGGCCATAATTCAGCGTCCTTCTGCGGCCATAATGTTGTTCTTTCAAAGCAGCTGTTTGAGACATGATTTCTTTTTTATGTTCGTCTATTTTCTGTGCTCTACGAGTCTCTTCGAACGTTGCAGGATCTACACGGTTTTGGGGTAAACAGTCTATTTGGGAGATGCGAGGAAGTGTTGTAGTGTCGATTTGAGGAAAATTACGCATGGAAAAGTCTTGATTCCCCAATCTTGCACTCTTTTTTCTGTGGCTTGTCGTGTACCATACATGAAGTTGCTATGGTTGCTATCACCAATCTGGAATCCAATGAAAAGCTGTATATTTTCTTTCCTTTAAAGATCAAACAAAATATATTCATTTAACCTTACTTCTCATTTACTGACCAAGATTCTAGAAACGATATACGTCAGTACATTTTCACGCTGACACGTGAGAAATATCGCAAAATATTTAAAGAAAATTTGCTCATTTGCACTTTGTTTTTGCAGCTGAATACTAATCGCCACTCTTTTGAAATACGAAACAAACAGTATAGGACCAGCTGTTGTTATAGAAACATGATGAAATAAAGATAAATGTATGATATGATACAAAAAAAATGGTCCCTCGTAGCGAGAAAACTATCCTGTTGCAGTTTCATAGGGCCGATGAGCGCTTCGTAGTTAATTGCTCGCGACATGAAAACTTATTTAAGTAACAGAATATTGTGGCTGAATTACCCCCAGTGTGACCACCATGAAAGGAAATTATCTTAAAGTTGTGAGAGAACAAAGAGGTTTAATTATCAAGAAACTAAACTTAGGGATTAACTACCCAAACATCAAAGAAATAATTTATTGCTTGTGGTAAACGTTTTTGCACTTGTTTTGTTCGATCTTTCGTTGCAATAATTTTTCTATTATTAAAAGCGCGAGTTATCAACCCCAAACTAAGACGTAACGCATGGACGGTTTTGTAATTTAGCTCTATCATCTTTTACTTTAAAGCTTTACCGATATGCGGATACATCACTGCAAAAGATGCATCCTAGTCAAGAAGAACCCCACATGAGACTTATACTATTGTTTTCTTCTTGCTGTTCAGGCTTCAAAACGATTGCCAAGACGACTGAAACGCTGAATGCAAAAAACACGCCAGAAGCAAAGAAAGCAAACCTTTCATCTTGATGCTAAAATCCGAAGATACGACTAAAGAACCGAAAAGGTTTCCTCAATTGGAACCAAATCGAAAAGCCGCCAAAACAAAGGGAAAGGAAGACGCTAATAATTTCTGCAGCATCACAACTGAGTGTTTGAATTTCAAGCAACCATCTTGCCGTGCTTGAACGACGCTAATTTGACCACAACAGTAGAGCGAAATCAGTCCTCTCTCTAAAGCGGCTTAGATATATCGCTTGAAATGCTCTTGATGGCTCAAGGAAAAAAGATATGTAATATTCTATGCCGCTGATCTAAGCGAACGCACATAAATTGATCAAGTTTCATGCAAAACTCGCTCACCTGATTTCTTCAATCTGGGTAGAAAGTAAAATCCATAAATAAAAAGTACGTTTGTCACACTGTCTATAGTCTATAGCAACGCGAATCAACAGAAATCTATGTTGTCACTTTCTGTCACCTCTTGGCCTCAGTGGTGCTTAAGAAAACTGTGACGACACGCTTGGCAGCGACCCGGATGCTACGAAGTGAAATTAATTGGTTGTCTATTTAAACAAATGGCAAGACAAGTTTTCCAACAGATTTGTTTTTATCTGCTAGAGTAAACAATTTTAAATCTCTGTATCCCACAAAATTGACTGCTAAAGACAAAAAATTAAAAGTGCAAGCTATTCAAGACTCCTTTCTCGTTGTAGACTTAACCTCCGGCAGTTTTCGAACCAGTAGACAGTCTCGGCTAGTTTGACAGTATGCCAGTGTGTACATTAAGGCCCTTAAGGCACAAACTGAAAAAGTGAACACAGAAACCGTTCTACTTTTTCGTAACCCGTACTCACGAACACACCAGTCAGTTCTTGCTTGTTTTCAGTTTGTTGTATTGTTGTTTTAATAAGTTGGGTTTATTCACTTGAATAAATTAGTTTATTTTTCGATTTGTCAAAATTGATGGAACAGGTGCGTTTTCCTTTCAGCGGCGGTCATACAAATTTTACTCACTATTACTGAAATGAAAGCACGAGCAAGGACTCGCTATTCATTTTCTTCACGACTGGTTTATTTCGTCAATTTGCTCTGAGTCGAAGGCGTAGACAAGTCTGTAGTTTCCTTCATTAAACGTCCTAGCTTTTTTTCGAATAGAATTTTCTACTGAGTAAATCAGTTCCCCGAAAGTGGTTGTAAGCATATCAGTCGAATACTTTGAACGGTGAAAATCTTTGCATTGGGATACTTTGCTTTTGCCAATATTTCTTGTTTCAACCGCGATAAAAGTTATGGTCAATAAAATGAGGTTCAGTTTCTCGCCAAGAAATAACGAAAAACACCCGGCGTTCGTCATGATTGTTTTCTACTAAAACCATTCTTAACAAACAAGGATTTTTTTTCTATGTAGCTGAAGCTCAAAAAATGGTCTGATTATACTCCGACAGGTAGCATTTAACCAACTTTTTGGCTTTAGTGGTATAATTTTCGTGAAAAACTTTACCGTAGGCCATATTCACATAGGTTAAAAAAGCACTCGTATCCCAACTCGTATATCGAAAGCTCTGAACCTCAGTCATTTTTGTTTCCGGTAACCTAGGCAACAGTAATGTTGAGAGGAATCTTGCCTTCGACAAGTCATTCTTGCATTTAAAGCCCACAACCTTAAGAAACCCAGCGAAATTGTTAAAATCAATCACGTTATTAACGAAAAATCAAATATCAAATTTATCCGGTCGACCAAGATATTCCGGGGTATAGTCACTGATGAACTGCGTCAAATTTGACTAACTCACATGCAATATAAAAACATGAAGGATGTTATTTTAACTTGCCTTGTAGAAACAAAACAAGGTGAAGAAGTCCATGCACATTCGCTGTTCGTCTTCACACGAGAGTTGCGATTTCCCTGCCTCGCAAATCCACCGGCTCACGTTTTATCAGCTGTATTCATAAATGCGTATGCAAAGCTTAGCTTCCCTTGTGTATGTTGAGTCGTCATTTGAATTGTCTTAAATCAGGCGATAATATACTCAGCACTCTCCACAGCTCGTCAAAAATGCCATACTGAAATGTGGGCAACATGAAAATGACTGTTTTTGCAAAAAATTTGAGAGCTGCTTCTTAAGGTAACAGTTTTATTCAATGGAATCTTGATCAGAGGTGTATGCAAATTAAAGACGACTTTTGTTTGTTAAGTTACCCGACAAAACATTGGCAATCCCCGGACTACCTGCTGAGTTTATTGTACTTGTCACTTAGCAACAGCGAGGAGTTTACTTCCGCCTTTCAGGAAAATCTTAACGGCCCATGCCAAGGTTGCGAAGCAAATTGCGTACAAAATTTGCTACAAGAAACTGAATCTGAAGACACAATTTGGAGGCGCGTGACGTGGAAATTTGCTACACGCGCGGGATTAATCATTTATTATCGATTAGTTACTTGATCCGACACTCTCATTTAGCTCTCAAAAAAAAGCTGCTATTAATGTCTCAATTTGATGAATTTTAACGCCATTTCATTTTTTGGGAACTGCTTCGATAGACAGAACAAAATGTCGGAAACTCATCACGCTTCAATAGTAAAGAACTCGACAAGAAAAGGCTGTTGCCCAAAAAGGAAACGTTCTTCGCAAACTCCGCGCATAATTTCCGCCATTCTTCATGGTAAAGCCACGCTGATACAAAGTTATAGAGCGGTGAATCTTTATCGCTTTGAACATGTAAATGACAAGGACGACGCTATGGTAGTTATAGCAGAGGAGTGGCCCTTTGGAAGACGAAAAGTTCCGCCGGAGAAACTAAGTATCAGTAAACAGGCAGGTAAATATTTTGAAGTTGTTTGCGCTTATAAGACAAGCAGTGACTGTATCACCAGGGATTCTAAGAAGAAATAAAAGAGCTTAGGAACAGCACAAAGGCAGCGAGGAAATTAGTCCATATGATCCACCGAAACAAAGACTTTCAATTTCGATGAACTCCCTTGAAGAGTCGAAGGATTTCCTTGTACACGGCAGCCCGGTCGAAGGTTAGCGAAGTCACTTTGCTTCTGGAATGGACACCGCATATGATATGATTGTCACCTTTCAAAAACTGTATAATTTATCACTAAGAGACTTCAGAGTCATCTCGTAACAACGTGATTCAAGTTTAAGGTGATGTTACGCGGGACGATTCGTAACAACGATTTTTAGCGCTACACAGCGTTGCAATGTTGGAACAATGTTGTAACTATTCGAAACAATGCCGCAACAATGCTGCAACTCTGAGTTGCCCTAAAAATAAACCGTCGTTGCGAATCGTCTCGCTTAACATCTCCCTTATGAATCACTCAACCTTCAATGGAGACCTTTCTCATGTAAGCAGCATTAGAGAGTATCAAGGTTTGATCTCTTATGGTGCACTTGGTAATGCAGACTTTTCTCCTTTGAATATTAGGGCCATTTAAACAAGGAAAAAGTCGTCTTCAAAACGGCAAAAGCTATGTACCATTTTGAATAGCTTATAAGCTGCGTCTTAGCTCAGTTGCTACTAATAATTTAGTCTGGAATACATTTTTTGTTCCATTTACACGAGAACTTCACGTTCTCGCGTCTTCTGTAATACGTGTCATATTTTTTCTGGTATAAATAGCACTATTTATTGCGCGAAACTCTGAACCAAATTGAATAAAACGATGACAGGCGTGTTTGCAACGGTAAAATTGCATTTATTTACATTCATTACAAACAGAAGTGGGGAGCTTCAGAGAACTGGTGGCGTAGTGAGCATTTTATGCCTCAATAAAAGATTTCCGGCCTTTGATGCACTTGATAAGAAATCCCATAATCAACAGAGGAGGGAAATGAAGTGTGTAAGGCTTTACTCTTTGTGTACGGTACATACGTCTGGGCAGGTTCTATAACCATTCTTCAACGGGAGTTCCTCTTCCACTGAAAATCAACAAGACAATAAACATTAGCATCACCATCAGCCGGGCTATGTTACTTAATGCTATCTCTGGTTTGGATTGGTTTAGATTACATAGACTAACAAAGTTTCAGTTAACTTCCTTTATCATTCATTTATAATATTTCGCAGTTTTTAAATTGGCTTTAATCCCAGCTAGTGGTCTATTATCAATGCTGCGTTCTTATTGGTTGAGTTGCTACTAGGCTACTGATATGTTATAGCCCACTAGTAGCGAAAAGCGCCGGCTTTCTGGCGGCAAAAAAAGGATTAAAGTCTAGCAATAACTAGCTAAAGTTTACTAAAGTTTTTTGGTCTCGATATTTTTGACCGACTAGCAGGATTTTACTAAAACAATTATTCCTCTCGCCCTCATGGCCTCTCAGTCAATAGCCCATTCGGCCCTCGGCCTCATGGGCTATTGACTCAGAGCCCATTCAGGCTCGAGGAATAATTGTTAAATAGCCTGCTGGCGCTGACCAAATTTGAAAAATGCGAGCAATTTGCCATCGGTACAATGGTACATTGTCCCGATATACAATCGCAACCTCGTTTCCTGGTAGCGGCGCAGGAGCCTAGCTGTTTTAGCATGAGTGAAAATAAGTTCACAGTTATTTCAAGACGAAGTGGGCGAATAACTGACTAAAACTGAACAGAAAAAATACACTAATAAGCAAAAAAAAATTGCTAGATGGATGTCATCTACTAAACGTTTTGAAGAAAGTCTACGAGAAGGTAAGGTTGCGCTTAGAAATAGTTTGAATGAATGAAAAAAAAATTATTGACTTGGGCTTCAGTGGCACCAGTCTCAGTTTTTTCCCGCGCATTTTCACCTGCTGTTGCTTCCCGTATCGACGGGGGTTGAGTACAATTCGGCTTTGTTTCCTGTTGACTGCAGCCTGCCAGCAAATTCTTCGTGCCGCGAAGCAGCGATTGCGTTCATCTTATTTTTCCACATTGACAACAGTGAGGTTGCAGCGCCTATAATCAATCAATTTCATATTCGATCAATGAGTCAGTCACACATTACTGAGTCGTAATTTAGGCAGTCAGTCAGTGAATGAATTCTAAAATTAGTTAAGCTTAGTCTTCTTTATTTCCTCACCTCTCCCTGTCTGTTTATTGAATCCTGGTTGATTATCTCCACGAAATTTCTTGTGCGCCTGCTCTGAGACCGCTGTACCCAAACCTCTTTTAAACATATGATCATTGTTGGTATCACCGCGGTTAAAATCCGTTTTTTCTCTTTCAGTCATGCTCTGGTATCTGGTGATATAAAACAGTGTTAGTTAAGTCAAGTCAATTTTTATTTAACTCACACAGAATATTAGTACTATTTACAATTTGCTGGTTTGAAAAATAGGACTACAAAATGTGAAAAAGGAAAGGAAATTATTTCAATTTTAGGTTGATTGTCCAGAGTTCGGGACATCTAAATAGTTCGTAGAACTAACCGCGTAGGTGACCCAAAACAAGAATACGAGTAGAAGAAATACAGTGACAAAAAAGCTGTTTTAGATATGAAGTATTAAGTGTACTTCATAAACTAAAAGTAAAAGTAAAGAAAAGAAAATGAATCTCTTTCGCTCAAAGTGAGATCTTTATAGATCTTTAGACACGTTAAAGTGACTTGCTGTCCACATATTAACTAGTGCTCTACCAAAAAAGTTTCTAAAAGAAATCATTTCACACTTCGCAAGCTGACCTGTCAATCTCATGCCAGGACAGGGTCACTTCGGAGAGACTGGATTTAGTGACTCCTACCTCTGTACAAGATAAAAGAAGGGAAATTATAATATGAAGTGCACTGTTCCCAATCAGGGATTAAGAAATGTAAAGATGAAGACTTTCGATGTCAATTGACAACCCACTTTCAATTTCATCCGTGGGTGTCTCTCTCCTTGGGCTCCCTGTGGCACTGCTTGAAGGGCTTGTGCCTCGCAAACACTCCAGTACCTGAAAATTGTGAAAGATGTAAGTCCAGTGCAGTAGTATTCCCAGCAAATATCTGGTAAGATTAGCAAAAAAGTATCATAGCCTTCAAAGTGAATGAAGAACCGATTTCAAAATCATACCGATAGTCCAGCATTGTCCGTTTTAGAGACAGTTGACAATGTATGCAGTTATGGTTACCTTTTCATGCATCTTGGATGTTCTGCTAGCAGCTTCAAGAAAGGTGTCTAACTCGGCCCACACTTGACGATACTGCTCTTCCCTGAACAAACAAACAAACAATCAAACAACAACAAAGATTGGAATCAAAACTCATGACTTTCAAAACCCTGTCCGACTCTAACAACAACTTAGGCCGCGTCCACAATTAATTGCCAGATTTAGAGCGACTCCATGGCACACGGAAACAATTCTTTTTGTCATTTTCCGCGCTTATTTTTAGGAACCTTTCCCGAAAAGACCCTCCGCCTGTTGAACATGGGCCTGGAAACCAGGGTAAACATTTAAATAAAGGGAAAAAGCTTTAGTAGGCACAGTGCTCCAACCAGGGAATGTAAACTTTAACGGCACTCAGTGTCAACCACCATCGTTTCAGTGCCAGAGCACGGTACCCCAGAATGACCATCATGTGCAATGACCTGGACACAGCCTTTTTGCCTAAGCAGAAGGGCGGAGTTGCTGAAGTGAATAAACCATTTATTTTTCAGTGCCTTATTTTTTTTTTCTTTTCGCTTCAAATTAAGTTTAATTTCCAGCCTTGAAAAGCTTTTACCTCTTTGGTCCTTTGCCCCTGATTCCTGTCATGGAGACAGGAAGAGGATCATATCTACTCTCCATGGCCTGAACTTTGTAAATTACCTGAAGAAAACATAGAAAACAATGCAAAATGATACTAAAGTATGACAGCCTTAACTTCAATAAACTTACTCATGCTTTCCTTTGAAACTGTCTAAGAAACCCTATCCCCTCGAGAGCCAATCCCATCCAATGCTCTTATAAGAACTGGATTTTGATCTGAAGTCACCGAGCGATGAGTCATTTATTGGGATCAACTTGGAAATGTACAGCTAGGCTCAGAGACTTAGTTTGTTACTGGGAGTTATCACAATAACTGTTTTGAAAGTTCTTACCCTTTTACACTCCAGCATTTCGTCCTCTGTAAGAGTCTCTTTCATCAGCAGGGTGGGGAGGGGTTCTAACAGCTGTTTGGAGGCAAAAATATACATTCTGAGTGGTGAAGCTTGTGAATAACAAGCAAAGTTGACGGTAACGTAACGTCGAGGATCAGTTGACAGTATTCTCTGCTTTATACAACAAAATTGGACATTGGCATACAAAAGAGCCATTGGCTGCCAATATTGGTCCATTTGTGAGCTTACTGTGTGATATGTGTGTGTGATAAGTGAAGTAATAACAGATGTAGAAACCACCGTGAAAATTCCTCTTCTCTTTTCAAACAGTAGTGTGGGATCTTTTACATCCCCTTCTAGTTAACTAATGAAAGATGGATAAAGGTCAAGATCAGCGGCTTAATGTCACCACCCAATATACAAAACCGTAAGGTGTACAATTCTCCAAAGAATATCCCAAATAACCCTCAGCAAATCTAGACACAAAATACTACATGGAGGAGTAGATATCCGCTATTTCAGTACAACAGTATTTCACAAACCTGCTTAACGTTGCAAAGTATTGTTTCACTGATCACCAGGGGCCAGTACCTTGTGCAGCGCTCTAATCTTGAAAGGCCTGCGAAAAAAACCGTTTTTTTTTCTTAAACGTTACTGTTCGTTCATGCCCTTAAATGGTCAACAGTGTCATTCTCGGGAGCTGTGTGATGTACAACAGTTTTTTGTTGACCAAAAGATGTATGAGAGTGAAACACAGAATTTTCTTACAGTTGTTAAAACCTTCAAAAATGATTGCATGTCAAAATTTTAAAACTAAACTTTCGTTACTTTACTGAGTATTACTTTGCCTTGGGTACAGAAAACCTTTTCATATTATTTTTTGATGTTAAGCCTAACAATAACATACAAGAATCTTATTTAAAGTAAAGAAGACTTATGTTATGTCTGTACCTTTTTCCAAGGGAGATTTTCCCTTCTTTTTATTCCAAGAACATGGTGCAAGCCTGTTGGCTTTCATAAATTCACCAAAATCCTGTTGGTCAAATTGTACAGAACAAAAAAAGCTACAAGTAAATCGTTATTAAACCAAACGACACACATTCAACATCATAGTTGAGTTATTATCTATTTAATATATATATTTGTTAAGGAAACAAAATAATAATGCAACCACCTTAGTTTCCAATCTTTGCTTAAGTCATTTGCCTGGACTGGAAAAGTAGTTTTATTATAATACAGAGGAGACATAAAAGACCCTCAGAAAAAATGATATTTGAATGATCACTTCCCTTAACAAAATACAAAAACAGTTCCTTCTTTCTTACTCAGTTGTACTCTTTTTGAGCAACATACTTTTTCTTTTCTTTTTTTTCTTCAATTTTTTTATAAATCATTTTTTGTTTCATTCAGTACCCTTAATCAACATGGTGTATCCCACATTTTCAGGAAGATTATTGTTCATAAGCCCCTGGCTTCTATATAGGTTTCTTTGCCATAAACATATCAAAGATTTGTAAAATAGAATAATGACTCTCCTCTTTAATATATATATATATATATATTTTTAATTTATTGTTTTGTAAATTATAAATAATTACACTTAATGGTTAATAGCATTATATACTACTACATGAAAAATTTCTGCAATTTGATTGGCTTAGAGCAGTGGTTTTTGCAGCTTAATTTGAAATACCTCTGTGTGAAAATTACAAATCTTTTGCAGGTAGTGGTATAAACAAATAATAGCATGATTTGTACGTGATATTTGGCATAAATACAACTCGTGATATTTCAAAATTGTCTAAAATTTCACTCGCCTAACGGCTTGTGAAATTACGTATAACAATTCCAAAATATCCCTCGTGGTATTTATGCCAAATATCACTACAAATCATGCTATTATAACCTATGCAAATAAATGAATGAATGACTAGCCTGTTCCAGGCGTTCAGATAGTAGAGTGACAAAGAAAAAAACTGAGCGGATTTTTTTCTCTCGTTCTCCCAGTGTACAATTCAACTCGCTCCCCAACATCTGACCGCCGCACTCTACTAACGGAATGCCCAGAACAGGCTCATGAATGAATGAAATGAAAGTGACTAAATTCTACGACTCCAACTTACGTTAATTCTGTAGTCTGTGACACGGCCCCCACAACCTTCACTGATGGAAGGGGGATCTTCCATCGGAGGTCGAAAATTTGCTAAACAGTGAATGAAAATGTCACCTAAAAATATAATACAAGATAAATTGTAGTCGGGTTAATTAATCTGAGCAGAGTTACCCCTACAAAAAATCAGAATCACCTCCATGACTTGCTAAAATATGAGAAACTAGTTTTCCACCAGACTTTCTGGGCTGTTCTAACATGACCTGTCGACCTAAAAGTAAGCAAAAGAAGATGGGAGACTGTATATGTAATACACATTAAATGATACTAGATTATTATTTTACCAAAGCTATAATGTCAAAAAATCAATGACAAGAACTCTTCAGTGTGTACATATTTGTCATCAACAAATTTACTACCTACACTAGGTACTGGGATGACAGATCAGGGCCTGCAAAACAGTTTTAAAGTGCGGGGGCCTGTGACCACCTCTTTTGAACTTGCAGGCCCGGACTCTTACTATATCCAAATTATTTTACAATTATAGTTACGAACAGCAAATGTATTTGCTACGTCAGCAAGGCAAATTTATCTGTTGTCTCTTTGTGGCTGTTTAGATTTGTCAGATTACTGAAGCTAAATCTTCAGCCGTTGGCAAGGACCTTTCTCCTGTTATGGCACATGCAGGATTCACCAGCAGAGGTTTGCAGATCATGATCTTCAGAGGTTCCTGTTATTCCTTCATTTTGTCTAGAGTGTCGTCTAAACATGTAGTATCACAACCACTGATCAAAACTTTAAATTTCCAGTTTGGCTTTTAATGCATCAGAGACCACATCACCAGCCACTATAATTTGTTTTAAGAAACCGTTAAAATCGTTTGAGTAGTAGCTATTAGTCTCCAGATTTAACCAAGAACCTTTATCAAAAAAGACTCCATTCCACATTGTTGCATATGCTACATAGCCTAGCTGGTTTGGAAACGTACAAGTCTACTCTTCATATAGAGTTCTAAGCAAAGTTAATAAAAACATAATTCCTTTACCTTGAAGGAGAAAAGATATCAGGCATGCTGTAGGTCTGCTATTCACCTGATGAAAAATGAAATTGTCTTAAACAATCAATCAATCAATAACTTTTATGAAATGATGATAAATATGAATTTCATATTTTTGAACTGCGAGAAGAAGAAATAAATACAGAAAAGATTATCACAGTTAAAGACACCACAAGTGGTGCACAAGATTAACTTTAGTAGCTGCATAAATTAAATAAATTTACAAATTGTTACATACAGTTGTACCGTACCTCAACTGGGGTGATTCTATAACATCCAGTGCATGCTTGAAGTTCTGGAATGACAAAGAAAATATCAGCATTAGTGGAAAAGTATATTAATTTATAGGCTCATTTTGATGATAATAAAGATAATGATGACAATGATGATGACTAAGGAGATAGCAAATCTACATGGTGGAGTGCCCAGAGGGAAATCTCCTGAGGCACCAACAAGAACCTTCACCAAACTCAACTCATGTATGACCGTACTTCTGGTACTTGAACCCTGGCCACAATGGTGAGAAGTGAAAGTTTCAAATTGTTATATATAACCATCTGTTTACAATCTTACTGACCTGCAGGTAGCTAGGCTAATCAGGGAAGGTCAATGTCACAAGTTCTAATATAACAGATTTCAAAAACAGTTTGAAAAAGAGAGAGATCCTCTACATGACAACCAACTTGCTATAAAGTTGAATTTTAGCTATTCAAAAAGAGCTTAAATTATTGATAGAAATCATATGTACTGTGAGGAGCAGAGATAACAAAGCTGCTCTGATGCTTAATAGTGGCCGCCATTATTCCATCAACCCATCAAATTGGGGTTAATGGTGGGGAAATAGACCTAGGTTACCTTGAAACACAGTTCATAGATTAACGAATTTAGAAGCTGACTGACCTGGAGCAGACGTTGTTTTTGGTGTGCACCACTTAAGATGAATAGTGTCCTTTGATGAAGATGCTCCATCCTTTTTTGTTGGTAAACTGTCATCACCACAGAACAGGTCTACATGAGTAAAAATACACACAACTTATTAATGCACTTATTATGTCCAAGTGTTAACTCAAGACCTCTTTGATTAACTTTCTGTCAATTAGATGAAAGCGTTTTTTTTCAGGTGGTGTATCTGTCGAGTGAACCAGAGATGTATTAATGCTAACAGTGTAGAAGTGATATATCAAGTTTCATCACCAGATGAAGCACTGAGAGGAGAGTTGAAAATACAACGTGCAGTGGAGTATTTTTGATGAATGTTGAGGTGTTTCACCTGGTTATGAGGCACTGTGTCGAATGCTTGATATTACTTCTCAAACAAAATGATTTTAGAAGGAGAAATTGAGGATGCAAAAATGAGCAGTTTTTCATCTAATTTCCAAAAACATCATTAAACAATGTATTTTCTTTATGAATCATTAATGAATTTGAGAAGTGTGGTATATATCAAGAGGCCTAAAATAAATATTTTGGGCGTCAAATATTTTCATATTGTATTGGAACATAATTTAGAACAAAATAAAACAAATTATGATAAAGCAAAATCGGATGCCAGTTTGTATCATATGAATCAATGGTATAACAACACAGAAGAAATGGATAGTGATTTATCTAGTTGATAGTGCTATCCATCTTTGGAACAACCAAGGCCAGGAGCGTAATATCATTCCTGACCAATGATGAAGTCATTTCTAAATTCTCACTTGCGACAGTCTGTTCCATATGCACCTCAGCAGAGTGAAGGATTTCTACATCATAATTAGCTGAACTACCAGAATGTTGCTCTTCCTATAAAACACAGAATTTACATTATTAATGTCAGCAGGCATTTTGATAAGACCTTGCATCAACCGTAGACTAGCAGGAATTATTATTTTCATCTTACTTCATTTTGTAAAAATGTCTCAAGCCGCCACTCAAGCTCTAACACCTACTGTACTTCAAAAGTTATTTAGACCTCTGTATTAGTCAACAATAGGTGGTCATACTATGCTTACAAAATGTTGCCATCACCTTCATTGGAATCCCTGTGACTGTTGTAGATTTTAAATTAAAGTGTTTCTGAGCCATATTACTGAGCTTGCTGACCAGCTGAGAAGCTTTGTGTGAATAGACTGTTGCTGTCAAATTTGCAGAACTCTGAAAATGAGGAGAAAGCAAGTTCTAAACCTTACGTAAAAAAAACTATATGCAAGTATGTCTGACAGTACATGTACATTTAAGTCAGGGGCGGATCTAGGGGGAGGGTGCCGGGGGTGCGCACCCCCCCCCCCACCCTGAGATGACCTGCGGTTTTCTAATACTACTGGTATTCTGCAAAAAAAACTATGTGCTTTATTGGTGTTGAAGTAGAGCAAGGGACGAGTGCACCCCCTCCTAAAAAAAATCCTGGATCCGCCCCTGTAAGTCTTTTTCTGAGAGCAAAGAGGGACAGAGGAAAGGAAAGAAATATTCATGTGAGACTGTGGACAAAATTGTACCAAAATTCTCTTACATCATTTCCTATGTTGTATAAACAATAGGTAAAAATTTGCCCCGGGACATGTTAAACAATACAATGACTTTTATATGTACAAATGCATTATTTTTTTAATCTGTCAGAGTTACCTTAGTTAACTTTTGGCTAGATCATTAAAAAAAGGTCATAAGGTCATACAAAATTCTTTCAGGCAATTTAATAGAGGTACCTGCAATCCTAATCTCCATGCTGCTATTACACATACATGACACATATGTAGCCAGAATTCATTTGGACGTCCAACAAGAATGATTGGAATGCATGGAATGTAATTGGATCACCCGCATTTTAACTCGCTTTCAATGTAAACTGATCATACACATTTTGACCAGATCACATGAAACTTTATGCAAAGCAGAGCATTGGAGAAAATGGTTTTTCAAAACTGGAAAGATTGAAATAGTTACAATAATATTAATATAAAAATGAAAGCTACTTTTAATAAACAAAGACACCTCTTGGGTACAAATGCTGTGGCTGAACATATGTCGTGCTTTGAATTTTTTTTCAAACAAATCTGACTTGTCATTTTCTTGGGCTCAGATGTCATAGTGAAAGAATCAAGAAAATATCTATGAACCCCAAAACGATTATTTCCTAAGCACTAAAATTAGCAAGCAGTTTTTATCACCTTTATTGTTTTTTCTGTGACCTTTCCACTGTCTCCACTCAAAGGAACATGAACTAAAATCAGATCTGTGTGCTTCAAACTTAAAAAAAGAAGATAATTTGGCATGTTTCACTGCATACTAGATGATAAACTTGGGAAAAGAGTATTATCTGTATACCGAATTAATACGGTACATGTAGTACATAAGAGGATGAGAGCTGATAAGCAGTGAGATACTGTCAGTTAAATCCCTGGCAAGCCAATATTAGGGGGTTGAGGATAAATTAAAGTTACTGTCTTTGCTGAACAAGCCACCCTCTGACATTTTTGTTCTGTCAAATTTTGTCAGTAACCTTGTCAGTAAGTACACTGCAAACTGATTTAAAAAATATATGTTATCCATCACCTGTTACTTGATTCACTTTCTTGCTGTCTTACAGCATCAGTCACACAAGCAAAAAGGGTTTGAATATGGGCCTCACTGTAAAAAAAGTTATTATAATTTAATAAAAATAATTATAATAACATCCTATACACTGATATAATAATAAAAAAAATGTTTATCTGGACCAAACAGTCATCTTGGCTGGACATTCTCTGTTGACTGGCTATTACTTTGAGCACGGCATAATTACCTCCTTTGTCTTCATATTATTTTTGTGAGGTACTGGTTTAGAAAGTTGTTAGTTTAACTTTTTACCTAACATAATGAAGATCTTCATCTTTTTACCAACCTTTTCAAATTTGTTATGCAGATTATTCTGCCATCTCCTGCATTTTTTCTGTTTGCTTGGTTATGTTTGGAATTTTGAGGTAATACTTCACTTAGACACTGCACAGCACTTGTTAACCCATGCATAATAGAACATTCCTCTTCACTGTCCTCATTAGGTGGTCCCAGGCTGGCAAATGATTTGAGTATCTGTCAAATAAATATTCAGTTTTAATATTTTATTACACTCAGCCTATACTTATTTATTTATTTATTTCCAAGCTTCACTAAGAGGCCTAGATAATTCACAGAGCAAGCTCCATACACATGATCACAATGTACGACTGAGATTACATTTCAAGGAGTACTACAGTGAGCGGAATTCCTGTTTCTTGACCTTCTTGGGGAAGAGAAAATGGATTGAAATAATCAGGAATTTTGCAGGTTCAAAATTACAATAAATTTTTGTAATATAACTGGTGAAAGCTAGTCAGTTTTTGTTCCAACTATCTAGAGGATAGAAAAATCACGGATTTGAGAAAAATCAGGATTCTGCTACATATGTAGTAATAGGGTACCAATGGTAAATTGTTTTAGCAACAAAAAGGATCAGGCCTTCTAACGAGTTGCATATAGTTTGGAGTGAATTATGTGGAATTTCCTGGAGGTCACATTATGCCGCAACAAAATGATCTACATGTATTTTGCAGGTAAAGTACAGGCCAAGTTCTGGTACACTACCACCATTCTTTTAAACTGAAATGTTTTCCTCCACATGTAACATTACATGTATGTCCTTGAAATTATTATTGTTGTTATATTTTTCTGTCACTGATATTACATAAGTGGTTGGACAAAATGTAACAGCTTTATCTTGAATAATACCATCATTCAATCAAATAAGTTAGGATATAACTGTTCTATCAGTATATTAATTAACTAAATATTATAATCTATTATGACCATTTGAAATCACCTGACCTGAGGAATACACTGTTGTTCATGAGACCACGAATTAAGCACATGAGCATTTTCATCAGATACAACTACCTTCACCTATGAAACAAACATTTATGCAAGATACAGACCCTGTCATACAGTCTTTAATTGTGGGGGGGGTAAGAATGGTTTGGGAGAAGACAACAGTATACATAGCCAATAACTGCATTCTAGAACAACTCTGTTCCCCTTTTTAACAATCCCACCTCATATAAACATCCTCCTAACCATAGCTCTCTTGATAACTGAACTTCTTCAACACTCCAAGCTACAACTGCTTTGGTTGCCATGGCAAGCAGAAAAAAATTGACAAATAAAATTGGAGTGAAATTTGGAGACTTGTGACCTGTGTTTCGTGGTAATGTGTCCAAACCATAGGATTTTTAATAGCCTTGAGATATTGGGCAGATCTCGAAAAATTCAGCTGTGATAGTTTGGAGGCCATTTTGATTCTCTTAACCTCTCAAGTAATATTGCACAAGGTTTCCTTTGTTGTAATAATTTTTTTCTGGTGACCATTTTATGTTATTATTTTAGGTCACCAAAAGGGTGAATTCAAAAAAAGTTGAGCTAAGAGAAGTTTATTTTGTTTCTTCTCTTAACACATTATGTTTTAATGTTTGGATTAGCTGTAAAATATGACTAACTAAAAACACTTTGTAAATAAAAGTGGAATCTTTACAGGGGCAAAAACTGAGGGCTGAGTGGAAATCTTACCCCTTAAATTAAACATTTTAAATATTTTATTATAATTATTTTTATTATTACTATTACTATCAAACTCAGAAAACCATGAATGGCTGAAAATTTTCAGCAATATTGATTGTGTAGTGACCAATCACAATAAAGTTCAGGAAGTGCGAGCAAACCATGAAAACCACAAACTAACTACTGTTGCTGTTTGCGGTCTTGATTTCTCACACCTTATTGGCTTTCTCTTCGCAACATAATAACATTCCATGAATATTTCTGGTGTTCACGGTTTTGTGAGTTTCACAGTAAATGCCACCATCATCAGTATCACTTATATTTAATTGGTTGTTGAGTTCAGAACAGTAAAAGACCAGGCCATCTGCTGGCTGGTTTCCTAACTACTTGCCATTAATGCTGTGATTGAAAGGAAACAAATTGGTCACTGCCAAATGCATTGCCATTTTTCAGCTGCTTCCGTTTAAAAATCGCCTACATTAGTTATGCACACATGTTTTATAGCTGCCAACTTTTTCTGGGTCAAATGCGTGAGATTTTTGCCTTGCCATGTTCGCACAATTTTCAAAAATGTCCCAGCATCTTGCAAGGATTTCCGCTAATTTTCTGAAGCCCTCTAAACTTTACCGAAAATTCCCGAAAAATGATCCACCAACCTTTGAGCACTAAAAATGTCGACAACTTTCGCATGTTTTGATTTCATTAGGACACAAGGTCATCATTCAAAGCCTTTTTGGAATATTTTTGTGCAAATCGAATTACTGCGCTTTTCACAAACATGCGAACTCTAAAATTCAAAAGCCGCCTTCACAATTGCATTTTCGCTGCCGTCAATCATAATTATGATCACAAGCAATGAACGTTGAAACACAGAAACACACAAAACGGATCAAAATCCACCAATCACAGATCACAAACCTTGGCCTTATGAACCCGTTTAAGCAAAGTTCTGTTTCCTAAGAGGTCCGTTAAGATGATTGACGGCAGTGAAAAATGCAAACGTCACTGTTGGTTTTTGAACTTCAGAGTTCGCGTGTTTATGAAAAGCACAGTAAATTTTCGTTATTAATCATGTATTAAAAATAACAATTTGTCTGGATTTGTGAGTCAGGCGTGAGAAATTGTCCTTGATGCGTGAGATTGATGTCTTTAGTCCGCAGGCGTGAGACTCACGTATAACGCGTGAAAGTTGGCAGGTATAATGTTTCGACTCTATTCATTTTAAAGTGTTTCTGAGAAATAATACGAGATTTCAGCATGCATAATAAATGTATGAGGCTGTGAGGAAATCGTACCGTTTTTTAAAATAACTTATACATCCAGCTCTTTTTGTACTTTATACTGAACATGCACTAACCCTGACTAACCTAATATGAAGCATCCCTAAACGCACTTACCAGATATTCTTTGGGGAATATGTCATATACAATTCTACTGTATTCTACCGCAGCCTCGATGCTGCATGTCCAAGAAGTCTTGTAAACAGGCGACGTACCACCACTTCCAGAACTTTTGCTCTTGCTCTTTTTACTTCCGCTATCAAAATCAATATGCTGCTTGGACAGCCCAAGGAATTTAGGACTATGGTCTAAAACAATCACAGTTCTCTTAACTGGCGGTATACAGTTGTCGTTAGCCATAGCTTTATGAAAAGTTCTGTATATTGATTTCAAGTTCTCATCTGACTTTGTCCGCCATATTGAAAGCTAGGCCACAAAGCAAAACCCTTCCCAGAGTCCCGCGCGTTACGACGTCAACAGCAGAACCCTTGTGAAGAATGCAGGAATCGAAAGGTCTATTTGAGTTTGAGCTTTTCATTTTCAGCGCATTTCAGCTGGTAGTCATGTACAGTTTTCATGAGTGGAGCATTACCCTGGAATTAGGCGTCTCGTCGCTGTAACACGGCCTCAAAGGATGGTTGGTTGTTGAAACAAATGAACGAACAAACAGGAACACAGATTTAATTTTGCATCAATGGCCGACATTCAAGATCTAGAGCTGCGGCCTAGAGATAAAAGTGACTTTTCTCAACAGGCGATTTTTATCTCTGATTTTCCTCAATTCACTTAGCTTTCATAATGAATTACAATTATTTTCTTCTAAGAAGTATTGAAAGTTTATATTTTTACCCTCCCCGTACTTATTAATTTATTCAGGAGATGGTACAAATGAGGCAATTATCAAGTTTGAAGTCTATTCATTTAGTGGCTAGTTTTGTCATCGGTTTGTCAAGTTTTTATCATAAAAAGTCGGTAATTTTTTGTTCTAAATGTGTTTATTGATGAACTGAGTGCGTGTCTCTCTAAATGCGTTGTCAAGTCCCATGTGTATCCACAGTTTCCAACCAAGAGCCACGTTACGTAATTGAGTGAGTGGGCAGATTTTACTCTTTGAATGCTATGATCAATGACATCCTCCTCAATATTGTGTTTTTCGCGGAATTTTCGTTGAACGCGAACTTTTTACGTGTCAGTGTAATAGAAGTGATTTTGTGTAACTGGCAATTTTAATCAAAAGATTTCCTCAACTTGCTGCGCTTTTCGAATGAATGATGATTTTTGTCTGCCTAAAAGTTGTTAAAGTTGTTGTTCGCACTTTAACATTAGTCGTGAGGAGCGAGTGCAAAACAAGCTATTGTAGTCTTCGCATATTCATTGGTTTTGTCAAACTGATAGTGGTGCTTGATCAACATCCCTGCACTGAGCAATGAAATGTTAGGAGTCAAAATGGTTCTTGTCGTAGCAATTCTTTAACACTAGTTTTCCTCAACTTTCTTCGCTTTTATTGTCTACCGAGAAGTTTGGAAAGTTTGTATTTTTCTTTCCTGGTACTTTTAAATTTATTCAGAGCTTGCTTGTGGTAATTCACACGGCTATAGGCCTTTTTCAAAAATACCATAATACTCTTTTTTTTTCCTCCAAAATTTTTCCATTTCTCTTGAGGCGAAAGGCCTATTGTCTACTAGTTTTGTCATCTATTTGTCAAGTTTTAATCAAGTCGGCATTTTTTTTTCTGAAAGTGTCTCATTCAAATCTTAGTCTAATTGTTCACCGATGAACTGAGTGCTGTTTTACTCAATGTATTGTCAAGTCCCATGCTTATCCACTAGTATACTTTTTTCAACGAAGAGCTACGTTATGTAATTGAGCGACTCGACAAATTTTTCTCTTTGAATGTGACCATCACGTGACCAATCTATGCTTAGGCTCGATTACCTGCCGCTGTTCGCGAAAATGAGCCCACACTCATCCCCGAAAGAGTCTCTCTTCGGGGAGGATCAAAGACCGGACCCGGGAGACGGTGGAAATCGAGCCTAATCTATGCTTTGATTGCCCATTGTTGAACATAGTCAACATAGAGCCCGTGCTTTTCTCACATATAGTTTCAAGAAAAGATTTATCAAAAACATCATCTCGTACTGGTTTGAATTTTAATCGAGCGACCGTATAAATGGAGACACCAACTTCAAGTTGATTTAACTGTGTTTTAAGCCAGAAACCTCCGTCCCTTGCATTGCCTGCGGAACAGTGAAGACCGAACTCAGCTGGACGATCTCTGGTCTGGAATGAAAGTCAAGATTCTCTTTTGCCTCTTCGAAAACAGCAGGTTTGTTCTTCGTTCAACTTTAACTTTTGGTTACGCTATCGTTTACTTTTTTTATGAAAAAAATTATAAGTCAATTTAAAGAAACGGTGCGATAAGCGTTCAAATTGCTTTAACGGTTCTTACTGGTTATTTTTCGTGTAGAAAGAAATTATTCTTTTAGACTTTTTATAAGGGATTTTGTGTCATAATTCTTTACTCTGTGTGTTATTGTCGCCCGAATTTACCTGTGAACATGGATGGTCCATTCGTTATGTTGGTTCGATGAATGTTCAACTGGAGGGACAAAAATGTAATAAAGGTTTACGTGTAGTCAACAAGATAAACGCGGGTTGCAATTGTTAGGGTCAAATAGTCCTATTTTGTTGATGTCCTTTTAGTTATAATTTTTCGCTGTGATTAAAGAAGTGTTCACTTCTTTAGACTAAAATTACAAATTAAACTTCAAACATTGCATAGTTTTCTATTACTCTGACTCAGACCATATGCTTTTATATTTGATTAACCCCGACGTTATTAATTAATGTACGATTTAAAGGTAAATTGTGCTTTTATGCCGCATAAAGGCGATGAAAAGAAACCAACTGTTGGCAATTTTGGCGTAAAGTGCTCAGCTTGCATCGCGAGAGAATTACAATGCCTCCTGGGACGGTTCAGGCTGACATAAAATAGTAGTTGACAGAGGGGCAAGGCAGGTGTCAATAACACTGACGGTTACGAGAAACCGGTTAAACAAAAAAAATAAGGTTAATTCGGACGGCATTTCTTAACACGTTAGTACGGTAGTATTTACAACAAAGAATAACACTTTCCATTCTTTAACAGGTGCTGCCTGGCCGTAAAGAAAAGCGGAACAATTTGCCTTGAAAGAAAGCCTTCAAAATAACAATAAAAGTACTGCCACGGTCCTTAACAAGGATATGCAGCCAACTCATTAGTGTGTCTATCATTTTTTCAGTATATACCAAACCTATGGTAAGTTCATTTTTTGCACAACACAGTCGGTTAGTCGGCTCTTCATGCAATTTTCCATTGTTTTGATTCGTTGAGGTAAGACAAAAGATCATTATTAGAAATAAAAACCTACTGTTCAAATTTCGGTGACCATAATCTATGCCTGCCGCTTCTAAAACTATAAAAAATTAAGCGCTCGGTCGTTATTTTGTTGCATCTTTCTTTCCAATAATTTCAAGTAAGTTTTTTGGTCTCTCTGCCGATTCTGGTTTGGCATATACACCATGACAACCACATCTTATATTTAGTTAAAATTTAAACCTCTTCAGACTTAACAATATCAGAATGTAAAAGAAGTTTACGCTTTTGAAGTTAGTAAGAAAGTTCGGTTTCGACCACAAAACGAAACCTTACCTAAAGCTAAATTCCTCAGCGTGAACCAAAAAGTAAAATAAAGAGAAAAAGGATACCAAATAACCAAAAGAAAACAAAACAGTACAAAAGGTAGGTAAAAACGTAAGTAACAAGGTAAGTTTATTTCAGTTTTTCTTCATTGAGCCCTGGGGACTAAGTGCTCCGCCCAAGGGGGGAGAGCCCTGGGGACTAAGTGCTCCGCCCAAGGGGGGAGAGCCCTGGGGACTAAGTGCTCCGCCCAAGGGGGGAGAGCCCTGGGGACTAAGTGCTCCGCCCAAGGGGGGAGAGCCCTGGGGACTAAGTGCTCCGCCCAAGGGGGGAGAGCCCTGGGGACTAAGTGCTCCGCCCAAGGGGAGAGCCCTGGGGACTAAGTGCTCCGCCCAAGGGGGGGAGCCCTGGGGACTAAGTGCTCCGCCCAAGGGGGGGGGGAGCCCTGGGGACTAAGTGCTCCGCCCAAGGGGAGAGCCCTGGGGACTAAGTGCTCCGCCCAAGGGGGAGAGCCCTGGGGACTAAGTGCTCCGCCCAAGGGGAGAGCCCTGGGGACTAAGTGCTCCGCCCAAGGGGAGAGCCCTGGGGACTAAGTGCTCCGCCCAAGGGGGAGCCCTGGGGACTAAGTGCTCCGCCCAAGGGGAGAGCCCTGGGGACTAAGTGCTCCGCCCAAGGGGAGAGCCCTGGGGACTAAGTGCTCCGCCCAAGGGGAGAGCCCTGGGGACTAAGTGCTCCGCCCAAGGGGAGAGCCCTGGGGACTAAGTGCTCCGCCCAAGGGGAGAGCCCTGGGGACTAAGTGCTCCGCCCAAGGGGAGAGCCCTGGGGACTAAGTGCCCAAGGGGGAGAGCCCTGGGGACTAAGTGCCCAAGGGGAGAGCCCTGGGGACTAAGCCCTGGGGACTAAGTGCCCAAGGGGGGAGAGCCCTGGGGACTAAGTGCTCCGCCCAGGGGAGGGGGGAGAGCCCTGGGGACTAAGTGCTCCGCCCAAGGGGAGAGCCCTGGGGACTAAGTGCTCCCAAGGGGAGAGGGGAGAGCCCTGGGGACTAAGTGCTCCGCCCAAGGGGAGAGCCCTGGGGACTAAGTGCTCCAAGGGGAGAGCCCTGGGGACTAAGTGCAAGGCCCAGGGGGAGAGCCCTGGGGACTAAGTGCTCCGCCCAAGGGGGAGAGCCCTGGGGACTAAGTGCTCCGCCCAAGGGGAGAGCCCCGCCCAAGGGGAGAGCCCTGGGGACTAAGTGCTCCGCCCAAGGGGGAGCCCTAAGTGCTCCGAGAGCCCTGGGGAAGGGGGAGAGCCCTGGGGACTAAGTGCTCCGCCCAAGGGGAGAGCCCTGGGGACTAAGTGCTCCAAGGGGAGAGCCCTGGGGACTAAGTGGGGGGAGAGCCCTGGGGACTAAGTGCTCCGCCCTGGGGGGAGAGCCCTGGGGACTAAGTGCTCCGCCCAAGGGGAGAGCCCTGGGGACTAAGTGCTCCGCCCAAGGGGAGAGCCCTGGGGACTAAGTGGGAGAGCCCTGGGGACTAAGTGCTCCGCCCAAGGGGAGAGCCCTGGGGACTAAGTGCTCCGCCCAAGGGGAGAGCCCTGGGGACTAAGTGCTCCGCCCAAGGGGAGAGCCCTGGGGACTAAGTGCTCCCGCCCAGGGGAGAGCCCTGGGGAGTGCCCTGGGGAGAGCCCTGGGGACTAAGTGCTCCGCCCAAGGGGGGAGAGCCCTGGGGACTAAGTGCTCTGGGGAGAGCCCTGGGGACTAAGTGCTCCGCCCAAGGGGGGAGAGCCCTGGGGACTAAGTGCTCCGCCCAAGGGGGGAGAGCCCTGGGGAACATTATTTTCCTCTTGGCCTCGTTATGCCATATTGACTTAATTAAGGAATAATAAATCTTGAAGTGCCCATCACCTAATTTTTTTTTATTTTCTTAACTGAAACTATACCTTATTGAAATATTTTGTGCGAAAAAATTTTGCGATTTGAACAAAACGCGATTTTTTTTACCAATTTTTGAAGTCTACATTTTTGCGGTACACCCGCGCAGCTTATCACGCAAACTAGCAGGCCCACATCTGACGTCATGTGACGTAACCTTCATCAGCTGTACACAAAAAAGATTAATTACAAGTAAGGATTGAATCACAGTGTATTCGCAAGATAAAAAAAATGGAAAAAAATTGTCTTTGGTTGAAATAGCAAAATTTTTCCGCAGAAGTTATTTTAATTAGGTGTAGTTTCAGATAAGAAAATAAAAAAGTTTAGGTGATGGGCACTTTTATGTGCCGGGTTATCGTAGGAATCTGCAGGACACTTTTTTCTTTCAGCGGTCGGTTTCTTCCAATTAGAACGTCATGTAAGGAATAGCACTTTCCTCGTTTAAAGAGACCAGTGATGTGGGAAAAATAATGAGCAAGAAAAGGCAAGAAAATTGGCTTTTATGTAATTTATGTGGTAGACTTCTCTTTTTTCGCCATCTCAATGATCACTTGGTGAACTGCACTCGGGATTCGACACCAGAGTGCTCTCAACCACTTTCTGAACACGCTTTTATCCAAGATGGCTGCCTCCAGGCCGTTGTTGCCGAGAAGAATATATCAACAATTCTGTCAGGTTAGTTATCATAGAAATAGAGCTAAAATTCGTGAAGACGCAACTTGAAAGTCTTCTTTACTTTTAGGCTTTTATTTTAGTTTTTGTATTCAAGACAATTTTGGCACAAGGCTAGTGTAGTAAGTGCCTCTAGGCGATCGCCTGCCTGGAGCGGGATTTTTTAAATTCAGCATTGATAATCAAGGAAAACCTTGTACCGTCACTTTGAAATAGCTTTGGGCAAAGCCAAAAACTAGGTATCTGGGAACCTTGAGATAAGAAGTTGCTTAAATTATCATCGACGTTAACATTTTATGCCCAACTGCTTTTCCTGTTAACACCACGTGCAGTTTCCTAGCATTCAATTCACGTGAAACAGTGGTCTTAAGTCCACTCGCCTGTAGATTACTTGACAGGTTTGGTCAGGTTACGCCGCTGTACAATAACTTGTTTGTTGTATCACCTACATTGTATGATCAGTGTGTCAGTTGCATTTCTTTGTTTTTGATCATGTGTTTTGTCCTATATGAATCATGGCTGAAAAATGCTTAACCAGCAATATGGCAGTGTTTACTGGTTATTGGATTGTTTTCTCAAGAGGTGCAGAGCTAATCTATGAAATTAGAAATTGGAGGGATTGCACTCTCATTCGCAGGAGTACAGTTCCAGGTCAGTGCAGGTCTAAAGGTGTGGATGGAGGTACAGGTAGAGGTTGGCTGTGCATGTGTAGTCTGATGACGTCTTTAATAGTTTGTCAGCCTCATACTGTCCTATAGCAATTAATTGGCAGAAATGATTGAAAAGAGCAAGCCAAAACATTTGGAAGACTTAAAGGTCCGTTAGGTTCCAACAGATACTTAGGGATGACTTCAATTCGGTAGGAGGTATTTTGCAGAATGCTGAACGCTGAATGCAGAACACCGAATGCAAAATGCCAAATGACTTTGAGTTTAGTGGTTGCCGTTCGCAAACTGAGTGAATCAGGTTCCATTTAGGGTCATTTAACTTGGAAAACGGACCTAAAACTTCATTAACTGAGTTTCCTAAGCCTAATCACACTAAATTTCAGAGTCATTCAGTGTCCTGCAGTTTGCTGAACACCAAATGCAGAATGCCAAATGACTTGAAGTTTAGTGATTAGGGTACGTTAGGAAACTAAGTGAATCAGGTTTTGTTAAGGGTCTTTATACTTGGAAAACTGACCTGAAAGTTGATTCGCTCAGTTTCCTAACCCTAAACACCAAACTTCAGAGCCATTAGGTGTTCTGCATTCAGCACTCTACATGAGGAGTGACATGTGAAAAATTAAACTTCAGAAAATCGTGGGGAATGTACTAGATAAGCTTCAAAAATTGTACATGACCAGAACAGTCATCCAGACATTTTTAGCCTTCCTCAAGCTATAGAAAATTCTAGGCAATTTTTGCTTCTCCCTAGAGATATATTACAGAAAACTGTTTTCAGGTGCCCTGATGAAATTGCAACACAAACTGCAACACCATGGGTCAATTTATTAAAACTTTTACATGTGTAATTTCCAACTGTAGCTTTTGTTTTAAAGTATGGAAACAATAGCCACACTTGTAAATTACAGTGTACACCTGTAAAAGTTTTCATAAATTGGCCCCATAATGGTGTTATCAGACAGTGCACCAACACTCTCGCACCTGAACTTGCACCTGCATCCCCACCTGCAGACCCTCACTCACACCTACCGTAAATGACCTAATAGATGCCTGTGGCATGTATCTAAATTAAGGGGTCTGAGAGGGGGCATTTAATAGTTAGGAGGCATTCTAAAGAGGGAGGCATGAATGGGTAAATTTAAATAATCTATTTTCTCTAACAGATAGCAAGTTACCACTGTCCTCTAGAAATGATATTATACTGCTCAACAGCCATACAATGAAGGAATGTCATCTGCCTATTGGCAAAAGGGTGTTGGTAAAGTCAGAAAAGAAATCTCAAAAGGTAAACATTTGGAGTTTCTTAGTTATTACATGAATAATATTGTAGAGGATAATAATTATTATAGTTGAAGATATAGTTGAACAGCCTCCTATAAAGGACCACCCAAAGTTCAAAGATTTACAGATGTACATATTGTAGTGCTCTCTCACGTACATTATAACCAGACATTCCAACCCTCCCGATTTGATGTGTTGCCTCCCGCTCTCCCGATTTTTATCAGGTTCTCCCGATTTATCATAAAATTCTGAAAAGAAGAAAAAAATTGCTTATCTTATAAGTATTTTTTGCGATCTGAGTGTAAAATGTTACGTATTACACTTATTACACTTCTTTGCTGTTGTTAATCCATCTTTTCAGAATCTAAGACCTTAAAGAAAACCACAAAAATGATGTCAAAATGCAGGAAATACCACTTGAGAGAAACTAAATTTGCAAAATTTCCTGGGGGGGCATGCCCCCAGACCCCCCTAGAAGCTCGCGCCGTTGGCGCTCGTCTTAGCGCCTTTGGCGCTAATAGAGCCTCCCTATTTCTCCTCAAAAGGGGTTGGAATGTCTGTATAACATATGATGTTGATGTTAAAGTCGGCAGAAATCATACAACATAAATTCTTCATATTTCAAGTATATTGATTTTATCATTTTGTGCTCTTTAAATATGGGGTATATACTGATAATTATGTTGTCAAGTTTTTCAAACCTTTCAAAAGCAATTTGTTGATTGACACATAGTAGGGCCATTTATACGAGGAAAAATAAGACGCGTCTTACATAAGATGCGAACTGTACCATTTATACGAGCATGTCTTATCTAATAAGACGTGTCTTAGCTAAGCCGCGTCTTATTTTAGACAAAATGTGCCGTTTATATGGAAAATTCGCGTCTTATTTAAGATGTGTCTTATGTAAGACGTGTCTTATTTTTCCTCGTATAAATGGCCCTAGTGTGTTCTCTGTAGTTACTGTACTATGTGTATTACATAACCCAGAGTATGCAAATAGACTTATTAATAATAGGTGACAACATTGAACTAAACATACATAATGTGCATTATGGCTTAACAAAAACTGGATGCATGGATTCTTTTTGAAAAAGTCTTTAAGGGTGAACCTATTCTCGAAAGAGACTCCCTTGTTGTTTGATTCTCATAAACGGTCACCTCTCATGGAGGACGAGAATAGTGCAAGAATGGTAGAGTAATGTAATGGAGGGATTATTTGGGCGATTTTGATATAAAAAAAATATACCGTACACACAGGATTGTTTTCTTACTTCCTCTCTTATTACTTCTGGTTGATGCCTAGGAGATGACGGAAAGAAAACTGACCTCATAAGGCTCAGTCTCTAATGCTCTCCAGCCGAGTATTCCTCAACAGTGTCTATCATGTGATATAGATGTCGGACTTCCTCTTTGAGCCCTCTTATGTGTAGGCACCCATGTTATAATCAGCTGTAGCACTGGAGAAAAACATGTCCGAAATGCGCAATTCTTCTGTTTGGAATGGTACTAAGTGGTCACTTTTACCATAAATTTCACTATGGGTAACCAGCCCTTCCAGGATCCAATTCTGTTGATTTGGTTTAACACCGTGAAATGTTGTCATCGTTCATTACTCCACAAACTTTCCAACCCAAGATCCCATCTTTCTGGATCAATTCCCTCCTTGGTATGAATAACATGATGAGTCTGTTTTCTTCAGATAGTGTGCCTGGTATGGCCTGCTTCAGGAGTATCACCTGAGTGTAAGTATATATATACTATCACATGCAAAACTGAGTACACCTGCTGTGTGCACAGTTGTCGTGGTTTAAATTTTTCTTTGTCTTCAGTTTCTCAAATCATTGTCCCATGAGGGAGGGGGGGGGAGGGGGGGGGCAAGGTTATATTTGTGACGCTATGATCTACCAAATTGTAGACAATGATTTTTGGTGTCTGTGAATCATGATATATTGAAAAACTGTTCTGTGAATTGTGATTTTGAAACTAATATTATTATAATACTATTAATGGCTGTGCTCCAGCAGTGCCTGGAGGCCCCTGGTGCCTAACTTTTGTGTACAGCTGTATATAAGGTTTTCAAGCATTTCTAAATTGAGCTTGTAGCTTGGATGATTGAGCGATCATGCACTGCGTAGCTCTTTCAAATTGAATAAGTTTTTTCTACCTCTACTTCTTTCTATAGACTAGATCTATTCAGGTCACTTCTGAGTTCAACGTCACTGGTTAGACTAGCTCCTTTTGATATGCATTAATAGTCGACTTCTGGCATCTATATCTTATGAGGAAATCTCAAAAAACGGTTGGCTGAGCTATACAATCATACACTGTAAGCAGAGTAAGGTTATACTGCTATCTTACTATTTTTGTAGGTGCTGTTTTAACACCACTGTCTCTTCTCAATGGCCAGGTATTAAAAAAGCTTTGTTTATTTTTTTATGGCTTGAATTGTTTTGTTTCCAGTGATGATCAGCATTTACAATATGTCCACATTTGCAACATCATCAATGTGCAAAGAAAGTAGTGTCCGATAACCCCAGGGCTAGTGGATTTTGCTTTTGGGCTAGTGAATTATGTTCCTAACTTGCCCGATGGGCGGGTGATGTTGTTTGAGAAATTCAAATTGACGAACAACTGTGGAATCAATTCTGCTTGTCAAAAGCTTTTGGGGCTAGTTGAAATGACATTTGCGCTAGTAAATGCTAGCTTCAGCTTGCCTGAATAACAAGCTGTAAAAATGATTTTCTTTGCACCCATACACAATGGTCACTGTTACAGATGAGAAGCAGCTGTTCATAGGTACGTTAATTTTGAAATGTGAATTAATTTTTTTGTAAGGGCTGGTAAAATGATGGTTTATTGTCAGTAGTGTTAGAGGCTGAGTGCTCAATAATTTTTTGTCCATACAGGATGGGCACTTATTTGAGGTGGGTGCTAATTTGAGGTTGGGCGCTTAATCAAACAAATACGGTAATTAATAAATAAAAATTATAATACTAATGATTTTGCTTTTTTATTAGTTTGCAGTGGGAGATATCATCAGCATTATTCCGTTAAAGCAGCTCTGTCTGCATGCGGCACAAGTGGAACTTGAGTTGTGGTGAGATATTAACTAACAAGCAAATTATTTCAGTATGTGATTTATGTAACCATACATCAAAAACAATGTAATTTATGTTGATTTGTATCCTGCTTTCAGCATTGCTGTTGAATTTGATATAAACCAGCTGTTTATTGAATATTGTCTCCATGAACTAGGTAAGTACAAACAAAAATTAAATCACCTCTGACTACACGACCTTTTGCAGTACCTTAAGTTTTTTTTTTGGCTTCCCCAAAATCCCTGAACCCCCACAAGATTTGCTCTGCTTTGCTGTGCCTGTTGTCTTGGGTTCTTTACTTGTTGATCTGATATTGTAAATTACACTCATTTAATATGTATATTTTTAACCATCATTAATTTTTGGAATAATAGCTATTAATTTTGATTATCATTTTTGATTATCATTAATCCTGTTATGTTGTATTTGAATTATTTGTTTCTAAATATTTGAGTGGAGTGCCTGTAAATTAGCTGACTAGCTAAGTGCACCTTCCACTATAAACATGCCTTTAACCTTTTTTTTTTTTTTTTTTAATCAGGCAACCACTTTGTTTTTCCTGGACACAAAGTACAAGTTCAGTTCTATGGCAAACAAAGACAACTTTTAGTTACATCAGTAAGAGGATCCTACCACACATCTAAGAAACCAATTTCTTCAGCACAGTCTTGTGGTAGTACAACTATGGAACTTGAAAACCATCTGGAAGCTTTAAAGCTAAACAGCACTTCAACAGACAATACACAAGTGGTGTTGTCTTTTTCAAAGGACGATGATTCTATACACAGTGAAAAAGTCACATCTACTTGCCAACCAAATAGTCATGAGAAAGATTTCAGCAGAAGTGGAAGTAAAGGAGAAACTATAGGATTGAATAATCAAACTCAGCAGCTTGAGATGGAGTCAAGCATAGACCTTCAATTTCAACAATGTAATCAAGGTGGTAGTCAATCAGTATTTTATTACATATCTCCTGAAGAAACACAATTATTAATTCATGCACATGGAGCAAGTCATGGCAAAAATAATGACTCAAGGACAAAAGTGACGTTTGATTCCATTGGAGGACTACGGACACAGGTTAAACTAGTGCGTGAAATGATTGAGCTTCCATTAAAACACCCAGAGATGTTCACAAGTCATGGTAAGTACTGTGGATAGTATTCACACTAGTCAATTTTTGCTACGAGGTGTAACCTGCAAGCAAGCTTTGCAGGGCACTCTCCCTCCTGTTTCGCCTCGTCGCCAAAGTGCCCCAGAGAGCTTGCTTGTAGGTTAGTAAGGTGCTCTTTTTGGTACTTTTTGTTAAAATTAAAATAATTATATCCTTGGCGTAATTTTATTTTGCTTGCTACCCTGCGAGCAGATGTTTCTTTCTGCCATGGCTTTTAGAATTTGTAAAGGCATTCATGTACCCTCTGACAGTTGCAATGCTAAAAGCCATTGCCACTGAGAGAAAGGGTAGCTTTTTTGGTATGGTAATGAATGATAATGAGTTTGAACAAAGAAAAAGAAAATTTAAACCAAGGAAAACAAGAAAAATGAACATTTACATCATCTAGCATTAATTTTATTGCAGTTTTTAAAAAAATTGTTGTTAGAACGTTATTTTATTACTGAGCGGTTGAGGTGGTGTTATTAGGAACACCAGTTGACCAACGTAATAGATTGCTAATGTGATTTAAATGGCCAGTGACCTACAAGTGCATCCTGTTTAGCTGTCAACCTAAAGTTAATGTAAGAGTTTTAGAACTACTGCTATTTTTTTTAAGGTAAGGTTTACTTGGGTCAGCAACAGTAACTTGAAACCGGGCAGGCACGAAAGTTAAAGGGCCGGAGGTCTTTGCTTTTATGTGCGTTAGCTATTTTCTCTCTGTTTGTTTTAAGTTGACCAAAAGACTAACTACTTCCTCCATACATTCCTTAGAGTCTAGCTATTTCTGTGTGACTTTCGTCATTATTACATGTGTTATTTATTTCAGGCATCCCACCTCCACGTGGAATTCTGCTGCATGGTCCTTCAGGTACAGGGAAAACCCTTATTGCAAAAGCTGTGGCTGGAGAGTCTGGTGCTCACTTTATTTCTATCAATGGCCCTGATATTCTAAGTAGGTCTGTAATATCATTTTAATCTATTTAACAAGAAGATTCCATGTTGTCATGCATCTGTTCAGTTATAGATCACAGATGGCATCATAATGTGGTAAGAACCCAAAAGTGGCACACGAACTGCAAGCGAGTGTGCTACTAATGTTTTTACAACACAACTGCATGCCGTGCTGGACAAAACAAAGAAAATAATTTTCTCTTTACTTCATCCGCGTGTCTGTACGTAAATTGATCATGTATTCATTGTATCAAGATATCTGTTTGTTAGCTTTTATGCTCTTGCATCTTAAAAAGAGTTATTTTTACAGTGAAACCTTGTTATTATGACCGCCAAAGGGCCAAGGAAAACCAGGTCAAATTATCAAGGTTTCTGTCGGTAACGCTGACTTGAGTTCGTGAAGTTACCGTCGGGTCAATTGAGGTTTCTGACAAACTGCCCACCTACCCCTCCCCTAAGTCATCATTTTGCCCTAAGTGAGAAGTAAGTGTTAATGTTAGCTTAGGGGATGGGTAGGTGGGCCGTTTCCCAGAAACCTAAAATTGATCCGTTAGGTCCACAAGATTTATGGTCATAATTCCTAGGTGGTCATGTCAATTAGCCTGCGAACCGCAGACGTATTTCCAGTCGTCGCTAACCGGATGCTCTCGCAGGCGACATGTCAATAGAGTGGTCGTGAGGTTGATGTCCACTATATAAACTTTAAATCAACATTTATGTATGGCATTCAAAGCAATTCTTTCAATTTTTTTCCTGACAGATATTACGGTGAGACAGAGGGTCGTCTGAGGGACATATTCCGTGAGGCCCAGGAGAAGGCTCCTAGTATTGTATTCATAGATGAGCTTGATGCTTTATGTCCCAAGAGGGACAAAGTACAGAACGAGTTTGAGAAGAGAGTCGTGGCCACCTTGCTTACCCTTATGGACGGAGCTACTTCAGCTGTAAGTCAGCAGGTAAATCCCAGCAATTTTTGCTTCAACCCATCAGAAGCTCTACCCAGATCTGGGTAGTAACGCTCCATCAATGTTGAATCTCTGCGCTCGTTTCTCAGTCGTCATAATTTTCGCGCAGACACCACTGGTGGCGTCGCGAAATGTCTGTTGTTTTCTCAGGCAAACCTGTGCATGAAACATCGCTTTGTCTCGTTTTTTTTCTCCTAGAATTTCTTATCTGGTCACGTGCTTGTATTGGCGGCCACCAACCGGCCAGATGCCTTGGACCCAGCCCTCCGCAGACCTGGGAGACTGGACCGAGAGATTGAGATCGGCATCCCTAATGCTGTTGATCGTGAGGATATTCTGAGAACGCTTTTGAAGACTGTGACACATAGCCTCATGGAGGAGGAATTTGCCAGGTAATAAATAAGGGATGTTGGCTAAGAATTGGATGTATTATATGGCGATTTTATGGCTGGTTTTAAGCGGAGCGGGCAAGATGGAGATAATACTACGTTCTGATTGGTCGCTTGAGCGGGCAAGAAGGGCTCATGCCTGTTTCTCGCAAAACAGATTTTGTTTTGCCCAAAACAGATTTGCCCATATAATAAATCCTTTAATGACTAACTTGAGCTTATTCGCTCAAGATGACGTAATGTGTCTTCGTTCTTTTCTTTTCTTTTTTTTTCTGCGTTATTACAGAGCTTTAGATTCTAAGACGAGGACGACTACGAGAACGCGATTTTATTAATACTAAGTAGTGCGCGCGCGTGAACCAGCGTCATTTTGGCGGGAAAACGTGATAGCCGTCGTCATTCTTCTACGAAAATTTCGTAGTGGCGGAAACAGGTTATCAAATGTTGGACGTTTTATGATTCTGCGCTCGGGAAAGGGTTTAACCTTCTTCAATAAAAATAACTGTGCTAACGTTTCTGGTGAAAAAAATACAGTGAAGTTTTCCGAGCCAAAAACGCGAACCAAAAAAACTTTGGCCAGTATACAGCCATCTTCACCAAACAAGCTTGGTCAATAACGAATTTGTCTGTGCTTTTCACATTGCTCGTGTCAGGGCTGTCAATAATAGTTTAGATCTAAGTACACATACATAAATGTTAAACATGTTAAACTCAAAAATTCACAAACCTAACCCAGCCCCCTTTTATAATTATATTTTTAACTTGAAATAGTCTTGTATTTCCTTTAAGAAATTAAGTAGCTCTGGGTTCGATAGGGGTCGATTGTGGGTGGTTGGTACCTTGCTCGAGACCATATCCTTCAGCTAAATTACTCATAACTTATGTCCTCTCAGCACCCGGACATGCTGGGCGCACCTAAAACGTCTATCATACTCGAAAGCTTGTCTGTTTTCTTTGACAGGTTTGCAGAAATGGCGCATGGTTACGTAGGAGCTGATCTTGCTGCCGTGTGTAAAGAGGCGGGGTTAAAGGCATTCAAACGCTGTTTAGCAAAACAAGAGATGACGTCATCTCTTGATAGTACAGTCAGCGAAGAGACCCTCAGGGATAAGCTTCTGGTTACAAGAGATGACGTCATCGCTGCGTTTGCGCAGGTTGGACCCAGTGCTATGCGAGAAGTTGCCATCGATGTTCCTAAGGTGGGTACCCTAGAGTGTGATTGAACCTTGCCGGGTGAGAGTAGCTTAGATCTTCTGTTTGATATGAAACACGCACATTCCACTGTTTCCTGATTTGTTGTGACTAAGACGAACGATCGGAATGCCAGTTGTAGTTTTTTGCTATGCAGTTTTTTTAATCGCTGTTCCTTTAGTCACAAACCTTCAATAAGAGAGTTGAGAGGAGTGCGATACCAGCTAACCATGTGTTAGGCCTTGAATTGGCACGGAAAAAAAGGAGAGTGTATAAACTTTCCCTCTGCACTGTACACTTACCTCAGTGCCGGATGCAGACCTTGTGATAAGGGAGGCGGGGGGGGGGGACCCCGGTCATCCAGACCCTTAGAAATAGGGGGGTGCGGGCTCCAAAAAGTTTTTGGCCTCAGTTTGGTGTAACTGTATCCGCCACTGGACTTTGTCTGTCCATGCTTGCCTTTAACTTTCTTTGTGTTGCATGTATCACACAGCGGTACTATCCCTGTCGATCGTAATATTTTCATTTTTGCAGTCTTGATTTTTAAGTGCCACTGTATTGGTAATCAACATGTTTTATTTTGTTGTTAACCACGGTTTAGGTTCGTTGGGATGACATTGGAGGAAACACTGTTATCAAACAAAAGCTAATGCAAGCAGTGGAATGGCCCCTAAAACACCCAGAGGTGAGGATAACAACCTACCCACCCCTTCCTTTAACACTTCCACCTCATCAACGAAGGGAATAACAAAACACGCCAAACACAGCACTGTGAACTTCCCCTAATACTCTTTTCAAACAGTAGTGTGGGGACTGACCCGTCCCCAGTTATCTTTCTTCCCGCGTGGAAGATGCGCGTGAGAGAGCCTCCACCGCGCCTTGTAGTAGCCTCACGTGACCGTTCCTTGACCGCCTACAAATGATAACAGACGGCTCGGGACAAGTGAGGTGTGGGTAAGGTCATATTTTCTGCTTCAATCTGTGTTGCAAAATGTGCAAGGAAGGCAGTGCTAACTTATGTGAATCTTACCGTTCAGCTAGTGAGAAAACATAGATCGTTAAAGTGCTTGCCCGGTCTCAATGCTAGCTCATGACCTCAAAATCCACTTCGGTGGAGATCAAATTGCATGTTTTTGATTTGATTTGATCTTTTTGCAGGCATTTAAGCGGCTTGGTATCAGCCCTCCAAGGGGAATCCTAATGTATGGACCTCCAGGATGCAGCAAGACCCTTGTAGCACGAGCATTGGCTACAGAGAGTGGACTCAATTTCTTAGCCGTGAAGGGTCCTGAACTGTTTAGTAAATGGGTGGGCGAGTCAGAGAGAGCTGTGAGACAGGCCAGTCCATCATCTAATCCAAAAACAACTATATACTCACCCAATATCATTGCTCCTTCTTAGGACAGACATTTCAGTTGCTTGGCTCGCTCTTATACAAGCTAGAAGTCGAAACGTCGTTTTTCTTTCTTTTTTTCAGTGTGGGAGCAAACTCACTCTGTTAACTTATTTGATAAAGATTTTGTTTTTCCCTTTTGGTTTGTCTGAGAAAGTGTGAGTTAACCACATTTTTGTTCGTTTTCTTTTCAGGTTTTTCAAAAAGCGCGAGCTGCAGCGCCCTCCATCGTCTTCTTCGATGAAATAGACGCCCTCGCAGCTCCTCGCGGCAGCGGTGGAGACAGTGGCGCCTCCAGCGTGTCAGACCGCGTTCTAACGCAGTTGCTGACAGAATTAGACGGTGTTGAAACGCTTAAAGACGTCATAATGGTGGCGGCAACGAATCGTCCTGATATGATCGACAAGGCGTTACTTCGCCCGGGAAGAATAGACAGAATCATTTATGTTCCACTCCCTGATACAGAAGCTAGAAAAGAAATTTTTAAAATTCATCTTGCCAAAACTCCCCTTGGAAACGATGTGGTGTTACAAGATCTGGTGGAAAGGACAGAAATGTTTTCAGGCGCTGAAATTTCTGCTTTGTGTCGAGAAGCAGCGTTAGCAGCGCTGCAAGAAGACATTGAGTCGTGTGAAGTACACAGGCGACACTTTGATTCAGCTCTTATGTCGGTGAAACCTAGAACTTCCTGGGAGTTGATTGAACTGTACAAAAGATACCAGAATGAAAGTGGCGTTCATTCTATTTAGGATCTTTTTAAATGAATAAAAATGATGTTTTTAATGTGGCAGTGGCGCTAACTGGACCAATGGCCTACGCGCCCAAGTCCCCTCCTAACAGCTGATTCCATTCAAGGAAAGGGTACCCCTTCTACCTCTTATTCTATATCGGTGTATTACAGATATCCGCATTCATCGGGAATGTTTACTTTTGCAAGCGTTCAAAACGTAAGGTCTGCATCTCCCAATTCCAATTCGAAAAGAGATGTGGACCAAAGACTATGTTGATTAAGATAATAGGCTTCCGATAAAAAGTTTTGACAAAAATTGTTCATTGTGCATGTGGTACCCTGTTTAAGACAAGGGACTATATTTTATGACTCTGATTCATTTCTTTTCGCATTCATAATTAAGTAGTAGGTACTTCCTTACAGGAGGCTACGGGGGATTTGCCGCCATACGGGGTCGCATTTTTACGACTAGATTGAAAATAATGGGGTCGCATTTTCAGTAGAGTTACTAGAATGGGCTCGGGGGTAAGACAATTCTTCATATTTACGGTTAGCAAACGTACCACAGTGTTTGTACCGTGGATGAAAAGTATTTGGAAGTGTTCTTCATTCAATCAAAAAAATGAGTCAATTCATAAAAAATGAAAGTGACTAAGTTAGGATGGCGAAAGTGACATATTTGCCCAAAAAGGACTAAGGCCCAGTTCAGACGTCGTGCTTCTGCCGTGCCGAACTCAATTGTAATTTGGTTCGACTGTAGCACGGCAGGAAAACAACTTTGATTCAGACGTCCTACCAGAGTCGAACCAAATTCAGGATTTACTGATGCCTCGTAACAATTCTTCTCCCAACTCCCCGTGGGAACGCAATCTCGCCAAAATACATAAATATAATTTGTGAATTTTGTTTAGCGCGACAGAAGCACGACGTTTCAATCGCTGCCGTGCCAGAGCCGTGTAGCACGGCAGCTCTTGTCGAACTTAATTGCTTGCCGAACTTAATTCAAAAGTTTGATTCAGACGCCGTGGTTCTGCCGTGCTTTTGTCGAACTTAATTCCTGAATTTAGTTCGGCACGGCAGAAGCACGACGTCTGAACTGGGCCTAAGATGGGGTCTATAATTGGCCACAAATTAGACTATAATGCTATAATGGGAAAGGGGCTCTGAGAGGCCAGCGGCACACCAAGATAAAATTAACCCAAGTATCCCCCCTCCCCCTCCGGACAACAAATTTTCAGTCTTTATACAGTTGGGTGTTCAAACGAAGAAATCCTACCTTACACGCCTACATTATTTTAATTCGAGACCATTATAGGTTGATGATAAATTCTAACCGGTAACAAACTCCCAAATTAAAAGAAATAAGTCTTGAGAAGTAGTAAGTTAGTTGCATAACTTTCCGATTTTCAGGGAAATCATATGTCTTAAACAAATTGCCGCAGAAGGCCCTTGTCAAGTAATCGCTAGCTGTCACTTGGCCTTTAGCTTCGGCTTCAGTTTCATTTCACTTCCGAGGAGATGCCAGCCCCAATAATAATTAGTGTTTCCTCCATAGTTGCCGTTCAGGTTTGAGTGCTGACAACTTTTGAACCACCAGGCTCCTCTGTTATTCACAGCACAGTTGACACTTTTGTGTTTGTCATTATCCCGGTCCTTAGTAGTAAAAGCCATTTCATTATGATAAGTCAGCTGGTCACCTGCTGTACCAGAATAAAACCCAATGAACAGTGTGTAGTTAGATGCTTCATTAGTGACCGTGAAATTGCTATACTTGGCGTATCTGTACCCGGCGGACGTGGTGTTGATCTCCACTCGCAGCTGGCTCGGAATCTCCGTCAGTTGATGAATCTTTTCGTTTCCAAGCCAAAACTCTCCTCTAACGTCACCAAAGCCATTTTTGTACTCATCCCAACCCCTGAAGAATCCAACAAACCCATTAAAGCGTTTGTGAAAGACTGTCCATCCACCGCCATCAGTCTTCATGTCACAGTACACGTCAAAACTGGATCTGTTGGTTGGGTTTACTGTGTACACGCCGCTTTCTTTCACTGGACGAAAAAATGGATTTACTAGGGTAGCCAAATTACAGCAAATGTGTAGCAAATACCACATTTGCACAATTTTGCGCAAGAGCAAAGACTGATATTGCACTAGATTTGCTATCCGTAGCAATGACGGTAAATGCCACATTTGCACAACATTTACATCTTGGTGCAAAGATAATGGGCAGCCATGGATTTGAGGGTCATTTGCAGATGGTTCAAATGTGTAGGCAAATATGTTTCTTTGAACTATATTTGCACATTACGCAAATGATAGCGCAAATCTGCTGTTTTGCACAGCTTTTGCTTTAGATGTAAAAGCATGTAAACCTGTTATTTTCAGAACGTTTACGCAGCTTTGCAAATGTGAGCGAAGTATCTAATTTGAACAATGTTTGCTTGGGTTATCATGGGTGATCAAATTTTCATAATTGAACCAGATTGCTTTGCATAGCAAATGTAACCAAACTCTTTGTATTAAACATGTTTGCCCATGAAGCAAATGTTAGCAAACCTAAACTTTGAACAAATTTTCTAGGGTGTGCAAATTTGATCAAACACAGAATTTTGCTTGTAGCGGCAAATGTGGTCAAAAGTCAAGTTTTGAACAAAGTTGCTTAAGCAGCAAATCTGATCAAACTGTTACTATTGTACAATTTTTTCGCTCAGGTAGCAAATGTAATCAAATTCTGACTTTAATTTGGTTAGCAAATGTCATCAAACCCATAAAATTGAGCATTTTTTCACAAGTAGCAAATGTAAATTCCAAGGTTTAAACGAGTTTGCCTGAGTTGTAGCAAATGCGATAAAATTTTTAAATTATTTTTAATTATAACATGGCTCACTTCAGGTTCTTAACAAGTGGCTATAATTAATCTTGAAGTTTATAGCTTCAAACATTAAAGTTACTGAAAGAAATTCTAGCAGTGACCTCCCATTATAATGTTCAAATGATTTATTCCATAAACCAAAGTGGCTTACACATTATTACAGACTTTACAAACTACAGTATACAGCTGTACATACAGCTCTTCATATTAATTCCCAATTTTACAGTTCGTTGATGTTTACTTGTCTCCACTCTATGCTCTATCAGATCATTACTAACTATTAATATTATAAGAAAAGTGTTCTTCATCTAAATGTGTAAGATATTCTACATACAGCTGTAGGTGTTTCAGAGTTGCCTCAAACCTATTTCAGTTGTTTAGGTTTTTGCAACTCAGAAACAGGTTAAAAATCTTTTTACCCTTGGGCCAATATTTACTTATGACAAGACTATTTCTTACTTAAACTTTTTTGTATCTAAGGACAAAATCCTGTTCCAACCAAATGGAACCCTCAAGACACCCATTTTAATAAATAATTAGCATTTTTGAATTTATTGCTATTTACAAATTAAACAAAATTTGATTCTGGTGGCATTTTTTGTCTTTAGGCTCTATTAGAATGAAAGGCCTAATTCTTGCTACCAATTTCCAATTTTTGCTGGTATAACAACTGGGTTATAGCATTTAGCAAACTAAGAAATAGTTTAGGTACATGTAGCTATTCAAATTCAGATCAGACTTCTTTAACTTCATTTTTGTTACTAATGGTTCCTGTATAGTATTGGATATGCTCTTAGAGGAAGTACCAGCCGGAGCTTCTAGTACTCGCCCTGTGCTAAGAAAATTGAGGGTCATTAAAGTTATGACCAGCTGTAAGTATTCCACAGCATGTCAACATTACCATTGTCACTGTAGTTGGTCCCAATGAAAGAAGCTAATAATTATTTTAAATTCAGTATACATGTACATGTAGTACAAAAGGTTGATCTGGCTAGCCTGCAAAATAACTACACTGCTGTCTCTCATTACTCTTTTTCTTGAGTCATGTTGCAATCCTTTGCAAAATTCCATACTAAATCATGACAAAAAGCAGGGTGTACCTAAATTTGTTTTGTTTTTTGTTCAAGCAGGTCAGTTGCAATTGCTGTAACCGGTACACATGTACTGTGAAGTGGTGCCAGCAGAACTCAAATGCCTGCAGCTAAGCAAATAGATTTAAAAGAAACATTTGTACATTAATTGGCTTTTAACCTACTGACTGGTACATTACTTGCAAACAATAGCCAAAGGATTCTAATGAAAAATTTATCACATCAACCAATTTGATCTACCTGCCACCAGAATTCTCAGGACAAATCAACACCATCAGGATTTGTACTGTTTACACAGATTTATCTTTTTCTACAAAACAGTGTCATAAACAGAGAGTGATTAAAGGATTACTGTATTTGCAGAGCTACATGTACATGTACCTGTAAGTATGACCAGTCATAAATAATCTGGAATTTCTTTAAGAGCATTGGATTAACTTATATTTCCTTATCACAAAGCAAATTCAGGAGCATTATCTGGAGCCTCCATCTCTGAGGAGAAGCCATTCCTCCTTTCTATTGTCATTGAGTAATGACAGGCTTACATGTGACTGTTTCAATTTTGCTTTACCATTCAGCTAGGCAAAGAGGTTTTTACAGGCTAAGTTGTTGACTCCTCCACGCTAGAGGCCTCCTGCAAAGGACTTTTCTCAGATTTGTCATCTCCTTGGTCTGTATTGCCTTGCTCTGAAGACATGTACTCCACATTTATACAAGCTTTGAACTTACAACAATCCTTCTTCGAAATAGAGGTTGACTGGAAAAGGGTGGTCTCTTTAGCTTTTTCTGCAACAAACAGAAATTATACATAATTGAGACCATTAATATTGAAACTAAAGCTGTAGATGGTTGTCATGAAAAATACTATTGTCCTTTTCTGTCTAAATATTCTAGCCTTTTATAGCATAAAGGTTGCTATTAGATATTACATGTGCTATTACTGGCTGCAGTCACACTACGTGACTAAACTTACTTATTTCCTGAGTTAACTGATATCAAAATTAACTAGTTTAAACAAATTGCTGGCTTGTAACTTTCATGTCTCAAATCTAACCCCAAGCAGTCATCATAATCCTGATTACACTGTACCTGTTAAAACTAAGACCTTCTTTGAGCAAAAACAAAATGAAAAAATGAATGGAAGAAACCCTTTTGTAACAAGACAATTGACTCCAGATAAATCATTGTATTAATTTTATAGTGAGTGTCCCACTACATCACTACCATAACGACATTATTGACATATTACTTAAAACTTCATGGACCTGCTTCTTCTGCAACATTGCCATCACTTACAGTGTATCTTGGGAACAAAAGTTTAATTATACTATAATTGCCTCATATGAGGGAATCCAAGACAGTTTTAGATTCTGGATTCCACGCATGGATTCCAGAACCTTTTTCAGTGGATTACTTGGTTTCTGGATTCCAATTGTTTGACCTGTATTTCAGGTTTCAAAGCTCAGAATTTAGGATTCCACAACAAAAATTGCCTGAATTCTGGATTCCATAAGCAAAAAATTAATTTCAGGGATTCCAGAATCCCTTACATGGGGTGATCATTAAAAAAAAATCAGTGAAAGCAGGGTACCATGATCTAAATTCTAGCTACTCTATGTTTTCAGCACCATGGCAGTCACTGCCTTTAATCTCCTTTTAAATTTTGGAAAAGCCTTTGGAGAAAGTAGGCACTAGACAGGACCTGAACAATCGATGAAATCGATAATCGATGGCAATCGATAACAATCGATGACAATCGATATCAATTGTCGATTGATATTGCTAATCGATGGACAATCGATCACGAAAATTTTTGTGATTATTGATTATCATCGATTATCAATATCAATCGATAATCGATGGGAATCGATCAATTAACATAATAGATTGTTATCAAAATGCAATATCAATCGATTACCTATTCATTCAAACATTTCAATTGTCAATTTCATCAGTACTAATAAAGTTACACATTTTGATATCATTGCTTTTCATTTGAGTAAAAACTAGCGGTAGCAATGCGTAAACTTTTATTTGCCCACACGTTTCCATCCTCGGAGACCCAGGGGCAGATAGTGGGGGCGAGGGAAAGTCTAAACGGGCGGAAAAATAGGGCACGAAGAAAAGTAAGGAACGGCGAGAAGAGCCCCTGGAGACAATGGCTTACCAGACCAGTTCAAAACGGTCGCCGCTGTTGTGGCTTCTGATTGGTGGCGGAAAACTTGTTTCGTTTCGCGCGAGTTTAAAATTCATAGAAACGTACTACGGATTTGTGTGTAAGAAAAACAGACCCCACTGTTATGCTTCAACGAAACAGCTGGCAAATTAGGCAAGGTGTGAAATATTCTATGCGTGATGTAACGTTTGGAGCCAACAGTTTAGCTAAGTATTCATAAAATATGTTTAATTTAATGCACACATTTTCTGTTATACGTGACATTTCTGCGTCCCAGGTCAGTTGAATCTTTGCAATGGACTCGAAACTAAATCGATCAAGTTTGTACTACTCACAACGAGACATGTTGATTGTCTTTATTTTTTGTGCTGTTTTTCACTGAGCCATATCGATGAACAATTCTCAAACTTTAATACTGAGCTTTAAAAATAATATACGATCTGCGTACACTCCCACGATACCTGAAGATGCGGAGAGATGAATTTAGTGCCAATCGATGGTAATCGATGAAGTTCGCGACCACCTAGGTGTGATTATCGATTGATCATCGATTGGCCGATGCCAATCGATGCTAATCAACAGTAATTAATCGATTGTCATCGATTGATCGATTGATTTTCCGATCATCGATTTTCATCGATTGTTCAGGTCCTGCACTAGAGGATAAGGTTATTTTTGGCCTTAGAGGGGAATTAACACTTGCTTCAATTCTTATTAAATTTCCAAGACCATTATCGAATTTGTCCTGTTGTTTTAAAAAATACTATAATCTTTTATTTGGTTGTTCTCTTCAGATAAATTTTATCTGAAGAGAACAACCAAATAAAAGATTATAGTATTTTTTAAAACAACAGGACAAATAAAGTTTCAGGAGCAGGGTGAGTCCTTGTTGATTACTGAATATTGGGAATGTAAATGTAGGTATTATCAAATAGCATCATTAATGGATTAACAGTAAGAATGAACTTTCATATACTTACTGAGCATTTCTTTTACTCCCGATTAGTTGCTCCCTCAGCATTTGTTTGTCCTTGCATTTCTCCTGCCTCTTATTAGTTTTACAATGTCTGCTAACAGCAACGATTCACCGAAGTCTATGTACTAAGTACTAACGGCTGCTTTTCTTGGATCCAATCGTTACTACTTGATCGTCGCCGATGGAGCTATCTAGATGTCTTTCATGGTGGATAAGTGCAATTTCCTTTTCGTCGAACAGTCTATAAGTATGCAGTTCCCTCGAGCTCGAGCGATTATTTTTATAAGTTCTTCGAGGACACATTCGTTCGATAAATTCGAACAAATAAGACTGGCCGACTCCTCCATACTCGACAGTCAACCCCACAAAGAAGGAAAATTCGAAAACTCTTGATAAATATGGCGTTAAACGTAAGAAGTAAAAGCTGGTGGCAAATCGATGGCAATGGAACGTGGTAACGGTCGACGAAATTTGGGCGATTTCAATTGTTGTGCCTCGTTCTCGAACGGTTATGCAGACTGTCGCTGACCAGCACCACTGAGGCGCAAATGCTTGGGAAATCGGGCGCGCGTTCTTTTGGCGATTTGGCGGGAGGAAGAGATTGCCTATGTTGCTGGATTTTTTCTCAAGGATATTCGAAATTTAAAAGGTAAAGTCGATGTATTTTGCTTTGTATATCGTGCTTCTACTGCCACATCTATGTTATAACCGGGAATAAACTACATTTGCATCCATATTTACATTTGTAGCATGTATGTGCACGCGTGTCGCGTGCGTATGGTAGTGATCCAGCTGAAAAAAAAAGCCTTGTTGAAAAATTTAAGTGATGTTAATTTATTGGTATTTGGTGCTAATTTATTGGTATTTGGCAGAAGTAGCTCAAGATTAATTGCTTGAGTAATTTATACTTCCTCTGGCGCTATATTGACATATTGAGCGTAATACCTGTACATGTACCATTGATTTTGACAGGGGTAGGGTGGAGCCTTTATTTTATATGCCTTACTGTCATTTTTTGCTGTTTTGTTTTGTCATGTTTTCATATACAAGGTTGTTTTGTTTATAATAATTTATAATGATACAGCTGTACATGTAAGCTGAGTCCAAAGGTCAAAAATGCTAAAATGTGCCACATGTGTATTTATAATGTTCCTAAAGATAATGGCAACACAAGTAACACAATTCATTTAATTTCACAATATTTTCAATAAAGGTAGAATTACCAGTTATTTTTAGTGGGTTTAGTGACTTTTTTGTACATTTGTTTTAGATTTTTCCTTGAGTGGTACAGGAGTTAAATTTCCAATGTTCTTGAAATTGAGTTGCATCACCTGAACTCTCCAAAAGATAAAGAGGTCAATGAAATACAGGTTCAACATGGGGAAGCTTTTTGTGGTCTGTGCATGAAGAAATGCTACAGGGGTATTCCAGTGGGTCTCAATTTATTTACAGTAATCGTTTTTTCCTCTTCAGAAGATAACAGAAGTGAAGCTTATATACTGAATGCTCCCATACATCAATACCCCATCTGTTTGGGGTAAATGTCACAAAAAAAAAGAAACCTCACGTGTACTTCCTTGTGTTATATTTTTAGCATCTTTACAATATTAGTTTTCTTGTACTTTGTGCCGTGCCCTGCTAAGTAAATCCATGTCCCTTTCACAGTGTTCTGCAGGAAACATAATGTACTGAAATTGTGTGAAGCCATAGAACATTTGCACTCGTAGAGGTTTCCCCTCAGAGATATAAAGAGTGACAACATTATTCCTACAGAGGTAAACAATATGTACCACCCAATGCTCAGTGATTTTCGAAAGGCTATCTTGCTATCGGATGCCCCTTCAAAACAGCAGTCCATGACTGCTCACTAGCACTGACATATAGCTTCAGAAATATGCCTCAGATATTATGTTTTCACTTGGCGTTAATAAGTCATGGCAAAAGTTAGTGGCAGAGTGAAAGTAGAAAGTCATTTTGTGGAAGGGCAAAGAAAATGCCTTCAGACACTCCAAAGTTGAGATTTACTATTTCATGTCTTCTGTCACTGCTCAAAACAAATTTTTAGCTGGAACCTTTTTTCTGTCCAGCAATTATAAAATATCATATTCCTATTTAAAAAGGAAAATCAAAAAGTTATCTTACTGTGTGAATTCAATACTAAATAAATCTAGTAAAATTCGACTCATTTAGTGAAAAGGGTATAATAATATTGAAGGTGTAAACACCGTTGGTCTAAGAAGTTTAGGTTTAAGTGAAGAAATGCACCATGTTAATGTTGCTGAGCGAAGGCTGATATAAATCTCGCCAGTCTGTTTGATCAGTTTAAAAAGACAAATCCTATTGAACTCAAAATCAGGGTTGTAAAGAGGAGCAAAGAAATTATTTGTTCATGTCTGTGCTAGTTTCTATTCACAAATTATATGAAATACAAAGCAATTTCACCATTTGTTTTATTATTGGCTGTTGGGCTTTCAAAATGTGGTCAATTTTAGGAGGCTCACCATCAAGATGTGGTCATCTCTAGGTATAGTCAGTGAAAACTAGAACAAATAGCGGTAAGAACAAAATTGTCAGTTTTGATGTGACGTTCCTTGAATAAATGGCCATGAGGAAATTGTGTACAAGTGAATAATCTCAACCCTGACTTTGAAATGCACAGAACTTTTTTTTTTGGACCAAATTTAAGGTACTGTGGGTGGCCTTGTTATTGTTAGCTTTTTAATAATAATATTATGATGTAGAAAAAATACAGTAAATTATTTGACTACTGGACCTTTGTCCAGTAGATTTGTTGTGGTGTATTTACTTTATGTAAAGGGGAGGTAGTGTGGGCCCTCTGTAACTATATACAACAGTTACTGTGTCATTTTGAATTTTTAGTTTTAGTAATTGGAGATCCCTGCCCATTGTGCGACCCTAGGCTTTACTATTATCAAATGACAGAAGAGGAATGCAACACATGCCCAGGTTATGTACCATTGACTCACTTGAAGTGGTTACGTGATTTAGAATTGGACCCAAAAAAGACCGGGGCCGAGTTGTTCAAAAGAGCGATTAGCACTAACCCAGGGTTAGATTTTAACCCATTTTTTTTTTTTTTTTTTTCTTTTAATCAAAAGCATTTTGTCAGATAATTTTCTCTTTTCTTTTTTAAGTATCAAATCACCAAATTGTAGACAAAACGAATTATTCAAATGAATTTGTTTTTAAAACTTTCATATCTGAATTCATATTTCGTACTAACCTTGGGTTATCTTTACCCAGCTTTGAACAACCCAGCCTGGAAGGATAAATGCTGCATGTTAATTTGTTTCACCGCCTTAGTTTTTTCTTTATAGCTTTAAACTTTTCATGATCCAAGGCCAACTCAGAGTTCCTGTAACCCAGTGTTGGTCTGTTCATTTTTTATGAGGGGGCGGGGGGCTTTGTCGGGTGGGATTTGACTGGTAGCTCCTGTATATGAAGACCGTCTCTTCATCATAATTTTTGTTGGGAAGCCACAACCCCGCTCCTTGTATCCCAAGATCAAATAACCAGGATTCAGGTGAATTTTAGCCAGCAAAAATGCTATGACTTTTTTGGATTGAATGGGTAGTACTTCATGAACAGTAAAACTCAAAATCAACAGTAAAATCAGTGAAACTCAAACTCAGGGTTGCAAACAACAGAGTAAGAAAAATTAGCCTTTCATAAATTTGTCGGCTGAGTTAATGTTCAAATAAAATTGTGAGCAGTTTCACCATATTTTGTTGTAGTATTGGCTGATGGGTTTTCAAAATGTGGTCATTTTTAGGAAGCCCACCATCGAGATGCGGTCATCTCTAGGTGAGCAATCAAAACTACAACAAATACCGGTTAAACTAAAATTGTTGGTTTTAATTTGAATTAAGTTTGTTGGTTAAATGGCCATGAGGAAATTATGCACAAGTGAATAATCACAACCCTGAGTTTGAAATCCACAAAACTTTTTATTTTGGACCACATTTGATTTTTTAGTATGATGTACAAAAAATACAGTAAATGATCTGACTACTGGACCTTTGTCCAGTAGATTTGTTGTAGTGTATTTACTTGTATAATAAAGGGGAGGTAGTGTGGGCCCTCGATCTGTACGGTATAGAACAGTTACTGTGTGATTTTGAATTTCTAGTTTTAGTACTCGGACATCCTTGCCCGTTGTACGACCCTAGGCTTTATTATAATCAAATGACAGAAGAGGAATGCAACACATTCCCAGGTTGTGTACCATTGACTCACTTCAAAGTGGTTATGTGATTTTGAATTATTGGACCCTAAAAAGACGGGGCCCAGTTGTTCCAAAGACCGATTAGCACTAACCCAGGGTTAGATTTTAACCGCGTTTCTTTTTTCCTTTTAATCAAAAGCATTTTGTCAGATAATTTTCTCTTTTCTTTTTACGTATCCAGTCACCAAATTGTAGACAAAAGGAATTTAAATCAATTTGTTTTTTAAACTTTCGTATCTGAATTCATATTTCGTACTAACCTTGGGTTATCTTAACCCAGCTTTGAACAACCCAGCCTGGGAGAGTAAATGCTGCATGTTAATTTGTTTCACCGCCTTAGTTTTTTCTTTATAGCATGACGAGATTCATACGACTTTGAAATTCACCACAGGGAGGAAGTTTCAATTTCCGGTGTCCTTGTAAAAACCTAATCAGGATTCAATTAATAGCTGCTAATCTGTCACGACTTGTGTACTTTGCGTCACTGATGGAAAACGACCTGAGACGAAAGACAGATACTATTTTAGGTTCCTTTGTATCATCTTCAAATGGCTACCTATTATCATTTTAGCGCAAAAACGTTTTAAGGTCGACACTGATCCCTCGATCATTTCATAAATTCTCAATAACTGCTAATGATGTGAAAGTGTAATGTTCATGGAGAATGTTGATGGAGATCACTATTTCTTAAGCGTGATCGCAAACAGTTCAATTCAGTCAGAGTTCAGTTTTTAAGTGTGGATCGTAGTGGATATTTTCAATTTTATCGAATCCATTTTAAGAAAACAGGAAAATTTATTTTGCCAAAGCCAGTGGCTATCAATTGTCGGTAAAAGTGAGTAAAATTTCATAAACCAAAAATTGATTTACAGATTAAAGCTTTATTTAATTTTGCACTGATTAGATCTTTGAAGATGATAGTGCATGTCCCGCATTAAGTAAAACAGTTTAGCCTTGCTGATGCAACGGAGCAGCGTAGCCTTTTTAGGCTGTGGCTCTGTGAGAATTTTATTCTCCGGGTGTCTCAGAGAGAACTAAAAACGCGCTTTTCAGATGTTGTTTGTATCTCCGTCTAGTATTAAGTAAAACGGTTTGGCCTTCCTGATTCAACAGAGCAGCTTAGCCCTTTTTAGGCTGTGGCTCTGTGAGAATTTTATTCTCCGGGTGTTTCAGAGGGAACTAAAAGCGCGCTTTCAGATATTGGTTTATTCTCTGTCCAGCATTAAGAAAAAACGTTTGGCCTTCCTGATTCAACAGAGCAGCTTAGCCTTTTTAGGCTGTGGTTCTGTGAGAATTTTATTCTCCGGGTGTCTCAGAGGGAACTAAAAACGCGCTTTTCAGATATTTTTTGAATCCCCGTCTAGCATTAAGTGAAACAGTTTGGCCTTCCTGATACAACAGAGCAGCTTAGCCTTTTTAGGCTGTGGCTCTGTGAGAATTTTATTCTCCGGGTGTCTCAGAGGGAACTAAAAACTCGCTTTTAGATATTGTTTGAATCTCTGTCCAGCATTAAGAAAAAAAGGTTGGCCTTCCTGATGCAACAGAGCAGCTTAGCCTTTTTAGGCTGTGCATGGCTCTGTGAGAATTTTATTCTCCGGGTGTCTCAGAGGGAACTAAAAACTCGCTTTTTAGATATTGTTTGAATCTCTGTCCAGCATTAAGAAAAAAACGTTTGGCCTTCCTGATTCAACAGAGCAGCTTAGCCTTTTAGGCTGTGGTTCTGTGAGAATTTTATTCTCCGGGTGTCTCAGAGGGAACTAAAAACGCGCTTTTCAGATATTTTTTGAATCCCCGTCTCGCATTAAGTAAAACAGTTTGGCCTTCCTGATTCAACAGAGAAGCTTAGCCTTTTTAGGCTGTGGCTCTGTGAGAATTTATTCTCCGGGTGTCTCGGAGGGAACTAAAAGCGCGCTTTTAGATATTGTTTTAATCTCTGTCCAGCATTAAGAAAAAAAGTTTGGCCTTCCTGATTCAACAGAGCAGCTTAGCCTGTTTAGGCTGTGGCCCTGTGAGAATTTTATTCGCCTGGTATCTCAGAGGGAAGCTTTATTTTTTAGACATAATTTAAATATTGCAAAATTAATGTTTCGCTTACGTTTTTAATTAACCCCATCCAGATCCAGTGAGGCCTTTAAAACAGCGCGTCAATTTTAAAAGTTTTTTCATAAGGCAGTTTCTGTTTAGCGCTTAGTGTTAGTTCTGGCCTTGAAATGAAGATTCCATTAAAAAGCCTTGCGTTTAGACATAAAATTAGGGAGATCTTGGTAAGCATGAATTGAAATATATGAAATGCGGATGAAGGTATGAAAGTGAAAATGATCATCGCATTAAATTCGCAGCCTATTCGGTTGAAAAATAACCTAAAAAATTTTGCAGCGTTGTCGCAGAAAGTTAGAGGTAATATTGTTCATTGTTGGGGAAAATACTCCGCGGCTTTAAATTAATAATTTCCACGATGTTTTAATTCCGGTAGTGTAGTAACCTTTTTGTTACGGCAGCTTCTAAAACGCACCCGAGAAAACCGCACAGTCTCTGTGAACTCTCACTTTAACTTGCGAGAGATGCAAAAAAAAAGACAATAGAGTGACATTACTTTGAAACCAAATTTACGGGTTAATGTTCAAATAAAATTGTGAGCAGTTTCACCATATTTTGTTGTAGCATTGACTGTTGGGTTTTCAAAATGTGGTCATTTTAGGAAGCCCACCATCGAGATGCGGTCATCTCTAGGTGGGCAGTCAAAACTACAACAAATACCGGTTAAACGAAAATTGTTGGTATTAATTTGAATTAAGTTTGTTGGTTAAATGACCAGGAGGAAATTGTGTACAAGTGAATAATCACAACCCTGAGTTTGAAATCCACAAAACTTTTTCTTTTGGACCAGGTTTGATTCGTTCTGTAAAAAGACTAACAGAAGAAATTTGTGACTGTAAAATTGTCAAAAAAAGTAACTGGTTTCTGATTCCTTTATATTGAAATGACAGTGCATATAAAACAGTTAACAGGAAAGATGCATGTAAGGGGTTAGACCTCTTGGCGGAGTCTCACAGCATGTACAAAATTTTATTGTAACAATGTAATGTTACAGTTGAGATTGGAAATTTACTTTAGTCACAAAACGAATCAAACATATAGGAAATGTCACATGCACATCACCTTTGACTGTCAGCAAATGTTATGCAGTTCACTATATTTGCTCCCCTTGCAAATATGGATAATTATGATACAAATGTTCAAATTTATGATACAGCCGAATGTGTAGAAATTTATTGTTTTTGCTCTTAAGGCAAATACGAGTAAACCACATGCAAAAGTGTTCTTTTGGTATCCTGGAAAAACAAGAGCAAACACCACTGCAAATTAGTGGTTTTGCAATATTTTTGCCTGCATTTGAAGTACAGTGAAAACTGTCATTTTTGCCAAGGATGTAAATTTGAGTAAATTGGTAGAAATGTTGAAGATTTGCTCATGCTGCAAATATGTCTCAAATTTGTATCAAACCATTACATTTACTTGACTTTTGCGTATCAATACCTATCTAGCAAATATATGAATTTGCCCACACTTTAGCCGACAGCGCAAATGTAATGCAAATTTGGAGCTCCAAATTTACCACATATTTGCACCTTTCGCAAACATTAGTAAATCCGTTTTTTCGTCCAGTGTTTGAAGCCGGCTGAAAACAACTCGGCACAGTCCCGTGCTGTAAAAGAGACATTCATTGAGAGAATAAAGCAAGGACGGAAATAGCTTTTAAAACGACTCTTTCAAAGACGGATTTATCTGCTTTTGGCATCACGCCCAACCCAAAAGGATGCAAAACGAATTAAAAGGGGACGAAACACAATTAAAACCCATGTGTTAAAACCTGGTCATTACCTTGACATTCAAACCCTCACAGCGGCATGATTGAAACAGGATGTCAGTTCTTATAAACCCAGAAAAAAGGGGTGTAAGTCCTCAGAATGTGGTCTTACCATTTAGATTTGATGCTTATATATTCTATCTTAAGAAGACACCACGTATATAAGAAAAAGCTCGAGATTTTACTGTATCGATCAGTGTAGTAATAAACAGATCAGGTACACTATCCGAAGAGCTTTTGAGAATCGAATAACAAAACAATCTTCTACAACACCAATGATGATATTGATGAGGTGGCGTCCTTTTATGACATTATCGGGATGAAATAGAAGACACGTTTATAAGAACCTTTTATAAATTATAATTTCTCACCAGTTTTGACTACAACTTTTACTTCAGTCTCCACGTGAACTAACTCGCTCTGAGCTCTACAGGTGTAGGTGTCACTGTCTTCAGCTGTCAAACTGTTTATTTTTAGTTGTCCACTCTCCACTTGTGTGCGCCCCTCTGGAATGTGTCCTTTACAACGTGACCACGTGATACTCGGTATTGGGTGTCCATCTGCAGAGCAGTTCAATGTAACTGACTGTCCAAGATAACGCTCTATCATCTGGGGTGGCCTGACAGTAAACTGTGGCACTATATTGATGATTAAGGTTGTCATTGCGTGCGAAGTGCCCATAATATTTGTAGCAGAGCAAATATACGTTCCGGCATCCTTCTTCTTAGCTTTAACTATGGTCAAAGTTTGACCTTCGACAACTGCTCTTTCAGTGGGAATTTGGTCAAAAAGTTTTGTCCAGGATATTACTGGAGGTGGATATCCAATGATCTGGCATTTAGGCAATTTGACATTTTTCCCGCTCTCAGCGTATATTGGGCCAGTGATAAGAGAAACGTCTGGACGAGCTGCAACAAGACAAAACAAAACAGCGAGAACAACCGATGGTTACCAGCGTGTGACCATTTTCAGGGTCTACTGGTTTTACACACTTTACCCATCAGTCACTTTAACGTTGACTTCAGCCGCGCTTGTTATTGTGCGCTCCGGCTCTGCATGACGACAAACCGCCTCGTACATTTTTGATCTTGTTCAGTTTATGAACGTTGAACGGTTCAGGGTTTTCAGATGAATGAAAAAGAAACTAGTCGCGTACTCACTAATGCATTATGATACAGTGTGATGAAACTTGATTACTTTGGCTGCTTTGGTAGCACTCGCTAAGAAAAAATCAGAGCGGCGCGTAGATTGCAGTTTGAATGACGTGCAGCAGATATTCAATTTAATCAAAGGCTACACTTTCGTCAATTAACTCAGTATACTAGTCATTTCTTTGGTAGATCAGGCCTCCATTCAGGAATGGGGCAGTCTTCGAATTAATTAAGGATCAAGTGACCCCTTTGTGTTAACCGAGGGTCAGTTCTCCTTTACTATAGTGGAGGACGTATTATTCTCAAAATGTCACTGAATTTTTCTACTCATACCTCTGACATTGAGTGTTACTGCAGCCTGCGCGGTTCCCTGGTCAGTTCGGATCGTACATACGTATATCCCGTTGTCACCAACGATCACATTCTTGATGTGTAGAGTCCCCTTCACAATGGAATGCCGTCCAATGGGAAGAGAGCCACTTTCTTTAGCCCATGATATTTTCGCGTCAACTTTTCTCTCCGGTGAGCACTGAAACGTAGCTGATTCATTCAATGTTACAGTTTTTACTGCGGGCTTGACCAAAATCTCGGGGGTTGAAATAATACTTCCGGGTTCCCCCCTGAATAGCTGCAGAGATGTTGAAGTCGATTCTCCAGGTTCCCCTTTTTGGCCCTTCATACCGGGAGGTCCCATTGGCCCTTGAGGTCCCTGTGGTCCTGTTTTCGCGGGAGGACCTTGAACACAAATCTGTCCCTTGTTGGTGCAGAGTTTTCTTGTGCTCGTGTGAACAGCCTTGTTGATCTGTTTTTGTATCTCTTTAGCTAAAGAACTTTCAGCATCTTCCGTGGGTGTAACCGCCCGAACAATTCGTCTACTGTGATGAGCTGATAACTGCTTCGAGTTCATACTCAAGGAATGAGCATTTCCTTAAAAATAAAAATAGGTAGCCGAAGTCATGATAATTTTTGGGGGGCCGTGAGCGAGTATGGCACATTTATAACATGGCGGTGTCTTCAGTGTGTCTCATGAATGTCTGTTAAAAAAAAAATCAGCTACTAAGAATAACATCATAGGACAACAACCCCATTGTTATCTGAGCCATATTTAGCACAATAAACTTCATGCACTTTCCCGGGTTTCAACATTGATACCAGGTGTTTCCTGGTGTTGCGGAATGATTCAGACTTTCGTTGGTTCTTTTTTGTGCTGTGGTGTAGTGGTATTGCTCACTGTCTTTTTAATCTTTTGTGTTACTTCATTTGATGATTTCACCAATCTTCAAAACCAAGAAACTACCGTAATATAGATTATGCAGTACACCTTTTGATTAATTCTAATCATTCCGATCTCGATCGTTTTGGTTCATTTTAATATTCGACCTTGATACCCAAGTTAGTTACTTCTCTGAAACTTTAAAAACCTCATAGAGTTGCCTGGAGCCGAAGCGAGTTCACAAGTAAGGCTAAAATATCACTTCAGAGTCTGCTTAATTATCCAATCTCAAAAATGCAAGCCAACTACCAATCATAAAGCACTGGTTGTTCCTTTGCTTAGAGCGCACGAATTCCAAGTAAATAATGGTGTTTTACAGACTAAGAAAGCGCGGTCTTCAGCTAGTTCATGCAGCCGTATGATGTTTTAGGATGTTGGATAAAATTCCAGAGTACACTTGTTTCGGCCTGTGTACTTTCCTTCATTATATTTTGTACTAATTATAACACTTAAAGTTTTCAGAACTGTGTTCGTATTTAAAACAAACGTGATTTAAGGCCGCGATTATTTCCCCAAATTCTGGCCGAGTTGTGCCGAACTTTTCGAAAATTTAAAGATGTGTTATCATGGAATACTGGAATATTTTGCGTGCTTTCCTCTAACCAATACATGGCAAAAGCGGGAGGAAGTCGCTCATTTGTCGAAAGCTTCACGTGAACTCACATGATCGATAACTTATCCCTTTGTAAAACTTTGTAATTAAACTCGCGACAAGCCCTTAGAGAGGTAACTGCAAGAAAAGAAGGCAAATTATGTGACTAGTCACTAGCGGCTCGTAGAGTGGGCAGTTTTATCAACGAGGCGCTTACCTTCGCTTGAGGGTGGAGCATCCTTTACTGTCTCGTTTACTTTCTGCCCTTGCTCCAGTGCAACAATTCTCTCCGTATGAGATCGTAACTCCAGTTCCAATCTCACAAAACCGACACAAAAGAAAAGCACACTGATAAAAGTTACACAGCAACAGCAAACGAGCAGGCGAGATGATACGTTAGCTGAACTCATGATTGTGTGAACAAGGAAAAGGTTTCCAACTATCTGATGAAGTATTCGATGAGCACGGAGTTTAAGGTGACACCTTATCACTGAATTACAATGTAATACCCTTCTGTTCAAACCTGATAACGTGCTTTTTTTAGGTCAGCAGAAGTGCGTATTTTGAAAAGGCTAAATCTACGTATTGCTGATTTAAGTCGGTTAGCGTAATTTTTTAGACAGAAGTCAGATTTCTGATTTAAGAGCTCGGGGTAAAATATAATAAAAATAATCTGTTTTGACCGCAGACGACCGAACAGCCAAGGAAATTCTTAGCGCTGTTACTTCCAAAGAAAAGTAATAGAAAAAGACTGAAAAATGGTCAGACCCCTAGACGGCGCTCGAATCCGATGGCCGTGGGGCGAAAACAGGTATTGCACTTCCGACTAGCTAGTTTGGCATGCATTGAGATTTATACAGTAATAAGCTTTGGGGTACAATAGATTTCTATAGGTAAATTCTGGTTCTGATAACACGTTTTGGATTGCAAATGATATAATACGTCTATAACTAAAAACAATGAAGGCAAGACAATGCAATGAAGACCTTATACTAACACGGAGGTAGCCTGTTCACAGACCCTCTAATTTCTTTTCAAAGTCCGTCGAGCGCGTTGTAAAAGACTAACCGCAGGGGATTTATTGACCGCCAGCGCAAGGAGGTAGGGGTGGGGGAAGAAGAAAATAGCCTTTCTTTGTTTTTCCTTCTCGAGCTCCTCGCTTGTTCTCGCACGCTCGCTTCGCTCGCCAATGTTTTCGAAAAGAACGAAAAGAAAAATAAGACAACGTCTGTGTACAGGCTAACACGGAGGGGGAGCGTAACGGAAGACGCAATAATCTCATCTTTGTTTTTAAGTAGAAATTAAAATAAAGCTACCCGGGACACCGGTGCTTGTTTACGTCTTGTTTCAAATTCTGCGAAATGTACATCATGATTCTGGCAAAGCAGAGTGCAAGATTTATTTTTTGCTAGGATAAAAACCGCGCGGCACTAGGAACGGTAAAAGACGCAGTCTGAGATATTCCTAGATCCGCCACAGCTTATCAAATCGTAGTTTCATTTGTTAAATTCTACCCGTCGACTTTAGCATGAAGTTGTATTCATTTGTTTTTCCTCGACAGTTGTCGTCAGTTTAATGGAGGTCTCATAAAAAGCGGAAGGCCTTTTTTTATGCAGCAATCCTTAGGTTGAAGATCGAAAGATATGTTACACAAGTATTAAATTTTTCTTGGCTCGAAGCTCGCGACTGAATTCGAAAAAGTTTTGAGATAACCCTGAAATAAGTTTCAATATCAATGCAGCACACAATTTCAATTTAATTCAAAGCTGTTAAGAGAGTTAAAAGCGGCTAGCTTTCATCTAACGTAGTTATCTTTGATTAATTGAACAGAGAAAAAGATTACCGTCGCGTTTTAATTCCTCTGGCACGTCGCGCCTGTTTTGTACTTGTTAAGTCGTTCTAGTAAAAATTGGGAGAATTTTCTTTTACCATGCGGTATACCATTTCAAGTTAAGTCAGTTAAAGCTGCACTCGAAACTATTAAATGATAGCGTTTATTTGATCACCAGAATAAATTTTTCTCCAAAATTTGACAATTATTCGTGACGATAAAACGTTTTTGCAACGGAAGCGAGTTTGTCCGCCCCACTTGTCAATGCATCAAGTAAAAACAGATCGAGAGGCCAGGTCTGAAAGCGGGTATAGATTTTAGAAGCAAGGTGAAAACAGGTGTAAAAATTGACATGTTTGGTCTGAAATAGTCTTAGGATTTGGGAAACCGGGCAGCACACACACGTCAAGAAGAGAAATCCCCGGGAAGAGGGGCGCTTTTTTTTACTTCGACAAAGGAAGAGAGCGCTTATTCGTTGGACAACCCTTATAGTAGCATTCTTGGAGAATTAAGGGTAGTCAGTCGGGTCTTCGAGATGATACCGTTCTTGAGTGTCGTCTCTCCGAGGAAGGTTCGCTTCATTGAGGGGATCTCAAGGCAGAAGTCGAAAAGAGAAAGGAATATCCAAGCCTCTGTTCGCAGTGAGGCACACCAAATAACAAGAAAGGGTTACGAAGGTTGACGTTTCTTGTTCGTCACTTTTTTGTTTAATAAATTCAAAATTTTGCTTTCTCTACTGCACGCTGTCCATAGAAAAAACCCCAGCCTCATCCCCAGGGCGCTTTTTTGATTCCATGGCTTTGGGAAAAAAAAACCAGGAGGCACTCAAGGGAAGTCTGGGTAGAGGTGTGCCGCCGAAGCCTTTAAGCCCTGACACCCTGTTTAACACAAAGATTTTTGGTAGCACAAAAATGGACCGCCCATCGCCAGCCCTGCACTCTTTTTTTAGACACCCAGTGCAGTGCAAGACGTTCACCCTGAAAACAGGCCCTGAAGACTATACCATTGGCTAGATTACTCTGCGAGCAGAGGCTGCATTTTCGCGGTATAAGCTACTTTTCCTTTTCGCACGCCAGCTCATGCCACGAAAAAGGAGCCCTGTTCACAGGGTAGCGGCGAAAGGGCCGGCGCACAGCCATTTATTATGAGGCCACATAAGGAAGTGCCCCCACAGTCTCACGAGCCCTTTGGAGGGTCGAGGGGCCGGAGTTTGCCGGAGTTAAGGCCGGATTCCGGAGAGGTGACCGGATAAGGGGTTGATAAGGGCCGGATGATCTCATTTCGTACCAGTCCCCTCCCAGTCAAGTAAACGCCTGTCATTTTTCAATTAGATTGTCTTAGAATGGAGTCGTTTTCGACATTTTTTGAGGTTTCTCACGGGATTATTGCGTTACACAGAATTAGGTGAAGAGGTTTTAACAATTTAGGTCTAATATATTTGATATTTAACTGTTAAGAATTCATTTCGTCCTCAAAACGTTGAAAATTTTTCAAGAAAATCAGGCCGGCGTCCGACCAGCTAGCTGTACCAGCTGATACAAGACGGTATGAAAAGAACACACGATAACCAGCCGAAGTTGTACCAGTTTAGAAATTGTCGACTTTTGAGAGACAGTAAGATAATTACAGACGATCTCTGGGTTCGAGATGGAAAGATTATTGATCCTCGAATAATTTTCTGGGAAGAACAGGTCAAAGCAGATGTACAGATTGACTGCAATAATGTGATCATCTGTCCCGGATTTATTGATGTGCAAATAAATGGTAAGTGTGCTTTAAAGTGAGGGATGCTTAACTTAGGTAAGAGACAAGACGCCAAATCTAAGGTTTTAATCTAGACAGTTTCTACTGTTGAACCCCACCCCTCACTGGCCACATTTTTCTTTGTAAAGTTTCACCATTGTCAGAGTTGGACAAGGGGGATAGTGGTATACAAGTATACCAAATTGTCTAGTTCATACTAAAAGAGAATTTTTTATACAGCTGCATAACGTTTTACACAGTCTTAAACATCTGGAAAGATATATTAGAAAAACAATGTTGAGGAGTTTGGGATAATGCATCAATCAATTCCAGCTGTGCCCGGACCCCCCCCCCTTTGGTTACTGTGGGGCATTTGCACACCCTGTCAGTCCCGGGGGTGGGACATTTGCAAATTTTACGCTGCCTGGGGGCCGGTCATTTGCCAATGCCGGGGCCAACCCTGACCTTTTGACATGCACATAGTTTCCTATCAGAATATAACTACACAGAGGATTTTACTTGAAAAACAAGCAGATTGGCTCATTTGTCAAGGATGGGAAAAAACTGAAGAGGATTGGAAAAAAAAATCTCACATTAAAATGCTTAAAATGGAACTACTCGACTGTGCGATCAATGAAAAATGTTGTAGTGTTGATGGAGGACAGGGCATTTGCCCTCGTTTCTTTCTCACCCCGGGGGATTTGACAGCTCAAGAGTCCCCACCCTGGGAATTTGAATGCCCAGGGGTCAGCCTGGGGGGGGGGGGGGTCGGGGTGCTGCTGGCCGCAGCTGGAATTGACTGATGGATAACATTTTCTCATAGGGGTGTTAAAATGTCATTGAGTGCCTGTTAACAGCTACATAGACTCAACTCTTGTACATGTAAAGAGCCATAGGGTTGTTCTAAATGCATATGGGGTATGGAAGGGGATGGGGTCCTTATCCCGCATTTTTCAAAATGAAATCCCACATACCACCCTTTTTTCATTGCTTTCCCAAGTCCTGAATTGCTGCATTAAGTATCAAGTCATCAACTGGTTTGCTATTGCTGCACCATGTGTACATTCCTGGTGTATGTTCTATCCGCTCCTCTGTTGATTCATCTTTGGAGACCTAGGGGCAGTTAATTGGGTCAGAATAAACAGCTGTGATGCTGCTCTTATCGAACTAGTTCCATGACTCATTCAAATGCTTGTCTCTGACTGGGCCCAAAAAATATTTTTGTGTTCAATCAGAAGCCAGCTTCTATCTTGTTTTCTTGATCTTCTTATATGAAGAAGTTTCCCTGCAACTTCAACCATTTGCTGGACATGTCTGGCTTGTGCAGAGAGCTGTCTTCAAGAAGAGTTTTCAGTGAAAATGGGGCCCACAAAACTAAAGAAATTCTATAATTGGTATATTTTCCACTTAAACTCATACATTTATTATGCATGCAGTAAGTTTGTACCATTTCACACAAACATGTACGGTTGATAAGAATAGAGTGAAAACATGCATGCATGCATGCATAATATTAATGTATGGGGTTATACGGAAATCTCACCCCATGGATTAGCATGCCTACAAAAAAAAATGAAATGATAAATGCACCAATTAAAGAAATCAGAAAGTGCGCTGATCAAGAGGTAAATTCGTAAACACCAGAGTACTTCTAGGCTTGTTCATGTGAAATCTTTTGCGTTGTTGTTTATGCCTGTTCGGCATTCCTGTCGGGTATACGTGCAGGAGAAATTTTTTCGCCCTTTTGAGTTTGTAAGTTTGTTAAATTTTTCTCCTTAATGATTAAGAGGAAGGAATGAAACTGGTAGAGTAAACTTTGGGGCTCGCTGAAAAACTGAAAACTCTTCTCGAAGAAAGCTCTCCTGCAGGTAACAGACAGGTGCGGGGGACAGTTGACTTGTTGCTTGGAGGTAAACTACTTCTTGTAAGAAAGAAAGCAGCAAAATAGAAGCTGGCCTCTGATTGAGGACAAAAAATAATCAGAGACAAGCATTCAAATCAGTCATGGAACTAGTTCGATAAGAGTAGCATCCCAGGGGTTTTCTGACCAGTTCTGTCAAAACTTTCGCCTCTGTTTATTCTACCCAATTGGCTGCCCCTGGGTCTCTGAAGATGGATTGATTACTTGACAGTTTAAATTAGAGAATCATAACCAGGCGGCTCTATCGCGTGCTTTCATAGGAGACACTAAAGAATGCTTGCCTTGTTGATTCGCATTTGCTGCAAAAAAGTATATTTGATACATAATGATTTCCTGAATTGCTGGCAGACAGGCAAAAAAACTACCCTGTTCCCAGGGTTCTCTCCTACCCATCCCCACGGAGTGAGAGATAGAGGGGTAGGAGAGAGAACCTGGGGACAAGGTTGGCAAAAAAATTCCACATCTTGCATCCAAATTTTGGTGAATCCTGCTTCCCAGGTATCAGCCAAATCCTGTTTCCTTTCAAGATATTTTGGGCCAGTTATAAATTTAAATGGAGTTTAACCAGTGTTTAACAAAACCGCATTCTAAGCCATTTTCAGTTTGCCAAACACTTTAATGTAAACACGATTTATCATGAACATTTTCATGAAAACATTGGCGCAGACTAGAAAAGCATTTGTCTTCTTACAATAACCCACTTAGGAAAAGATCTGGCAGTCCAAAGATTGGCTAAACCACAGCCTAACACCTGACCCTTTGTGTTTTCCCTAATCCTGCACCATTTTTTGGTCAAAAAATACCCTTCCAGACCCTGTGAAAATGTCATGCACCAGGCAGCTAGGTTGGTGTACCAAAACAATGAATCCAGTCATGTTTGCTGTAACATGAAAACTAGGCTGGGCGGGGCTCCTTAAAATATTGTGGCCTCAAGTGAAATTTCCAGGAAGGTGGGGGTCCAATTACCCAATAAACTCTCTGTTGAAGCAGTATAGCAGTATAGATATTTTCAGAACCATTACACAATGTGTAATTTTCTTTCACACTTCCAGGTGGATTTGGTGTGGATTTCTCATCTGATACTGACAAATTAGAAGAAGGCTTAGTAACTGTAGCAAAAGGTTTGTTACAACATGGAGTGACATCTTTCTGCCCCACAATTGTAACATCAACACAGCAAAGTTACAATGAGGTAACAGTTTGTTATATTTAAGTTCATTATTAACATCTTAACTAGCTTTAATAAGCCAAATTCTGGTTGGTTTTTAGATTTTAAAGACGGTCAAAAGAACTCCTGGTGGAGAGAATGGAGCAGAAATTCTAGGTAAATTATGGCTTTATAAAACATTGTTTTATTGGGGTCCAAAAGTGGATTAAGTACTCCTGGAAAATTCAGTGGGTAGGCAGGGATATATATATATAGCTGTCTGACTTTATAAAGGTAATCTTACCGGTATTTGTACCTGAAACAAATGTTGAAAATAAACAGAAAAAGTAGAAAAACAAAGCATCAGTGAAAGTCAACAGAAGGTAATTAAGTAAGGGATAGCTTAGGAAACTGGTATAACACAATGCCCAGGTAACTCGTCTTAAACTTCAGATTATTTTTCAATACAAAAGGCAGTGTTTTTTTCTGATTTTTTCACACTTGAAAGATATGTTAAATTACTGTTGCCAAGTTGTAAGTCCTATAAAATAAACAATCCAAGTTAATTGATTTAATTTTAATTACCTCTCAGTATACTAATAATAGTCACCTGTGCAAAAATGATTTGGGACCCCTGGAAAATTTGTAGAACACCTTGAAAGCATTACTCTAAGTGTTAAAACCATACCCTTTGACAGTACACATACCTAATAGCTTATTTAATGTAGTACTGCATCACCTGTTCCTTGAGTGCTTTTTATCTATGGTTTGATCCCAAAGGCTAAACCACTCACTACATGCGTAAACTGGGAATAACGGAGGATAAAGGTGCTCACCCTTGCTCTGCAAATGGCTGGTACAGTGGACCCTTGATAAAATGAAGGGCCAAGGGACTGGCAAAATTTGTTCGCTATAACGAGGTTTCGTTATATTGAGCTTTTGTTTAGTATATTTTGTTATTACTGAGATAATGAAAATCGTTTGTTATACGCGGAGGACTTTGTTATATGGACTTTGGGTGGCTTGGGGGCAATGCTGTAGTTCTAGGTATACAGTAGTAATGCAATGTTTATACAGAGTTTGAAAAAAAAAGAAAATGAAATTTAAAATATTAAGAATAAAACTGAACCACCAACAATAAACACTTACAAAATGATGGTCCAGCCCTCCAGCAGGGGATATAAATAAAAGCTTTTTAACACAAATCCTTTTAAATCTTTTTTCTTTTAAATTTGTATGCCAAGGCTAGGATGCGGTTCAAATGCAAATTACACACATTTATTTAATATTTAGACAGCGTAGTAGGCACTTATTCTTAAGGAAATAACAGGGTTGTCAGAAAGTTTGAAGTAGATGGCTGAGTTGTCAAAGTATACGTAAGCAGCCAGCACTAGAGTTGCTGCTGAGCACCGAAGGCGCAAGCCTCTTGCATTGGGGGGTCTGGGGGCATTCTCCCGCAGAAAATTTTCATATTTAGATGCTCTGAAATGCTGTTTTCTGCGCTCTCTAGGCTATTTTCTCTCCAAAATTACTGAAAACCCGGAGAATAAACTATGCTCTTTATCTTCCAATCTTGTTGGTGAACTGTGATAATTCATTTAAAAAGCGCTATCCATAAAGAAATGCCAAGTAGAGTAACCGGCCGATACTAATTAATTAGGCAGCGATTTTTGTCGGCTGCCCGGCTACTTTTGACAACCCTGAATAACGGACTCAAGAAAGAATGTGAGGGTGCGAGGGACCCTCTTGTGCACTTGTTCTTTCTTGTGCCCATTATTTTCTAGTGCCTACTATGCAGGCTATCAGTACTGTTATTCAATTGTCTGATTGTTGTTTGTTTGTTAACCCAGGTGCTCACTTGGAAGGACCATTTCTTAATCCTGACATGAAAGGTGCTCACAAGGCACATCTTATGAGACAGATAAGCACCAAAGGGGCTCAAGAAATGGAAGATTTTTATGGAACATTAGATCATGTCAGCATTGTAACTCTTGCCCCAGAATTAGCAGGAGAAAATATGGAGTCGATTAAACAGCTGGTGCAGAGGAATATTGTGGTGTCTATAGGTAAGTAAAGACTTTTACTAATAACACTCAAAGTACAAGACCTGCCTCTTGCTCTTCAAGGTTTTTTCCATGTAGTACTCCATGTACTCCAGCAACACTGCTGCTGCTGAGCAGGGACTGCAAAGAAAGTCAGTTTTACAGCCCGCCATTTGGCAGTGATGCCAACTCTCCCACTTTTGGCGGGAGACTTGCGCTTTTTTGCCTTGTCTCCCGCTCTCCCGCTTTGGTACATTAAGTCTCCCGCTTTTTATGTCCAGTATAAATATTGAATGTACTTAGTAAAAAATAGAACAGACTTGGTGTGAGATTTAGCCCATTTTTAGCTTAAAACTTGAATTTTTCTAATTCGTGGTACGGTTTCTGGGGCATTTTTGCACGTATTTAGTCATTGACAAAGATTATTTCTAGCATCAAAACGATGATTTTGAATTTTGATAGTATGTCCATCATGTAAGACGTCATATAATGTCCTAAGTCATTCCCGGCTGGGTTCAATTTTTCGGGGGGTAGTGAAAAAAAAGACAGTCTCCTGATTTTAGGTCTCCAGAGGTTGGCATCTCTGATTTGGGCAAGCTGTAGCTAGCATGTACTAGCCCACAAGTCATTTCAACTAGCTCCCAGCCCTTTTTGATTAGCAAGATTGATTACAATCCTTTTGTATTTTGAATTTCCCCCTGAAAAACAGCACTAATGCCTGTCGGGCAAGTTAAGAGCAAAAATCACTAGCCCGATACGAAAATCCACTAGCCCTAGGCTATTGGACATGACTTTCTTTGCACGCTGGTCCACAAAGCCAACATTTCTATTCCAGTTCAATCAGGAACGGTAGACAGAATTGCTATGTAGATGTGTTACTTCTAACTCATAAGCTTATAATTATTTATTTATATATTTATTTTAATTCCTTAGGTAGACCCTAGTGAGGGATTAAAAAATTGTTAATTTATAGAGATGAAAATCTCACAGTGATGCAAAGGGAATTTGTGCATATTTAATTTTTTCCATGTGGTTGCAATGCTCACACACTTGGAGACCAAATACAGGGTTTGTACAGAGGTCATGGAAAACCTGGAAAGTCATGGAATTTAAAAATTTCATTTTCCAGGCCTGGAAAGTCATGGAATTTAATTGTCGATCCTTGAAAGTCATAGAAAATAATTCTGATTAAAGTAATTGTTTGATAGATTACTTACCGCAGATGAAAAGGCGAGGAACATGTAGTTATAAGATAGAGAGGAGTAATTAAATACAAACCGCACACATTTTTGGTGGATGCCAGAGTTTGTGTCTGTTGAACTGTTCAAGGTCAAGAAATACTGTAAAACAAGAAAAGTTTTTGAATTTTTGAAACTGACAGCTAAACCTAAGGTCTTGGAAAACTTGAAAAGGTCATGGAAAGTCATGGAAAGTCATGAAATTTTGAAGAGCTTAAAAGAGTACAAACCCTGCTAATATCGCAGGTATTCCATCATTCCAGGTAATGACTCAAGCATTTTTCAAAGTCTCACTTGAATAACTTCCTTTTATGTCTGTCTCAACTCTCACCTTACCAACTGGAAATAATGAAATAATGTGAAACAATCAGTAACTGATAATTATCAACAAATTACTTCTTATATTACAGGTCACTCAGCAGCAAATGAGGAAATTGCAGAGCAAGCTGCTAAAAAAGGTGCCACATTCATCACCCATCTGTTTAATGCCATGTTACCAGTAAGTTGTATGTTTGTAAATATTTTTAAGTGACGGTTAAGGCTCTTGTAAACAACCACCTCAGGAACTCAAAAGGGTACACACATGGTCTCAACTTTAGAACTTACATGGTCGGGCTACTTCTTACTGACTGACATGATAAATGTCAGAAAAGCCTGTCATAATTATGTGTTGTTGGCATTTGCCACTTTAAAAACAAGAGGGAATTGGAGCCGAAATGCTCCCTGAATAATATTGTTTCTGTGATAGTTACTGGGGTTATGTGAGTGACCTGTTGGCCAGTTTTTCTCCCTGTCCCAAGTAACAGTCCCAAACGTCTTTGTGAAAGTTTACTAAGGCCAGTGTCCTTGTTACCAAAGTGGGAAAAATTGTCCCTCTTAGGCCTGTTTCAAACGTTGTGCTACTGCTGTGCTAAGCTGGCTCGACTGCAGCATGACACTATAGCATGACTTGCTTGGTTTCAGACGTCAAATTTAATTCACACAATGAGAGTCGAATGGAACTGCTGTTGCCAAAAACAAACACAAAAATAAAGAAACGGTTTAGCAAACTTTTAAATATATTCTATAAATCTAATGTATTATTTTATTATTAAATTTATGAATTGAGTTCAGCACAGCGTTAGCACGACGTTTGAAACCAAGTCGAGCTACAGCCGTGTAGCATGCCAAGGCTTGCCGTGCTAAAGGCGAATTTAATTCAATCAATTGAGTTCGGCACGGCAGTAGCATGATGTTTGAATCGGGCCTTATATATTATTGCTTAACACTCACAAAGATCACATCTGCACAAGGGAATCAATGTACCAATGGTACATAATACTCTTAATTCGATCAAGAAGTGAAAATTCAGGTGCTGACTGAGTGAGGTTGGTGCTTTTAAGAACTTAAAAACAAAGGAAAAGACCAGCTGGGTAATTCAAAAAAGCAGTTCCAGTTGCTGAAAGGAGTGATTGCTTATAAGACAGCTCTTCATTACAGAGTTTAAGTGACAGTTCAAAGGGGGGGGGGACAGGGGGGTGACAACCTCCCGCTTCCCGTACCCCGTTCTCCCGCCTCCCGTACCTTTTTGTTCCTTTGTCTCCCGACTCCCGCCCTTTATTGTATTTTTCCCGTCATCATGTAAATTATAAAGATCAGAAGCCCGGGATTAGTGTTAAAGCTGTAGGGTAATTTGCCAAAGATGAAAATTGTTACAAGTCAGTTTTCTTAGTTAAACTAAGTTTTCACTAACCTGGTTATCTAGGTTTGACCACCGCTTCTGACATCCCACTACAGCGACAATAGTCTCAGTCCACTGTGCAGTGTAATAGCTATTGCAGTCATCAAAGATGCATTAACATGCATTTAGGAATCCCAAAATTACGGGGATCATGCCAAAATGAAGTCGAAGGGCCAAACGTTACGGTAGAGTTCAGTACTCCTGTCTAGTTCCCAGCGTCTAATTGTACTAATTGCATATCCACCGCGGTTAGTTTTCGTTATTTTTCGTAAGAAGTCGTAAGCTATAAAAACTGACTTCAACGAGACAATATATGCATGTTCGTTAACCGTTTGCATTTTAAAGCGTTCAGTTTAGTGCTGGTGGAGTATTATTGTTATCTGGTTATCAAATCTCAAACCTATTCATATTTGCTCGAGAAGTTGTATCTTTCATCAAACATCGGCGGGGAGGTTTAACGGTTATACATACATTTTTACATCGGAATGATGCATCTATGTCCGATTTTAACAAGAAGCATTTGAAGAAACGAATGCTCTGCTCTTATTGGCTTATTACAAGTTAAATAACAGGACAGGGAACAGGTTGCAATATGTGTAAAAAGTGCCCGTATTTTGCTACAGTAAACAAACTAGAAAAAGTCTTCCATGCGCCGAGGAGGTCGCACTGATCTCCTCCTACTCCAAATGTTAGTTAGAGCAGTAAAGTCTGCCTCCTCTTCCTCCGAGTCGAGGGAACGTTTCTAAAATTACAGTGCAAAGTGCTAGGAAATGACACCTACCGTGCAGTTCGTAATCTTTTGTTATTACTTTTTCTTTGTTATCTATGAAGTCCAACCGGACAGCGTCCCACGCTGTTTGACTTCCTATTCTAATAGGCAGTGCTTTGGCCTTATCCAAAACACAAAATTGCGTTGTATATCTAACCACTCCGCACTCTCCAGCGCGATCAGTGAATTTGCATTCCCTGGACACAAGTTTGCACCATGCCGTAAAATCTTTAGTGTTTTGCAAACTACAATAGTACGGAGCGAGTTCCCAGGAAGGTCTTCCATGTACAGATTTTTCCACACCACACCGAAAAATACTTAGACCGATTAAAATGGTCTTTGACGACATTTTATGCACCTATCAATGTAATGCCGGCGGGGGGGGGAGGCAGGGCATAGGGTGGGGATTTGACTTTTTTCAAAAATTTGCAATCAAATTCCCTGCCCACGGGCAAATCATTCCAGTCAAATGCAACCAAATTTCCCCACCCCAGGCTGCACATTGCTGTCAGTCCCAAGGCAGAACCTAAGAAAGGCACAATAAAAATATCTCCAAATAAAACTCTGCAATCTTTTATAAACGTTGCTGCATCACCAAAGATACATGTTCCTGTTACAGCTGCAATTATACGTTTTAACCATAATCCGTGTCACACTGGGTAGAATACATAAACCTTTAGGAGAAAGTCCACATTTTGTAAGTCTAGATATACCGTTCTTAGTAAAGGGTACAAACAAAGTCAGTTTTATCAGTGATTGTAGCGAACGAGCCATACACTAATCAACTGTACTTGCAAAAATCCGCTCGGTTTCTCTTTACTTCCGTTTACTTTGATACCACATTATATTAACAGGTTCAATTGATCAAAAACACCCTAAAACTAACGAAATTTGAAGACCAAACAGTGAAGTCCACTCAGCCTTCGCTTGCTCTCATTAGCCTCCATGACTTCCTGATCTTTTCAAACCGTATGGCGCGTGCGTGAAGCGTAGAAGCGGGAAACACATGTTCGGTCTCAGTCTTTTTCGTGCGAGTCGGCAGTCAAATATCTCCACGTCGGGCGAAGAAAGATTCAAATATCCCCTCCCCTGGGAGAACAAGATCAGTCAAATGCCCTACCCCAGGGACAACAAAGACAATCAAATCCCCACCCTATGCCCTGCCCCCCCTCGGCCTTACATTGATAGGTGCATTACCTGCGAGACAGGTCAAACAGACGAGACACTGACACGACTTACACAGTCGACACACGTGTACATGTGTCACGCCACCTCATTCATGAGGACTCGTGACCTATGATGTAACCGACTTGGAAAGGTTTCCAATTTCACCAGAAGTAATGCTCTTTTTTCAATCCCGAGTGCGAATTTATGTTTTTTGACTTTTCTCACATTAAAATTTTGATTTAGGGCCTCGGAGAACGTTAAATGGAAGTCAAGAAACGTTGTTGAGTTCGTTTCTTTGACTGGATGATGAGCAGTAACAGTTAACGAAAGCTTGCCTTTTGGAATTTCTCTCCCGCTTCCCGCCATCATAGAGATCCCGCTTCCCGCCCTTTCTTCTCCCGTCTCCCGTACCCCTCCCGCCCCCTGTTCTCCCGGGCTCCCGCCCCCCTGTCCCCCTCCACTTCAAACGTGGGTTCAACACTGGTCACAACTGACTGAAGCTGGTTGTTTATATGAAAGCAGTCGTAAGGAGATATAGCAAAATTTAACTGTGCAGTGTCATCAGTGCTTTGGATCCATAAGATATAATATACTTACATGCCACAAGGCTAAAAAAAAGAACTTCAAATCCAGCTTGTTCTTTGGAAAAGCAACTCTCAGCCCATTTTTCTGTAATGCGGTAGGGAGTTGTTTTGTTGACTTTTTAAGACAAAATAACTCGACTCTACAGTTCTCACAACAGTACTATAGTGGAAACATTCAGATTATGGGTTTTTGCACATATCTAATGTAGAAAAGTTGTAGCGTGTCTGTAAGTTGGATTTCATCCACAGATTTCAAAGTTTAAGTGAAAAATAATCTCACTAAAACTTGGTTTAGGAATGAGTGGTTTGAGATACTTGAAATAAGAAATATCTGTTGTATTTGCTTACAGTTCCATCACAGAGATCCAGGGATTGTAGGACTTCTTACAAGTTATGACATTCCTAAACCAATGTTTTACGGATTAATTGCTGATGGTATTCACACACACCCAACAGCTACCAGAATTGCTCACAGGTCACATCCTACGGGTAGGTGGAGTACGTACTAATAGATAGTTGTTTTTGTTTTGTTTTCTTTCTGTCACAATTGCTAAAATCAGCACCCTGCTTCAAATACATGAAATAAATAAATTTAGCAAGTGAGAGGTGGCATGTCTGCATGGCTCTCCCACCATTTCTTGTGAAATTGGAATTTGGAAATGTTGGTTTATCAGGAATGCAGGAAAACCAGTGGACCTTGAGAAAAACCTCTCAAACCCACATATGGCATTGACCCTACCTGATTTGAACCTGGGCCACGCTGTTGGGAGGCAAGTGTTCTCACCACTGCACCATCCCTTCCTTTCAAGTGTCCCGCATCAAACTCTTGCTTGCCTTTGTTCCCCTGAAATAATACTAATGCAGGCTATTCCAGAGAAGAACCAAGTACCTCCAACCAACACCCACCCCCCGTCACTGATAATGTTTTTTTTCATCGGGCAGTGTGCAATATGTTGTAGGTTTAAGGACTAAATTACATGTAAATCCAGATTACAATTTCTCAGTCGTGGTAGATTCTTAATTTCCCTTTGTATCCTAGCCCTACTTTCTTCAATTAGGGATGGGAGAAAAAAAAAGAGAGTCAACCGAGAGAATGACCGATTGGAGGAAATCAACTGGTCAGATGTTCAAGATGTGGTTTTATCCTTTGATAATTAAGTGCTCTGAGTATAGCGACAGAACTTAATTGGTTTCAATCTGAAACTGAAAGCCAAAAGGAGAATGCACTTTATTTGAGTTCCTGAATAGTATTGAAAGATACAATCTCAGTTGTCCTGTTTAATTTCTCAGTTTTTGCATATTATTTTGTGTTATGTCATCTTTAGGCCAAGACTCCGAGGATTGAGCAAATTAAGTACCCCCTTGAAATCAGTGTCCCCTCCTCTCTGTTTAGCTCACCTTCCGCAAATAAAAACAAAGTGGATATTAAGGAAAAGTTTGAAAATGTATAATAACATGTCATAAAAATGTTGGAGATGCTCTTGAAGAATAGGTATCAATTGAGTGTTAGCTAGTAATTATTGCGTGCATTCCTGTCGTACGAACATCAAGAAATTCACAATTCTTTACCAAGGACCTGGAATCTGGAACTGTCTTCCTGCATCTGTTACAAACTTGTCAAGCTTTTCTGTCTTTAAGAACAAAGTGCTAGAGTTTTTATTAAAATAGTTACCAAATTAGTTTAGCCGCACTTCTTCGCAGCCCTTATTTTCTTATAATATTGTGATGTCGAGGTGGCCTCTCTTTATAAGCCTGGTGGTTTCTTGAGCTCTCCTCACCTATAACAACCTGCTGTATGCTGTAAAATTTGCTGTAAAAAAAAAGGCTATTAAAAAAAATGATGATGATGATGATAGCCTTTGCTCAAAGACTTAAGACTCTCTCTACCCCTCTCTGAACTGCAGGTCTTGTGCTGATTACAGATGCCATTGCAGCCCTTGGTCTCCCCCCAGGTTTACATAAACTTGGCCCAATGCAGGTGGAAATTGACCATGAAAAGGCCACACTACAAGGAACAAATACTCTGGCTGGAAGGTTACTATCTTTGATAAATATAGGAATCAGCATAAAATTAAGGATGACAATAAATTCTGTTTGGAAACTTAATAGAAATCTTTACCTAAGTCTCTGTATATACTCAAAAGCTCTTGAATGCTAACCTAAACTACTAACAGAAAATAATTATACACAATTATATCTGCCCTACATTCTAATCATGATGCAATCTTGAAACATGTCTTTTCTTTGATCCTGTTTATCAGAAATTTGCTATTATTATGAGTAATAGTAGTTATTAATATATTTTTACTATATATCATTGTGATTTTTGCAGTATTGCCTCCATGGATGTCTGCATTCAGAGATTTAAGAAAATGTCAGGTTAGTTTTAACAACTCCCAGCTTATTTGCCCTACATTAAGAGGTGTTGTTTTCATGTACCGGTAGCTTGACCCAGTTTCTATCTTTGCAAATACTTTAATATGCAGCCTTTTGACATTTTAATAATAATAGCATTTATTTAAATTTATACACGACTAAAAACAGCAGAGCTGATGGGGTCATGTTAAAAGCCTAAAAGTATATATTAACTTAATAAGCTGACTTTTCAGTGTCAAAATCAGTATGTGGATGTTTGTCACATGAATGACATTAATTATTGCATTGTAGGGTTGCTTACGTAAGAAGGGAAAATGAAGTACTGTATTTCCTCGAATAATAGCCGGGGGCGATTATTTCTTTTTTCCGCACAAAATGGGGTGATTATTTGCGGGAAGGCAATTATTCGAGGGAGGAGATTATTTAAAAAGTTGCTCAATGGAAGTCATGCCCTAAATATTTTGTTTAATTCTCCCATTAAATCAAAATATGATCACATCAAATAAACTGAACATGGGCTTTTTAAGTGTTCCAAGTTTTGTTCGTTGATTAATTTTCAGAGCTTGAATTGTCACTGATCAGTTTTGCGGAATGAAATTGCACTTTAACTTGACAGGGAGGGGATAAAATGAAGAGAAGATGGCCAGAGGGGAGGGGGGGGTTATTCGAGGGACTCAATTTTTATATATTTCCTTCAAACGGGGGCAATTATTCGAGGGAGACGATTAATCAAGGGACGGCTATTATTTGAGGAAATACTGTAAATCTAATCCTGTGTTCTTATTGGTGACCTGAACAGGCAAGATGGGTCTGTCTTAACTTGCCCACTCAGGATTTCCTGCATTGCTCCCACAAGAAAAATGTAAAATCCCTTCCCATAATAAATCCTTTATTGACTTAGCTTGAGGACAAGATAACTGGATATATATTTGCCTAATTTTTTTTTTCAATAGTTCATCTCAAGCTTAACTTTGTTAATGTCAATAAAAACACACAAAAGAACTATGAACAATGTTGTGCCATTTTGACCTCAGAAGTGGTCAATAGTAATGCATATTTTTGCTCCAAAGGGTGTCTAGCCTGCGAGCAAGCTCTCCTATTTGGGTGAGTGAAGTGAGCTGCATGAGAACATGTGTACTTTACACAATATCCTTCAAGTGGAGAGCTTGCTTGCAGCAGGTTAAGGGGTGTCCAGAAGCTCAGTGTCAACTCCTTTTAAGAGAACTCAAGTTTTTTCCTAGTCGCATAACATTGACTGAAAAAAAATACAATCAAGTAACACCATTCCGTGTACTGTTTCTTTTTCATTTTAGGGTGCACCATAGTAGAAGCACTTGAAGGAGCCACACTACACCCTGCACAGTTGTTACAAATTGAACACAGAAAAGGGATCTTAAATTACAATTCTGATGCAGATTTAGTGTTTGTAGATGATGACCTCAATGTTCACGCAACTTTTATAGCTGGTGAACCAGTGTGGTTGAAAAAAGGGGGTCTAGTTACTGGAGATGTGCAGCTCAAATATAACTTGCTCTCTAAGAAAGTTAGAAAACAGAATTGAAAATTCAAAAGCAGGTTGGGCTGCAAGTGTTGTTGATTACTCTGAACATAGGATCAGAAGTCACTTTAAATTTCATTTCTCTCTTCAAATGATTATATTCATAACTAGAGAGAGAAGAAGTGTGTTGTTGTGTTGCCATGGTAACAACATTTCTGGATCTCAGCAATCTTAAGTAGGTAGCTTTAGATACCACGGCAAGGAAAATGTCACTTGAAAAGCGACTTTGCATTGTTTGAAGCTTTGTCTTGTGTAGGCGTCATCATATGTGCATGTGATTGATAAACCATGAGTTAGGGTATTCATGTTGTAGTCATATAGTGTGTGCAAAGAAATGAACAGAAAAGAGTGCTGCAAATGCAAAGTTGTTTTTTTGCTTATCTTAGCCTACTGCTTTTTTTGAGGTTCTCGTTGTTGTCATCACAGTGAAATCTTAAATTCCTGTTAGAATATTCAAACAACTTTAGAATATTTTATTGGAGTGGTTTTCTTCCTGATTAATCAATTTTGGGGAAGAAAGATGTAATCACTCTGATCGACATAGCCACCATACTTGCAAGACTACAGTTTGTAGAGATCCAGAAATTTTGCTACCATGGCAACACAACCTTATGGCTTCTCCTCTATATTAATCATTATTTTTAGTCTTTCACTGTGATGTCTTGTCACACTAATCTTTACACTTTTGAGTTAATCACAATTCTTTATTACAATATTTATTTGATTTTAAAAGAGAGTAGTTAAAAGAAGTTTAAATGTATTTTTGCAATCAAACCATATTTGAAATAAGGTTAATGTTTTTCACTGCTGTCATAACCAACTGTTAAACACTTAAATAAAAAAAAAAGTTAATTGAAAAACTAGCATTTCTTGTTTCTTATTAAATTCCCTCAAAGTTTAGGATGTGTTAGGTACAGAACTGATTTTAATAAGTTATTGTAGGTATATATTAATAATTTATTTGTCTGACAATTATTAGGTTATACAATTGTACATTGTATGTACTTGATAAGTACATGACTTTTTATTATTAATAGAAATAAACAATTGAGTCTATATGTATTAGTTATATACATTAATGTTACCACGCATTGAACGACGAATTTCAAAATGACACTTTATTTCTAATATACAGTTGTGTTACATCATGGAACCGTTACCACACACTACCAAAACATGACAGCAAAGTTTGTATGCTGTGGATGGGTATCAATTCTGTGGTCAATACTGTCATGTGGATTACCACTGTCAAAGAAAAAGAATGAACAAGGGAGAGAGAGATAATTTTTCTTTTACATTGTCACGTGTAGCCTTTATAAAGAGCTGATGTTACTCATCTAGTTATACCATTTCTGACTTTGAGCATTGTTTTAAGCTTTGTTATTTTCATCTTTTCCTCTAGCAGATGTGTTCCACATTAACCATGCTCTTACAGGACTATCATTTTGGCACCTAATAACTCCTCTACACTCACAATCTACTGCTTCGGTAATGTTGCCTGAAATACATGTAGTCTAACCAAGGTTGCTAAAAAAGTGACACGAGGGGCAAGTTTTAAGTCAATGTGACAATTTTTTTTAATAAAATCCACAGAGAGCTTGAACTTTTTGTTTCATTTTCTGCTTCCCTGTTGTGCTTGTACGTGTTTTGTGAAAACTCTGCAGCAGATTGTCTAACCTCTTAACAATCCACCATAACCCTTTTTTGTACAGTTTTTTGAAACAGGAAAATAGACCTGTTCCACATTCTTGAGCAAAGGCACAGTTCGCACAGGATTGTCAGTTAATGCATGTGGAAAAGGTCTATTTTATTTCTGAGGAGCAACAACATTACCATCACAGAAGTTCAATATGGTTTAACAAAACCCACCAAATAGCAAGATTTATAACAATGAGCACAACTACTCACTATTTCATGGCAAAAATATGTTATCTTTCAAGATCAATAATGTTTACATTGTAGTTTCTATTTAAAACATCATGAATTGAAAATGACCCCGCAACTTGTGGGTTTTAAACAAATAATTCTCAGAATAAAGTTCCAGTTTGTTGCCTGCAAAGGTTTATTTTCAAAGTATCTTTCTTCAAGAGCACTTTAATCCTTGGAAGTTACTACCACCAAGCCCAAGATTCTTCTTTTGCCTTTACTAAGTATTTCTCCACCTGTGAAACAAGAATACATGGCAATCACAATTATGTAGTTTTTTGGGAAAACTATCCATAGCTGCAAAAATCAGTAAGTAAATATGAAATCAAACCATAGTAGAAATGAAAAGTAAAAAAGCATAATTTATAGAAATGTTTTGGTCAGCCTGTTTAGTAACATAAACATAACCTGTTTGGAGGAAGACTTTCTCCCTCAACAATATTTATTTGTCTGAATAAGAGAGTGAACAAAGGTAAATGTTCAAGCCTTGGAACAAGAAGTGCATGACGCAAAAATTTTTTTTCCAAGGTTTGGAGGGTGGGTGACAAGTGCAAAGCAAGGGGTTAAAAATCACTTGGGTGCATCAAGTTTGCGTTGGTTGTGATTTTAAAAACTTTTTTCTATCGTCCATATGATTGGGTCATAGGGTGGAGATAGTTGTTTGCCTTATCTTCTTATTCCTTTAAAGAAGGGATACATAGAAAATACATGTACCCCACATGTAGCTCCCCCAGTTACCTTTTGTGGTCTGGGTGAGGAAAAGGAAGGTTGCTGTCAATACTGAAGGGGGTACTGGGGGCTGAATGTAAAGTAAACTATCTCTGTATTTTTCATTTTTTTATTCTATTTTTTATTTATTACTTTTTAAAACTCTCTCTATATGGACACTTCCATCCAGTTGGTCCCTGCATTTCTTCACTCCTTTTAGTTGACTCTCAATAAGATGGAGATTTAGATGTGTCAGTCCCAAAGGTGTCCTTCTCAGATAGAGTTGACAGTTGTCCCATCATAATACTGTTATATAGAAACAAACCTTTTCTCTCATCTCTGGATCAGGTTCAACCTGCATCTCCTCCATCAAACTCCAAAACATTTTTACAGCTTCTCTGTCATTATACTTGATAAGCAGATCAAAAATCTCCCCAAATATATCCAAATCAAACTTGGCATCTGGAGTGTCAAAGTACCGGTCCATTAGCTGCAACAAGACAAAAAATGTACATGTAATTTCATTATCACACAACCATTAATAATTTTTGGTTAGATGGGTATGGTAATGGATAAGATAAAAGCACTTTACAAGCAAAGCTACATTTTGAACATTAAATGGGCAATGAAAACATGCAATTGATATTTTGTTTTGAAACATTGCTGCAAAATGAGTTGAAAAGAATGTTCCGAGTTTTACCACCCACGAATCACACCCTTCTTGCAATAAATCAGGTTGTTACAAGTTGTGTGAATACTGACTTCTGATTGGAAAAAATTAAGCAGGAGTCATGCCCTACTCGGGAGTTATGTCACTAGTTGCAAAACAAGTTTGCCTTGGGCTGGTATAATGCCTAACATCACTGCTCAACTCATTTTGCAGCAATATTAGAAAACAAGTTGCTTGTTTTTGTTACCCGTTTTCCTGTGCCTTATACCAGGACCTTATGGTAAAACCTGCTGGTTGCCACCCTATCATTTTAGGACATTTTTTTCTTACCACCTGAGTTTGTGAAAAAGGCAAGAAATGATACCACCTCATTTTCTGTCAAAAAAATGACTTTACCTTTTCCACCATTCTCTCTCGCTCATTGTATTCTTCTTCTGTCATCATCTAAAAGAAACCAATGTTTACCAAACATTCTATTATTGATGCTTAAAGTGTGTCATTGAATGGTTCTTCTTTGCTTTAGCAATAATAATCAGATGGCTACGTCCACCCATTGTGACCGTGTTTTGTCAAGTTCAAGTTTTACCAAGGCCAAATAGTTCGTGGTTGAGCACTCATGTCGGCAAGATGGACAGAAAATTTATTTTTAATAAAAGCTGTTGATCTGTTTCTACACTGCTATATTTTTTTTCAGAGATTCAAGTGGCCAACCTAAGTACATGTAGTCAAGAATTCTCCTAAATGCAGTGTCTGTTATAAAAAAATAAGGAAGAACGTTATGAAAAAAATTTTTTCGCACAAGTAATCAGGATTATAAGAAGATTTCGTTCAGCGAAAAAAAAAAAATGAGGGGGGGAGGGGGGTGGTGGTGGCACTTTGAATAAAATTGAAACCTTAAAATTTACCAAATGATATCGAACAAACTGAGTACGTTGTCTGAGACGTAGAGATCAGAGTTAATAAATTTGGTAACTGTAACATCAGAATTACGTTTATGAGCTGTCTGAATACCTGGTTCACGCTAGTGACACAATCTCATCAGAAGGTCATCACATTATGTAAGAAGTGTGAACAAGCTCACGTAAAAACCGAATACTTACTCGAGCTTCAATTTCATGTATGTCGTTTAGCCACCTCCACAACCAGCTACGTTTCTTGGCCTTTTCCAGCCAGCTTTCTTCCTTTTCTTCCTCTATTTCCCCATAGGTTGTCTCCCCTGCTCCAGATGCCGTTGTCTGCCATCTTCGACAAGTTTGGCATGACACGACGGTCGGCCAACATCTCACTCCAACACATGGCGAATAAACTAAAAAACGAAGTGAAAATAAAAATAAGAACAGAGAAGAACAAGAGAAATCACTTAATTAGGATTTAAAGTTTTCCACCAACCAAAAGTAGAGGATTTTCCTATCTGTCTTGAGGCAGAAAAGAATAATGATCTACAACAGTTTATGGCCCCTCTTGCCGCGACCGTCGCCATCTTTTTGGGCAATATCGTAACACCATGAGCATTCTGGGAATAAGGCTTGGTTACCCAATATTTGTTGCGCTTACATGAAGTACTCGTTCATCATCGTCCGGAAAGAAAGTCGACTAAAAAACATGGAGTTTCCCCAGCTAGGGACGAATTGCGCTCTTACAACATGTAAACAGTTAGGTGAGTTTGTCTGATTTCGCTTGCTTATTGTTTCGTTTTGTAAACTGCGAGTTTCACAGGCTAGCGGTGGTAGGTTTATGTGCATGTAGATCAGATCGAGTGTAATAAAAATTCTGATCATGAATGATGACTTGGCAAAAGTCTAGGAGAAGATCATTTTGACGGTAAAGATAAGCTTACAGGGTTTGTCAGATGTGTAAAATTCTGGCTTGGTTTATCGTTTCTAGATTTTCTTCCACTGAAGTGTGATGCCTGTTCCAAGTTATTTTGGTGAGTTCATGTGAATTTTACGACTTAGGTTACAAAAATACTATCAAGGAAGTCACAGTTGGGCCGAATTATTAAGTTAACTAATTAATAAGCTTAATTAAACTTCATCATCATCATCATCATCATCAATCTTTATTTATACACAATATCGTATCATTTTACGTGGTCTTCCTAGGAATCGTGTTTAAAACGAGACTAAAATACTCTAAGGAACTATTGACTATAATGTTAAAAATACAAAAACTTACAATTATGAATAATAAGAGTTACAGTGGGTCATGGTGTATTAGAAAAATCTTTCCCATGAATTGAAGTTTTAAAAACATTTAAACTAGGTAGTTTTCTAGTCTCTGAGGGAATCTTGTTCCACAGAACAGATCCTCTGTAGTGTAGGCTCCCTTTTGCAGACTCAGTTCTGGGTCTGGGGACATAATAATTTAACTCAGAATTTCTAAGATTGTATGAATGTACATTTGAGGTGTTGGTAATAACTTAATTATTATAATGCTTAATATCGTGTATGGTCACGCCAAATAAAAGTTAAAGTAAAATAATCTGGGCAAGGTTGAGCAAGATATACAGCCCTAGGTTATAGCTCTTTTAATTCAAGAAAATTATTTCTTTAAAATTCCCATTATTTAAGCAAGGAAAGGCTTTATAAACACTCACTGGCCTTAAACCACTCTGTCATAAACCAGAAAATGAGACATTTATGCATCAAAAACTTCTCACAGGTTATTCCAGTTCATAAGATGTAAGGTACCGGTATTAGTATATAATGTTGTGCACTTTATCTTTAAGCTCGAGGGGCATACGCATGGTAGAGAAGTAACACCAAATTCTTTTCCAATGGGAACTTTAACCTTTTCTCTAAAAGATTATGTCTAACAAAAATTTAAAAGAAGCGACAAATCTTACCAAAAGATGTTAAAGAATGATCGACTTTCATGATGCAATGTCATACGAAGTTAAATAATGTCGTACACCAAGGTAAAAAAATCGTTGCGTGTTTTGTACGGAGTGTTGAGACCTCTCCTGTTTGCCAAACAAATATTAATCCATCTTCGTTAACGTGAAATGAAAAAATCTGTGTGGTGAATAAAAACAAGGAAATTAAAAGCCCAAATGCATCTTTGGTCGAGTGCACGTGATTTCATGTGCAAAGTCTAAGTTGTTTACAAAGCTTTGTATGGTGAAGTGGTCACTGTATATTCCGAAAAAAATCTTTGGTATGTGAGCAGATAGTAGCCAAATGAGGCCAATCCTGACTGCTGGGATACCAAGATGGAGTTGAAATTTACGAAGGATGGACTCTCAAAGTGATCAAAGTTTATTTTCCTTTTTGTTGAGAATTATTTTTTCTCATGCACTGAAACTTGCTGCGTTGTGTGAAGTGCCATTTTCAGTGTCAACAGGAACAAAGGTTTTGTTTTTATTATTCTATTACCAGAACTAAATGGACTTGTTAGATAGAAGGTTTGTAAATTATACATAATGTACAATTTGTTGATAGCCAAAAAATTCACTGTCTACCTTTATGCAGGAATAAATGACAACTTTTTTTCAGCTCTATGACATTATATATATGCCAATACCTTACTTTCCCTGAAACAGATGTGAACATCGGTAGTGTAGGAGCTGCTCAGAAGGTCTTTCCTGATTCATTCTTCTAAGCAATGGTAATTCATTGTTTACCATTGTTTTCCAGTTTGGGTAGCAAACCAATTGGACTTCAGGCTATTCTTCAGTTTTTTTTGTTAACTCCATAAGATGGAGATCACCATCTCTAAGATGAGTACTTTGCATGGGTCCCCAAGTCGTTTATAATAATATTTTTTCCCATAAATGGTAAAAACCATACTACCTTAGACCTTATTTTACTTCACTATAATAGGTAGCAAGTTATGAATGGGCTCGTTCTTTTTGCAGCAAGGAGCATATCAAATACACAGAGCACAGCTGTGAAAATTCTTACAAGAAGGTACTTATGTATTATATGTAATGTCTTACAGTAAATTTTACATATAAAATTGGGTAACTGAGTTTGATTCTCAATTATCTTTTTAGTCTCCTGACCCATAACATAATATATTTTGCAATACAAAGTTGAAAGTAGGAAGTTGTTACTAAAATTATCTTTCTTAGCCATTTAGCATTGCATCGTAATTCGTGGTGTCAGCATGGCCAGGTGGTCAGTGTGTCAAACTCACAATCCAGCAGTCCCAGGTTTGAGTACCACTCTGGCCACATGCTGGATTTGTTCTCAGTTGTCTCGAGTTCAAATCCTCAGCCACACTTTTAATAGCCAACTGGTTGCCTCCTTCCATTTTGGTTTTCTAATCTTGTTATGTTATACTTGAATCATTTGTTTCTAATGAATATTTAAATGGTCTGGAATGCCTGTAAACTAGCTGGACAAGCTACTGTAAGCTCACTTTAATATATAAACAAACCTTTAACCCTTCTAACTTTTTTTATATGTACACATAGAACATCCCTAGGATAAGTGAAGCAGTCATTATTTTATGCACTTTTTTGTAGATGAAATGTTTAATATTTTAATAATAAGTTTTAAACTTTGAAAATTTTTTTTCCTATTGTAGAGTTATTATTGGAAATTGTTTTTTCTTTTTAGTATTATTGTCTGTTTGCCCAATCAAAAGAACAATCTTTTTGGTACAAATTTTTCAATGTGCAGTTGAGTCATTCTCTTTGAAGTTTTAGAGAACAAAGGCTGGATTTCAAGCATAATGTAATAATTTTTAACTTTATTTATCAAGGATCATCAAGTACCTGTCTGTCCACTCTGTAACAAGCCAGTCCCAGTACCTCGAGGACAACAACCAGACATAAAGGTTACTTTTTATCCCATTTTCATTAAAGAAAAAAATGTTGTTAAATAATTCTTACTCTTTTTCTATCCCATTTTCTATGTGAAAAATTAAATACTTGTATGTAACAAAAATTTTTCACTGTTATACGTGTACATGTATGTACTTTAGGTGATACATAGAAATGATGTAGAATTGTTCACTAATTCCAAACGCAAGTTAGTTAGTAATGAACATTAATTTTTAGTTTATTAGCTAGTACAAAAATTGAAAGTTCAGGGTTTTTTTAATGTATACATGTAATTCTGGTGCCTTCTCCCAACATCCTCCTCAATCGATCTGCATCTTCATGTGAAACTCAGCCTCATCCAGTTTTATAATAATTTGTTAAAGATATTATAATATCTGTTTTTAAGGTTGGAGAACACATTGACAGAGATTGCCAATCAGATCCAGCTGTTGCTAAAAGAAAGGTAGTATTGATGTAAATGATACCAGTATACTATCTACAAATTTGTGTACTGTCATTATATATGAGATTTAGTGACTTGACTTTGACGACCAGCACTATCGGCCAATCTGTTGGCCAACATGTCGGCCAAGAGATTGACCGGAAGTCAGCAGATATATAATATGGCAACCGATGTGGCAACCAAGAGTTGGCTAACTTATTGGCCGACATGTCAATCAAGTATCGGCCGATAGTGTTGACTGATACTTGACCGAGGGGTGCACAAATTACACAAGAATCAATTTAAATACAACAAGAACGTACTGTACCAAACTGTATATAAATTCAGTAATCAGTTTTGTTAGGATTATAATATTAATACAATTGTGAATAAATGAAAAGTTTATTTATTTTTCTGGTAATCAACCATTTATTATTTCCGTCATAAAAAGTAAGAGACTATTTAAGTACCCCCCCAAAATACAAGAACCTGTTCTGCCTAGTGTACTTCGCAGCCACTTTTTAGGCTTGTTATGCAACACTCTTCTCCCTCTGGGGAGGAGCGTTGCGTGACGAGCCTAAAAATGGCTGCAAAGGAGACTATATTTTGCAGACTTAAAAAAAGATAACGTACTGTATCGTTGTTGCAAAGTGAAATAGCTGTTAATACTTTATAATGTTTTGAAATTCTCACTTTCAAAATAAATAATACAGTTGAATTCTTGTTTAATCAATGAAAGAGGTTTTATGTGCTTTCTTGAAGTATCATGGATACTCTTGTCTTTTTTTATTTGTCTTGTAGGCATACCTCAATAGATGCTCTCTCAAAGGATGCAAACAAAAAGAGGTAAGTCAAGACTTTGAGAAATGGTTGTACTTATGATGGCTCTATCACTTTTGGAGTGAACTGTGGTGAAATGTGTATATTAAGTAGACCTAATAAAATGTAACTTATGAGTCCGGAAGAAATCCTAAAGTGTGACCATTCAAGTGAAGATTACTGAGAAGCTACTTTGCTGTGATACTGTTTATGCTGCATACAACTACAAGTGTCAGTGGTTTTAACTTTTTAGTGTGTGGATGAAATCTGTAAGTGTGACCACTGTAACCTATTAAGCAGTACAGACAACGTACATGTAGTTTCCTGTGGTGCTGGTTGTTACAGTTGTAACCCTGAGTCTGTGGATGAAACTGTATGATGTGGTCATTTTTTTATTATTCTAAAGTACTTTTTATGATCTAAAAGGCGGGCCCTAAATTTAACACATTATTAATTTTTATCCTTATACAGCTTATACCTGTTAGATGTGACTCTTGTAGGCAAAACTTCTGCTTAAAACATAGACATGAACAAGATCACAACTGTTCTGCAGTTGTAAGAAGATCAGGAACTGGAGGGTAAGTGATCATTAGTAATTAATTTCATTAACCATTATTTTGATGACCATACTGCAGGTCATTTTCAATCCATATGGTTTCGTGCATATTTTCCGTCCTGGACCTGTTTGGCTTTCCTTTTAGAGGATAGATCTTTTCACAGGTACCTCATTTCGCAAATTTTGATCAATCGTGGCAGAGTTTTGCCATGGCAGGATTACATCAGTTGGTAAAGCGCTTGACTGCAGAGCGGGAGGACACAGATTTGATTCCCAGGGCTGGACCAAGACTCAGGTCTTAAAATAACTGAGAAATGAAGGAACTTCCTTTGTCCTGCAAGTGGCTAGGCCTTCATGTGGTTCGGATGACCACATAAAATGGTTATTCCTGTCTCCAGTTGGAGACATAAAGATGCTGTCCACAGTTTGTACTAAATTCATGCTAAATGAATATTATTGACACTCCACATCTGGGCTAGTAAATGCTAGCTTCAGCTTGCCCGAATGGCAAGCTGTAAAAATGATTTTCTTTACACCCTGGACATTGTTTGCATAAAAAGGGGGTTTGCTTTGTGTGACAGAATGTTGGTAGTACTTATTAGCTACTTTTGAATCAAAGTGGAGGGCTTACACTGACAGCTTCTTTGCATTAATACACGTACATTGTATTTTAGGAAAACAAGTGCATCAGTAAAAGCAGGGTAAGTTACAACTACAGTGTAACCTGGTAATATGGTCACCAATTAGCCAAAAAAATGGGCAGTATTCTATGGGTGACCATATTAACATGGGTTTTTTTTTTACAAGAAAATGTATGGCAGTTTTGCCAGGCAGCCAAAAAAAGAGGACATAATAGCGAGGTGACCATATTACCAAGTGGGCCATACCCAAAGCAAAACTGCAATGTATACTGTACATGTGGTTTTACTCTAAAAACTTGTTTTCTTTTTGCTGTTCCTTGTTGTCTATACACAGTGTGTGTAGTTCATGTGAAAGGAGTTTTAATGGTTAAGGTGCTAAACTTATTTATTTACCATTAATTATTTTGATTTGATGTTGGTTCCTTTAAAGAGAAGCAGCAACCACAAGAGCCGTGAAGAGTTCATCGTCAAAAGTTAATCAAACCAAACCACAACAGACCGCATTGTCATCAATTGGTAGAGATTTAGACCGGTCAAGAAGAGAGCGACAGCAACAGACAAGAGCTCCTCAGTCTATCGGCATCCCACGACCAGCACTGGTAAAGCCGTTATAATAAAATCTATTTTCCACTAAAAAGTGGGAAATTTTATATTAAGTAGTAATTGTGTGATTGTAGATAGTTTCGGAGTTTTTAATTAATTTGTTTGAATAATAGTTTTTAATATATTAATTGTAAATATTGTAAAGTGCTGTTGAAACAGCACTATATAAGCTTGTATTATTAGTATTATTATTATTATTGTAAATGTTCAGTTCATAAGACAGTATTTCTTCTCCAACCTGAGAGTTCCTTTGTCTTTATTGTCACTTGAAGGATAGGACCTTCTGTAGAATATGTGCTGTTACCAGTAATGTTGTCTTTTGCATTTCCCAGAGGTTGATGTTTCCTGGAATTTCTCTGACAAGCTTGTTATTATTATTATTATTATTATTATTATTAAATATTGATGTTGCTTGTTTCACCACCCACGAATTTAACCTGTCTTACAACAAATCAGGGTGTTGCAGGCTACTCATTTTGTTGCAGAAAGCAGAGAACACATAGGTGTACATTTGACAACAAAATCTGTACATTTTGCACGTTTTGTTGGCTCAAAGCAAACTTGCTTCGAAGCAAGTGATGTAACTCCTATGTTTGACTTTTCAGCTCGCTTTGCAACAAGCTTTGCGACATGTAAACAAGTTTACATGTTTTTGTTGCCTGTTTTTTTCATAGCTATGAAAGGTTTGAACCCAGGAGTCATTTCAAAAGGTTGAGTTTGATTGTCCGGGTGAACGTAGTCATGAATAGGACTGTTGTTGTTTACAGTGACTGACGTTTCGACAACCTGTTTTTTCGTTTTTTTCATAGTTTAACATACGGTAGCTCCAACATCCAGTGTATAACTTTAAGTCAGTCAAGCCACACCCAACCCTAATGATTTGCTCTGATAAAGGGCTAGCGCTTGAAAGGTCAGCTTCTCAATTCCCTTACGGTGACCAATCTACTTTACAAACTCAGTTGATAGAACAAAATTTTTTGTTTTCCTAGTTGTACATAACGCACTTCTCAAATTGTGAATAGAAAAGGGTTTACTGTACCTATATTTGATGTTTGTTCCTTGCAGAGTGAAGATGAGGCTCTTGCCTTAGCGATTCAAGCGTCTCTCCAGGATCAAACCAAGACACAGTCCACCAGCTCACCACAGACAACCCAGGAAGAGGAGGACCGGGCACTAGCACAAGCCCTAGCTGAATCAGAGAGAGAGGAACAAAATAGAAGACGACAGCAACAGGTGCCGAAAACATTGAGAATAATTAACAATTATTCCTCTCGCTCTCTTGGGCTGGCCGAATGGGCTATTGACTCAGAGGCCATGAGGGCAAGAGGAATGATATTGTTTTAGTAAAATCCAACTAATTGGTAAAAATATTGAGACAAAACAACTTTAGCTAGTTAAAGCTAGATTTTAATCCTTTTTTGCCCGCCAAAAAGCCGGCGCTTCTCGCTACTAGTGGGCTATAACATATAGCCTAGTAGTAGCTCAACCAATCAGAATGCACCATTGATGGTTGGATTTTTATGCTAATATGTGATACGGGGAGCAAGGGATGGCGCAGTGGTGAGAGCACTCGCCCCCCACCAATGTGGCCCGGGTTCAAATCCCGGCGGTGATGCCATATGTGTGTTGAGTTTGTTGCAGATTTTATCCTTTGCTCTGAGAGGCTTTTCTCTGGTACTCCGGTTTTTTCGTCTCCTCAAAAATTAAAAAACCAACATTTTCAAATTCCAATTCAACCAAGAATCAGGTAGATGAAGAACCACTATCAGGATGTGCTACCTCCAAATCATTATTTATTCATTTATTTCATTTATTTAAAATATATTAACTATGACTACAGTGGAACCCCGCACTACGATCACCTGTATATAACCTACAGTTTTGTTTGTCCCAACGGAAAGCTCACGCTGTTTCTCTAAAATTAACCCGCTTGATACGGACACCAGTTAAATAATACGGACAACAGGAATTTTTCTGTGTCGCGAATCACAAAGTCTCATATATGTATCGTCCATTCCACGTTAGATTGCATAGAAATTGTACTCAATTAAAAAGATGTCAGATTTCTATGAGTTCATACCATTTCATTACTTATGAAAAGTAGCAAAGTCGCGTGAAATGTTTGAAGTCCATCTTTCTTCAGTGTTTGACCCTTTTAATGTAGCCCCTTAGCAATGTTTTTTGCCTCCTACTACACAAGTTTGACTTCCTTGGCTTTATTCTGCAGTCTTTGACCCTTCTTCAGTCATCTTTGTCTGTTTTAGTCCTAATATCAATAAACCATGTGCCCGTGACGTATTTTCGGAGAGCCTGCTTAATAGGGACAAATGGATAATACAGACACTATGGTATGTCCCATAGGTGCCTATGTTACAGGTCAAAATTATTTTCAGGTTAAGTTTTTTTTTTTTTTTATAATTCTTTATTGAAACAAATTGATATTAATACAGCAAATTAGTTACTTACCCACATAATTATAATGTTACAACTAATATTACTAATACTAATTGGTTAAAAGTTTTTAACCTACGTTGATTCTCAATTTCATCTGTCTGCTATCCACAATTCATGAGAATGTCTATATTAACCGGGTGTCCGTGCAGCGGGGTTCCACTGTAGTAATATTTCACATGGTTAGGATCAGGTGGGTGAACCGCTCTTGAAGAAAAACGTGTCAATGTAGGGTCGTATGGCATTCGTTGTTAAAATATTCGATTTCTTCTGCTTTTGAAAGAAAAAAAGGCAAAAAAATAGCTGATGTTGGGATTCTCCTTCCATTTGCTGCTGTATTTTTCTTTTTATGTGTCTTTTAAGCCCACAGTCATTAGTGTATGGTATAAATGCACTACAGTTCTGCATTTGAGTCTATGGGTAATTCCTGTAGTGTGACAATTTAAGTTATACCCCTTTGCAGTAGGTATGTATATGTGGTGCGTGTACATTTAGCCTGCGTTGCAAGTGTCGAAAGGGGTAGGGGATAGGGAGGAAGGAAAAAAGGGATGGGGATTGGTGCTTTTCTTCCTCCCCCTCCCCCTCCCCCTCCCCTTGTTTCTCCTCCCATGCACGCTATTGTTCATTGAAGGGGGTAAACTATAGGTGATTTTTTCCTTTGCATATATCTAACTGTCGTAACCAATCATCAGTAGGTTGCCTAAAACGATACAATATCACAATTAGTTTCGGCTCCATGAAATCCTATCTGTGATTATTGGTTTGTTACAGAATAAAATTTGAAATGTATCTCGATAACAATTTTTTGAGCACTTTCTAACTTTGAAAAGTGACGGGGGTTAAATAATGACTAATACCTTTGTTTTTTCTTTTGATTTGTTACAGGGACAACAAGAAAAAAAATCCGACTGCTGTGTCACATAACAGGCCTTATTGGCGTAATAGGAGTACTAGGATTTATATTATTTTGTTACGTCATTGATTTTTGGAATATAATGAATTAATACCTTATGTTATTATTTAGCAATACAAATTTTAAATTGCGTAGAATATTATAAAATGGAAAGTTTTTTATAATACACGACGTTCATAATGGTGGACAGCTCGGGAAGAATGGTAGCGAGGCCAGTGATGGCCCAACAAAACAAACATGGCCGCGTCAGCAACGTCGGGCGCGTTGCTTCTCTTTTCTTTTCAAAAAACTTGCAAAACAAGTCCAAAATCAAATCTTTTCAGGTCATTTATCGCCCTTGTCGCGTTTATTGTAGTCAGGATTATAAGAGAAGAGCCATCAACTGAAAGATGTGCTGAATAAAGTCTTAAACATTATCATTACCATCAAGTATTTTGCCTTTGGTTTGCCACGAAGCTCCGATCTCTAGCAACTTTGGTTGGGGTTCTGAAGTTTTTGGGTGGCCTTTTTTCTCCTACCTGCAGTTTTGTTGCTTGTGAAAGCAGCAACTGGGATCACTGCAGGTTTGACTTTCGTTGTGCTGCGAAGACCGACGAACGACACAGTGTCGCAGTAACCTTCTCTCACCTCCCCGACGAAAGAAAATAGGCTAACATAGGCAGAATTTGAAATACTCAGTGTAAGAGGCCCAGCAATTCATGACGAAAATAGATACTCCTATTATTCTAGCAGTCCTGCTTTCACAAAAAAATTGTGCACCTTTTTCCAAATCAGCAGAAATGAGGCAAATAATAAGGGCCTGATGAGGTTAAGTGAAGCTCTAACTTAACTTTAACAGGTTCTGCCTGCCTCGTACCCAGACGTCTCTCTCGCGCGCGCAAAGGAAGGCGGGAAGGAGACAACGGGCTTCGCCTGCCGTCTGTACCCTTCCCATGGTCCCTTGCGGCTTATCTCCAGTCGGTCGCCTCCACTTTGCGAAAAACGAAGCGATTGAGGAGGAGGCTGAGGTTCTGCGGTGATCTGTGCGAGAGTGATATGAATAATACATTCAGTAATTCACTTCGAAGATATCGAACAAAAGAGGCGAGGTTGGTTTTATAGTCGGAAATATATATTTTTTGTCGGCCTTCCTTCCTCAGTGTCTTACATACAAAGACTAGGTTAAGCTAAGACGTTATAATTTGAATTAAAGGATACCGTGCAATATGATGCTATAATAACATGTAAAAACTAAATTAAGGAAAAGTGAAAGTTGAAAGTATAGGAAAACAAAAACCTTTGGAAGTCGTCTTATGACAGAAATTTGAAATGTAAAATAGTATGAAAGTGGAAGAGATAAGGAATGTATTACATTTCATCTTTCTTATACCTACGATATCATTGACGACGACACTAAACGTTTCTTGATAACGACGAACCCCAAACACAAACGCCTTGTTGTTTCCAGTAATAGCCAACCTACTGAAAGTGTTCACAATTTGTAGACCATCACCTGCGTAATACATACTACACAGTTCATTCACGAGAGACACTACACACTTTCTTAACAAACTGGAACATCTTGGACAGCTATCCGAAAATGCGTTTCTTGTCACACCATAAGTCAGTCTCTCTACACTAACATTCCTCATAACAAAGGCATAGATGCCTGTCGTCATATTTCCAATACACCGGACCACAACGTTTTATCCATGAGATCTCAAACACTTTGCGACTTCATACGTGTCGTTCTTACCATGACCAACGTCTCTTTTAATCACAAACATTACTTACAGATAAATGGTACTGCTATAGGGACAAGGATGGCTCCTTCATACGCCAGCCTTTTTCTCTCGCCAAATTTGAGACAGACGCCTTAACACGTGCCCCTTTCCAACCTTACATATGATGGCGTTACATACTTTAGATGACATTTTCATGATATGAGCACAATCAGTGCAGGACCTCAACACATTCACTACTTTTCTCAATGGTGGTCACGCCACCACAAAATTCATATTTTGTGAATTTTTTTTCAGCTTTGATAAAATTCACATTTTGTGACTTATTTTTCGCCCTTTCTCGTTGTCGACCTCTCACTTCAGAACGGCTAAATCCGGCGTCACTGTTCGTACCATGTAAGGTAATTCAAGACAGTCCTGAATTATGGATTGCATCCTGTGGATTCCGGATTCCAGGTACTGGATTCCAGTTTTTGTTAGCCTGCGTAGCATGGCGGTTTTGTCGAGCCAGGCGCACGAGCGGAGAAGCCGCCAGAATAACAAAAACCTCGTGGTTTCTCTGCCCTCGCCCGCCTTTATTACTTAGCGCGCCCAACCAAAACCGCAATGCTACGCAGGCTAAGTCGGTTGTCATTGGAACTTGGATTCTGGATTCCAATCGTTCGTGGTATTCCGGATTCCTTGAGCTGTATTCCAGATTCCAATACTCCTCATCCCGGATTCCACATACAAAAATTCTCCGGAATCCGATTTCCCTTACATGCCAGGGCGACACTGACCTTCAGCCAAACCCACTGACAAACACCAATACTTACCGCATTTGTCAGGTCATCCCATACATACCAAACGGGCTATTCCTTTAAATCTCTACCGCATTTGTTGAACCAATAAGACCGCTTCACACTCCGCACAAAAAAAACTATTTGGCTATCTCTAAAAACGTGTCCGGTCTACAACCGCTGTTTCGACCTTCAACGGGAAATACAACGAGTTAACAACATCACACCTTCCATTTCGTCCATTACATTCGCAAACACTTCCACATGTTAATTTCACTATATTCCCTATAACGTCTTTAACTCCACTCATTGTAGCCTATAGACGTAATAGTAACCTCAGTGATTTTCTAGCCTGAGGGCCAAACTTCGTAATCTCACACAGACAACCAACCTCGGGGCTCATACCTATGTGCAAAAACTATTTTACTTGCAAATACATATCTGACGGACAAACTTCATACACTTAAAGTCTTCTCTACAGGTGAAACCAGACCTATCACCCATCACATCAGCTGCAACTCTAAAAACGTCATTTACATGGTACAGTGATACTGCATCGAGAAGACTAAACGACGACTAAAGATCGTTTCAAGGAACACCGCAGGCCAGTTGACAACCCATCTAAAATCTCCAACCCACCAGAGTCTCATAACAACATATTCTTACTAATGATCACTCCACTAACGACAACTCACTTATTCTACTAGAACTCATAAATTCTAATAGAGACAGTGTGGGAAAAGCCAGAGAAGCATACTCAGAGAGGCAAAACTCTTGAACCCTTTAGTTAGTTCTTTTGTGCGATATTTATAAGTAAATTTATAGCTGATAAGATACAGAGGAATCTCTCGTGAGCGGACACCCTCGGGACGCGAAAAAGGTGTTGGTAACTGGAACTGGGCGCTTACGGGAATTTACGGAAAATTCAATGATTGTAAGGGAGGTGAGAAAAACGGGGTTTTGTGAACACTTAAGGGAGTATCCGTTGGGAGAGTTTCCACTTTAATGTAGTGAAACCCTGCCTTACGGCCACATCGGTAAAGTACGGTCTCCTCGTTATTACAGCCACTTTATTTTGGCCGCCTGGCAAAACGGCCATCCATTTTCTTTTAAAAAAAACCCTGTTAATACAGTC